GTTTCGAGATGTAATTCGAAAAGAATCGAGCCAGTCGTTCTTTTCCCTTTTGTTTTCTAATTTATTCTTGGTTCTAACAACAGTTGCTTTCTTCCAATGCTTGTCAGCCTGCGTTCTTTCCCTGAGCCATAGTTGTCGGGTTGTATGCCCGAAAAAGGCACAGAGAAGAATGGGTGGGAGGTGCTTAGAGGGGGATGCTTAGAGGGGAGGGACCATGATTTGCTGGGCCAACCCCCTCGGTCCCGAACCTAAAGGCCCACTTACTGTACTGAATAGGTGAGGGAGGCAGGCAGCAAGACTGCTCAAGTCTTCAGTCCTCAGAAAGAACCTCATCCTGTCGCTAGAGTCAAAGGCGACACATTTGGTTGCCGTTAGATCGGCCGAAGCTGTTTGACAAAGGCACAGGCATCGGGGCAAGAGCAGACGCAGTGCACTATAGCCTGCCTTGGCGGAATTGCAACCTTGTAAAACGCCGAGTAAATCGGTTCAGCCCGCACGATTTCCACACCTCACCTGGTGGCCGCTGCTCAAACATCCACGATGTTTCGGAAGATATGATGGCCCTCTTGTCCTACCGCCTAATACAGGAGAGGGTTCAAAGGCTCGACTCCGCTAGGATTTACTTCGGGTTCACTCATCAGACCGACTGCCGACTGCTCCTTAGGCAAATGCCCACCGTAGTTTTGCCTGGGCTCCTTTCTTGCACATGACATCATTACTCCACAAGGCGATGAGGGAAGAAGAAGCGACGAGATTGCGTCTCCGCTCTGCTTGATTCTGGACTGTGGCCAGTGCTCGCATACGAGTATCCTCACAGGATGAGTGACCTGCCATCCCCCTCTCCCTCCCCGTTGAAGGAAGGGGGTCGCTCACCTGCCCCCCCGCCTTTTTTTCTCTGATTTTTCCCACCCATTTAATGCGGTCCTGAGACGTCTGGGTCTTCCCCTCCGCATGAATATGAAGACTCAGGCAGACCCATATTAGCATCAATGGTCCTTGTATTTTCCAGAGAAAGCCAAAAGCCAACAGCGCGGCGCCGCGATCCGAGCCAGTGACCCGCACAGTGTGCCAAACTCCTAGGGGTGTGGGTCCCCAGAGAGCGGTGGCAGCCGCCATCGTCCTGTCCAAGTGAGAGATTAATATTATTATGAAAGGTGCGGGAGGAGGATGCCCACTAGTGTGGGGGAGGGGTTCCGCATCCAGCAGTCAGCGGTTCAATGAGATCCAAAGGGAGCTGGGAAGATGGGGCCCCATCTGTGCTCATCGCAATACCCGCCCGACTGTTCGCCCAATGACAGCATGGGTAATGAGCATTGCTCGCAAAACGGGCAGCGACTGCGAGCCGGCCTTAAACCTCAGCGGACACCTCCAATGAAAGAGAGCAACCTAGCCACGACACGTCGAATAGACGAGTAGAGGTTTCCGGAGGGCTAGGGCCAATAGGCAAGTCCGGCGGAAATCGGAGCCGGAGCAGGATATAGAACGCTGATCGGTGGTGTGTGTGCGATGGTGTGCAGGAGGGAACCTTCCCTCTCCCAGCTACGTGTATTTCCCAGAGACTGACTGCCTGCCGGCTGAAAGCGAACTTGTGACGCCAGGGCGAGCAGAGAGATGGCGATAAGGGCGGTATAATACAAGTGGAGTGTGGGTGAAGCAACCGAGCGATCGCAATATGCAACAATGACTTGATCAATTCCATCGCACAGAGAGAAGGTCAGGGTCTCTCGCACGAGCCGATGCTCTTGGCCCCGCCCCAGCCCTGGCATCTCCTGTATCGGACACCCTCTACAGTTCAAAACGAGCGTGGGTAATGGACCGCTGGGGGTCCTATTACAAACAGTTAACGCGACAAACGAGTTCGCGGACCGCCTCCTATGGAATAAAAACAAAGAGTAGCGGGACTAGCTCAAGTCAGATGCGCGGGGCGCGCGGGGAGCCTGGCATTGGCAGGACTTCCCATTATATCCCTCAACTCTTCGGAGTTCTTGATCCAGCTCGAGGGCAGAACATCTGAGCTCGCGTGATGGCTTGCCCCAACCAACAAATCTCCGGGTCTCTGTCTATCTCCACGAAGACCCCACCATGGGGGCGAGTTGCGGTGCTTGATTCGGCCTTTCTCTCAAATACTGTGCTTCTGCTTTTTTCAACTTTTTTCCCCGGTATTTTTGGATCCGCCGGAGTGGGTGAGGGTGTTTTGCCTTGCCCCCTCTGCCCCTCTACACCTTGTTCTATTTTAGCTTTTTGCGACAAGTGACATACATCCATGGATCGATCCCTAGATGAATACCTCATGCTTGGTGGCACAAAGAGGAACCTGCATAACTCGGGAGAAATGCCTGGTTTTGAAGGTCCGATATCCCGCATGCTATCCGCCCGATATTTTTGAACCCCTCGTCTAACTTAGACTGGGTATCGAGCGATGGAGACAACAGGGCAAGAAACTCTAATCGCCGGTTTCTTATTCCTGAGTCATTGAGTTTAAATGTGGCTGCAGTCATTGAGACTGGGAGACTGGGGAGGGGGTAGGGGCGAGAGCAGGACGTGATGCTTGAACCATCCAAACGCCCACGCTCATTTATGTAGGTCCAACTTGCGCATACGTGGTGGGTGTACCATAACACGGCCGATTCCCCCAAGACATACAAACAACTAGAAAGATAGTAAGATGCTCGCCTGGGGGTTGGAGGGTTGGAGGAGGGTCGATTTCTCGGTAACAAAGAAACGCATAGAATCTCGGGAAAAGGACGAATTAGTGCACATGTCGACCGCACATACGCCGAGCAGAAACAACTACGATGCTGATGCTCTTCCCGATTCCTCTCCGGGAGGTGCTAATGCTTAGAAGTAGGTTATAGATACTCAATGCTATCGCAAAGCAAACCTGGTCCCATGGGTTGGTGATTGTCTATCTCTCGTGCATTCTGTATCTATAACCTTTATATAGATCCCCTACTTGCCACTTGTACCGCGATCATTGAGCTTCCATTGAACCAGACAAGGCATGTACCTCTGTTTCCTGAGATTCTGGGGTTCTTTCCTGATATCCGCCCGCTACGCGACGGGGTGTTCATGTTGCCTAACTTACCGGGGCTTCAAGATGATAAAGAGCGTTCACTGTGGCCCTTTCTTTTCCGACTTTACTTCGTCCGCCCTCGTTTGCGCTCCTCTGCCCGTCCTCGGACGATAAGGCGCCTTTCACGAGATATCGCGGCGGCTTGACGAGGTACGGCATCACTATCTCGCCCCGGCTCTTTCCCATCCGAGCGCGGCCTCAAGAAGGAACCGGGATACGGCTCGCTCGAGATGGAAGAGGAGGGGTCGTATACTTATCTGCCGTCTGATGCAAGATGGGCATGCGTCAATGATTTGGCAAGGGGCTTGGAAGTGAGCAGCACGGCCTCCGTCGCCCTATCAGTTGCAGCAGCCAGGCCACGGTCCGTAAAAGAGAAAATAAGGTGGGAAAGGCGCTTCCGCTATGTCCTCTCACCTTCTTCACGGGGAGGGAATCATCCATGGATCTTATTAGTTACCCTACTGGGTTGCCTCTAGCTGGCCACTTCGGCACGTCATGAAGGTGCGTCGACCTCGCATCTTGCCTTCTTCACAGGGCCAGGCTTGGATGCACTACGTTGGCGTCGTTTCACATAGTTTTTTTCCTTCCCCATCTCTTTTTATAGCTCCTTCGCATTCTTTCCCCTTGTTTTCTTTTTCTTCCTTCTTTTTCCTTTTTCCTGTTTTCTTTTTAACTTCATACTTCGCGTGTTTGAGCGCCGACTCAAGTGACTATCCAATCCCAGGGCGCGCTTTAAGCACTTGGGGTTCGCATCGGATCATTGGCTTGCTTCGTACAATTCTCGTTAACTTTGAGGAGGACGATACTTGGTAACTCCCGTCCACTCTCGCTCGCGCAGGCAGCCCACGTGTGGTTGCCGGTGGGCCGGGACTGGATCCACATTGTCCGCCGGGAGGCTAGAGCGAAACCAAAGAATGGGGGCGGGGGTGAGAGGGGCGTATGTCTGCCCATGTGGTCACGTCATAGTGTCCAGCCTCGACTCGGGCAGAAAATGAGACTGGATCTTGAGAGAATAAGTTTTCCTCAAGGGGGAGAAGAATAGGTTATGATATGAACAAAGGTAGTCTAGTTAAGAGCAGGCAGGCGGGAAGGCCGGCAGCTGTGAGATGGAACCACGTCTCGAAAGCATGAAGGTTAGAAGTCAGTGGGAAATGTGTGGGCCCGGCGCTTGTATTGGCGGAAGAACCACATTGCATTGACTATGTTGGCAGGCTTCTTGACTGACGTCTATGTTTAATCATTCACTGCATTGCCTACGCGGGCTAGAGGGTTATCTGATCTCTGGGGACTTAGGTCGATTGATCTTTCTCTACATATATCTCAGGACACCTAGGCCTGGATGCTTGCCTGTTTCCAACAGAGATAGAACAATAAATCTAAAAGAAAATGAAACGTGGACGAGCATTAAACGCGGCACTCTCTTACCCTCCTCCATCTTCTCCCTTCGCCGTCGCGTTCCCACCACCTTGGGAATCTCGGAACGCCCCCAAGGGACACCGCCCAGGGCTTGGAGCTTGAGTGGGGACCAGTCCCATGCGCCTGAGGTGAGATTGTGAAGAGGATGACAGATATGAAATAATGAGTGACTGCTGATATGGAGTTGAGTTTACCCCTCGACGAGGTGGGCTGCGAAGGTGGGCCGAGGTCCTCGACGGCAAGGAAGCGGCAAGCACGCCTTCGGGGAGGGGCGGACTACTTGGTAAACCAGGGTGAAAAGTCGTCTAGAACCGGTTTCGATCCAAGGTATCCGGTGGGCTAAGCGGAAGGCAGTTGATGGTTAGAGGTTGCAACTTGATCCTGGCCGTCTTTCGGGATTTCATCCAGCAGAAGTCCGCAATGAGTCGCGGGAGTAGATATGGTCAGCAACAGAGCCCGGCGGCCCTGAACCATTGTTACCCTACATAGACTCTCCGGAAGACAGTGAAGCTTATTCGCAGTCGCCGTCTCCATCTTCAGAGTCCATCTCGCCCTGCTCCTTGTGGACGGACTCGAGCTGTTTCATGAGCCCGTCAAGGAAAAGGCTATCGGCTTCGCGATCGTTGAGTAACATGAGCGGGCCCGTCAAGGAGATGTCATCTTCCGGGTCTGGTGGGAGAATATCGACTTCTCCACGCCCGTCATCCCCTTCATCTTCGGCTGCGCTCCCTTTTGATGCCCGTTTCCGGCCGGGGCGTGTGTCTCCTTTCCAAGGCCCGTGTTAGGAGGCTCAGCGACCTGATCCCACCCAGCCTCTTCTGTCCTCGAAGAGCCAGCGGAGGGCCGCTTGGCTTCAGATACCGCCTCGCCCGGTCCACTTAAGCTCTGGCCGGCCGGTGATGGGGAAACGGATAGGACAAGACTCTTGCCGCTCTGTTCTCGCGACATCGAGAGTGCGAAAGGGGGTATATCCGGCCTGCGCAGGTGCGCAATTCCACGACGTGGTTTAGGGTCCAACGGCTTCAGCGAGTGATATAGGGCGATATAATGGGAAGAAAGGAGCAAGAAACTCCTGGATAGGACCTAAAGACACACTCAAGGTGCCAGGTCAGCAAAGACTTAAGCGAGATAGGGATATTGCTATAAGTATAACAATGATGTTGAAAGGTAGGAAAAGAGATAAATCCCAATCGAGAATAATCGCGAGGGAGAAGGAACCGAGTCGAGGCAATCCCCAAGCCAAAAGAAGAGAAAAGAAAAAGATGCAAAGAAGAAGCGGGGAGGGGAAAAGGGTTGATGTGCGAAAGTCAAGCCATCTGGAAAATGCGGTTGAAAGTGGGGTGGGACAATGCGATCTAATCAATCATCTTGTCTGTGGTCTCGTGCATCGCGAGGGAAACTGGCCACCCCGAACTCAAACTCTTCTTCCGCCCTCCTTCGCCACCACCTCAGAGATTCCCGCGCGGGAGCCACCGTCTTGAGAACACAATCGTAAACCCCGGCGTGGAAAACTTGCATGTTCCCTCCAACGGCCAAGCGCTGCTAAGGTTCCAAGAATCGCTGCCAGCCTCTTCCAAGACGCAGACATGGTTGGCTTTCCAGGACGAGGCTGCGCCGTGGACGGCCCGGCGCTGAGCGGGAAGTGGGCACGGCTGCTGCGAGGCCCTCAGCTCTCCATTTTTGTGGTGTAGTGGCTCTGTATATGTCTCGGACGTGTGGTTCAGTGAAGTCTTCAATTCTTAGTCTGTACAAGCAGGTTACTTTCTACAGAACCCATCACCACACGGATGATACTACCTCCACCCTCTCCCAAGATCTACCCTTCACTCGGCCGTCTTCCGAGCGGGCTCGGTTGGCCCCATCTCCACTTCCTCCACTTCCTCAACCTCCGAGGTCATCCTCACGCTCGTCCTCGTCAATGTAACCGTCGCCTGCTGCGTGCTGCACGCATCTGTGACCTTGACGGTGGTGGTCGCGCACCCAGCTACGCATTCCGTCACGCACCCGTCCACGAGAACGGTCTCCGGGTCGGGGCACCCGCAGGGGATCATAAAGGGCTCTTGGAAGATGCAGTTAGGCGTGGGGCACGCCAGCGCCACGCATCCCTCCGCAGACACCGTTCTAGTCATCCGGGGGCACCGCGTGGTCTGAGGTTCGCCGTTGTCTTCGTCGCCTAGGTCACTCGTCACGCTTCTCGTTGCTGTAGTCCGCGTCGTCGTCGATTCTACCTCGCCGCTCGTTCTGGTGGGCCGGCCCTCTCCCGCCGACTCGGCTGCGGTAGTCGTCCGAACGGTGGAAAGGGTCGTCGTAGTCGTGCGCGGTATCGTCGTTAATGTGGGCTCGGGCACAACCCAACCGTCCCCACCACCACCACCACCACCACCTCCTCCTCCTCCTCCTCCTCCTCCTCCGTCGCCGCCAGTGCTACATGGCACATTGACGGTGCGGTATTCCACAGAGCAACCGTCATACGGACATCCCACATTACATGGCTGGATGAGCGTCGCTTCTGCCACAGCTCGTGGACAGCCGCAGGGATTCGTCACAGTCGAGATGAACCGGCAGTCTGGGGCCTCGGGGCATCCCGGCGAGCAGGTTGGAGCAACCTGCCTCGATGTGATAGTTGGGCAGGTAGAGTCTTCGGCGATTGTGGTGCTATAAGAGAAGGGGAATCGCATCTGTTAGCTGCGAGGACTCGGCCATGTCGACAGAAGCGCGTTCCCGGAACCAATAATAGTAATCTTGCGAGAGGGGATGGGCAAGGGCGACAATGGCTCACTCACCCTACGAGGGCACCAACGGCGAATGCGAAAAGAAACCTCATGCTGAGAAGCCGAAGGGTTTTAAACTGGTCGTTGTGTGCCCCGAGCTATGCTTCTCGCAGGATGGTTCAGGAATGAGATGGCTAACTCGTGCAAGGCCTGCAGGATTGGTCTAGCACAAAATCAACTGATGCTCCGAGGAAGCAAGCTCTTCAGTCATACCAGTCCTCGTCTTTTCTTTTGCTCTTTTCTTTTGTATCCCATCGAGCCGGGCCGGAGGCATCCGACTAAGCACCGATCATCTTAACTTAATGTAATTACTCTCAAGCCCCATGCTCATACTTCACCTGTATGTTCAGGATTGTTTGGGTTGAACTATAGTTGATAGGGTCACAGAAACGCAGGCGTAGTAAATACTATGTGTCCACGGAGGGGAGGAAACGTCGGCAATGGACAAGACAGTACAGTATAAGTTTCTTCATATAATCGTGCTGGTTAGATTGCCCCCAGCCCTTGTCCCGGCACGGGGCATAATTCCACCTCGTCTATTTTTTTCTAGGCCAACTTCGAAATGGGTGTCGATGCTGGAGTCACCCCACGCCACTGCTTGATTTGGAGACATCCCTCACGCTGTTTCTATTGAAAGCACTCATTGAAGGAGCTCGAGCAATCAAGCTGAGGCTATCGTGGCCCGATTTCCCCACACTTTCTGAATAGCCGTAATAAGATCCATCTTTGCTATTCTTCGAAAACTCCTGAAGGGGCTGTCTTAGAAAGGATTTATAGTCAAAAGAAAGATTAGGAAAAAAAGAAAAGAAATAAAGGAAAGGGAGGAGAGGATGAATGATAATAAGCTAGACAATTGCTCCAACTAGTTGCGCCTTTTAATCTCTCCTCCAAAAACGGACCCTAATCAAAAACTCCATGCTTGGGTTCGGATCTGCCCTATACCCCCAATATAGCCGCCGGTCTCTCCGCTACCCTCTATCCCTCTCCCTCTTATTCTATCATAGTTTCCTTGGCTTGAATGTACCATGCCTTCTCACCTACACGCGCCCGCTATAGCCATGTACGAATACATTGGATGCATCTATGGATATGTACATGTATTTTACCGAAGCTTTCGAGCTGCGAGCGCACCTCGCCTCAACTCATGCTAGACAAAGAGCTTTAGAAATATATTATGATAAATTTACGTTGCCTCTTTACTACCATGCAAAGCACAAGCAAAAGACAGTACAAGAAACCGCTGGTCACTCCCCACGCGCCCCATTGACGTCTGCGGCTTGTCTTGAGAGGGAGACAGCGTTGTTCGATACATACACGTACACGTGCCTCGGCTCGGGCCCGGTTGCAAAAACGAAGCGGTGCAAAGATGCAAGGTAGCAACGTTGGAAGAATAACATAGCCAAGTTGGGAGAAACTCGTAGTCTGGACGAGGCCGGGAACCACCTACTAAATGGGTTTCTCTTACGTCCTCACTTCCGTAGTAGAAGATGCACCGCTGGATCCACCAAGAATTGATAACCTTCAAGGGGAGAAATGGTATACGCGTCAAGCCACCTTCACGAAGAAAGTTAGGATACCTTCCTCCTCATGTTTCCCGCGTTTCCCATCTGCCGCCCAGGTGATGGCTTCTTTTGGGTCCAGGTCGTGTCGCGTGGAGAGTAGTAGGAAAGAAAATATTTGGGACAAGTAGGCAAGGTATGTAGAAATATATATCTATCAGAAAGAGTGCACGAAGTAGCAAAGACAGGCCCGGGGGCAAGGTAGGGTACATCGACTGAGAGAAAGAGGAGGCAGAAGGGAGACGGGGTCGAGGCTAGGCAATTGTGGACATAATAGCATGGTCAAAGGCCGCGCAGTCAGATGGTGAAGGGCTGATCCTTTGACGAACTGTGTGACGTCGTGTAGCTAAGGGACCAAAAGATCATGTGTGATCTAAATCAAAAAGTCGTCAAGGAAAGGCGTGTGAACTGAACAGAACTCTTTGGATATGAACATCATAAAATGGGGGGTTGCTCCTTCCTCTTTTATCTTCCCCAGCATGCCATACTCTCGTCCGGCCGGTGGAACGAAAAGGCCAAGGCCGCGTGTGGGGGAGGGCAGGGGTAGGGTAGGGAATAGTGGGGGCATGCAGTGGGGAGGGGGGTTCTTCCTGTCCTTTTCATCTCGCTCCTCACCTCTTCTCGTCTTCCCTCGCCTCTATACTTGCCGATCGCCTTCTTTGTTTTTCTGAGACTTGCGCTTGCGATATCTCAGATTGATTCCCGTACCGTCAGAGAGACGATCGCCATCACCCAGAGACTTGAATCGATCGTTTCAGCCACGCCCCACCATATTTATCTACCATCATTGCCCTTCATTCCTTAATAATCATTCCTTCGTATTTCAATGGTCCCTACATGTGGGATAAACAGCCCGGCCCCCACCCCGACTACCAAACGAAGAGGAGGAAGAAGTTGATCCGCTCAGCTCACGCCTCCGTTAGGCGCTCCAGCTGGCGCTTGTGGTGACTGTAACTGCAAGTTGGCGCCTTGCTGTTGAGCAAGAGCCAGTTGCTCCATGGCCGTCTGTTCAGCCTTGGTAACGGCAGCTTGGATCACCGCCATGTCATCGGCCGAGATTTGTCGCGCAAGTTCCGTATAGAACTGTGGTTGCTCGCGTTGCATTTCTATTACTCAATGTCAGAAATTTGCTCCCTTCCCTTCCCTTCCTTTCCTAAAGCCCAAAACAACTCCCGAGGGGTCTTACTGTGTATAGTGGCCGCAAAGAGCTGGTAGGTATCAATCTTGTCCAAAGGTGAATCAAGGATAAGACTCTCTTCGCCAAGGTCGTCCTCCGAGTCGATCTCGTCGCCACCTCGGAATTTCTGCGCCTAAACGATGAGAGGGGAAGTCTGGTTAGTCGTCTTACATACTTTCTCTGCCTTGGACTTTCCATAAGATCCTGTTGAGCTAGTGTTGCGGAAGTGTAATATACCTCTTCATTTAAGAAGTCTAGATAGGCACTTCCTTCGTCCCTGACCTCACTCGATTGCTCGGCTTCTGTCCCGGCAGCTGCCGCCGACGACGCATCTGCAGACTGTGCTCCCTCTTCGGCCCAGCTGGCATCCTCATCTGCCCAGTCGTCGTCGGCGCCGTAATCGTAAGCTCCAGCGTCATACTGGTAATCGTCCTTCAGGGCTTCTTCACGATCTGTAGGGGAAGGAGAGAACGACATGTTAGCTCGCCACCTCTAATTTCTGCGCTAGTCTCCTTCTGCCGTCCAGCGTTGCAAGAATGACTCACTTTTGATGGCGGTGGGAAGCGTCCTAAACAGCTCCGCGATACCCTGGAATGTGTGTCAGTAACATGGAGGATAATCGACCGGCCGCTGCTCACCAGCAGCCATGCATGGGAGAAGGGCTTACCTGGAGCAACCTCGGCCACCCGGTAGAGACACTAGTGGGCACATTTTCGGGCGGGATGCTGAGGAGGGTGGCAATGGCTGCGACGCAAAGCTTTTTGTCATGTACGCGCGTGAATGAGCTCATGTTTCCGAACCAAAGACTAAAGAACTTATTGGTCCACTGCTTCGCCTCAAGGACCTGTAGCGTAAGAAGAGGATTGTAGTGGATGGCACTAATTACCATCTCCATAAGATGGATCTTGTATGACTTGCCCTTCACTTCCTCAGTCGCAAGGATGTTCATGCCCATCTCAATGAACCCATGGACGCACTGGTCTATGTGTCCACGAAGGCTCAACATCATAGCCTCGGCGAGCTTGCAAGCACAGATGCGATCCACTCGGCTTAGCTTGTCATCGACAAAGAGTTCAGCCACCATCGAGTATAAAGCCTCAACGTACTCAGGCTTCCTCGTCAGATCAGCAGCACCGTACTGCACAAAGTTGTCAAGAGCAGGGAGCATGTCCTCTAGGTAGAGCTGCGCGCCAGACTTAAAAGTTTGGTGAATAAGCTCAAAGGCTTTCCACATTGTGGGCGAGATGGCCTTCGCAGCGAAGGTGCAGCTATCAATGATTTCAAACACCTCGTTGTAAAGATCTGTGGAAGTCAAGGGAAGTAGGTTAGTGTCCAAAAAAAAAAAAAAAAAAAAAAAAACCGAAAAAGAAAAATTGCTACGAGGAGAAAAGGCCAAAGTATGCACGGCGCCACTTACCGTAAAGCTTATTCTCGAGAGTAATCTGAATTACGGGCATCAAAACCGTTTCGATGTGTAGCAAGACGTCGGGCGTGCTCTCCAAAGTCAGGATGAGGGTACCGATGGTTTGCAAGACACCAAGAGCGGTGATGCTCTTATCATCCAGATACTCGCCATACTCATTGTCATCACCAAGCTTATCGTTCTTCTCCAAGAGCTCTCTGACAATTCGGCAGTATGTGTCTCGGAGCTGCTCGCTGAGAGCGACTGCGAACGGGGTAAGCTCGGTGGCGAAAACCTCGACAAAGTCCTCCATCACGTTTGCGAGCGCGTCGATATCGGCTTCGTTAGCTAATTTGAGAAGTTGTTGCATGATGGTTGGAATACTTTGCTGCATGCTAGCCCTGATGATATCATGGCGAATGAGGGGTTGAAGCGCGAGGGCCGCGGTGATACGGACGGGAAGCGCCGGGTCTGCCATGCAGTCCAATATATGTCTGTAGATGCTCACCAAGTTGTTCTGATCTTGGAAATTGAGCTGCTCGAACTTCTCCACAAGATCGCAAGCCCGAGCACGAAGGAAGCCCTGGGTACTTGTGAAATCCGGGAACACGTAACGGACAAGGAAGTACTCAACCTGGTCGGCGATGGGGCTCTTCTTGCCTAGTATCACGGGGGCCAAGGTTCCAATCATACGGAGCGCACCCTCCTTGGCGATGTGGTTCTTTTTATCTTCGGGGGCCTGCTCGTATTCGGTCACAACGGCGTTGATGAACTTAAGAATCTCGAACGTCTCCTTCCTTCGCGATTTAGTCAAGCCGACGAGGAAGTTAGTTGCAGCGATATCCGGGGCAGATGCCTCCTCGAAGTAGTTGAGCTTTCGGTGGAGGTACTCCTCGGGCTCATCTTCAAACTTCTCCAAGTCCTCTTCTGACAGACATATCACGGGGAAGACGAGGTGAGTGATGAGGGTGTTGAGATGAGGCTTCAGGTAGGGCCACATTTCCTTTGGCCGTACGCACTCGTCAAGGAAAACAAGAGTGTATGAAAGGCAGGGCCGACTGAGCCACGTAGTCTTGGTAACCCATTTCTCAATCTCCTGGAGGTACTTTTGAAGTATCTCGGGCGCGATTCGTACAATGAACTCTTCGGCAAACGCGAGAACGTCGGGGTCGGCAGATTTGGTAAATGTAGTTGGATTTCCGTGTCTATTCATCGAAGGAGAGATTAGCCAATGAAATGGTATCTTCCCCGAGTTGAAAATTAAGTCACGCACCTGATGAAAAGTCTGTTGAGGTTGAAATACGCCCACTTCTTCGCTTTCCACCATCGATGCTTTTCACGCTCATACGGGTCTTCCTCAGTGCTTGCGATAGCCGGGATGGCCTTGGAGACGGTATTGAGGAAAACGGTGCACCAAGCGATGTTGTTATCGCGCTGTCGCAAGAAAGGGAGAGTTCAAGCTGCAGAACAAGGCGAACAGTTAGCAGGCGGAACGGAGAGACTAGCAAAGGGCGCGCTTCGCCGAAGGTTGAGGATGCGAGGACGTACCCAAGTAGCATGTTTATAGGCTTTTAGGGCGAGATGAAGCATCTCCCCCGCCTCCTCGCTTTCTTGGTTTACCAATTCGTTGCAGATGGCAAGGAGCCGGGGAAAGCTGATTTCGACAATTTTGTCAAAATGAGATCGGTTATGTGAGTCGCCGCTTCTGTAGCGGTAGGCGCGGCAAATAGCCAGAAGACACTGAAGGCCAGCTAGAACCGAGGGAGCATCGTTTGTGTTGAGGAGCTGCATGGTGAAGTCCATGAAGTTGGGCCATTTATCAGGAAAGTCAAACTGAAGAATTCGTTGTAGGACTGGGACGAGCTGTTGGCGGACAGGCCCCTGAGAGGCAGCGAGGATAGGAAGTAGACGGTCACGGAAGCGGGCCTTCTCATCTTCGGGCAAGAGTTTCTCAGTCGCGTAATGCTCGGTCCGCGACCACGAACGATTTACTCTGTTTTTGATATAGATAGCAGCTATAGCCTCATTAGCATTTGGCGGAGCGCAAGGGGCGCCTTGTAAGAGTCGACGAACCAGCCATCCGGACATTATTGTCCTGTTCGGTCTGCATGATCTCGGTGAGCGCATCCATTACACCGCCATGGTCTTCAACCTAGAATTAAGAGAGAGAGAGAGAAAACAGTTAGCGGGAGGCGAAACATTGATACCCAGTAGGGAAGATGCATGGGCGCAAGCTGGGCATAACAATGCCTGCCATAGGCTTCTAGAGAAGGCAAGGGATCATGTCCCAAGGTGAAGTGTAGAGAGAAGCTTCGGAAAGTTTCCGAACAAGGTTGAAAACACCCTCAGAGCGACCTCCCCATCTTACCCAGCACCCTTGTACCAAAGGCCTTGTGCCTCCCACTCCCCTCAATATTCATCAACCCACAATACATCAACATACCTGTTTGAGCTGAAGCTCCGCCTGTCTTCTCGTGTCGGCATTGGCGTCCAGCGTGGCGAGGAGCAACCCTCGAACGTGGGAAATATCCATATTTTCTATACTTTTTTTATATTTTTGTTGTTGTTTTTTAACTTCGTCCGCCAGAACGAAGGGTTTCCGAGGGGGAGGTGACGGCTCAAGCCAGATCGATGGGGCGTTAGGCGTGGGTGTGGTAGTAAGTTGTGCGAAGTTGGATGCAATGGCGGGGCATCAGGGGAAAGGGACCAAGGTGGGGAGGGTGCGGATTGGGCGAGGGCTTGAATCAGCGAACCGCACGCCCACAGGGGAAACAGGAAGGCGCCTGAGATGTTGAAGGGGTCGCTGGTCCCGTCGAGATTAGAAATAGTCCAGATGCCCTCGGATTCCCTCACGCTCTATATTATCCTGTATCCTCTTGAACGGCAGGAGGGAGTGTTGGAAGATGGGTCTTTGCTAAGGGCGAAAAGAAACGTTGGAAGGGTAATGTTTTGTTTGGCCGTGCTTGTCTTCGAGAGACGAAGGCGGTCAGGGTGGAATTATGTGCAACTTTGAATTTTCTGCCACGCGATGAGGCGGGGGGGCCTAGAGGTCTCAATTTATGGCTAGGTGGGAGGGTTGGGGGTTCAGGGTGTGTGGTTGGTGTGGTTGGTCCCGGGCTGGTCCAACCAAACCAACCCAAACTAAAAAAAAAAAAAAAAAGAATAAAGAAGGAAATCAGAAACCCCACCGAATTGAATGGACCCATTCCATTGAATTGATGAAGAACCGCAGTGTCCGCGTCCCCCTTCCCTCCCTCTACCTTCCAGCATAAGTACATGTAGTCGCTATCGATCAATGATCCCCAATTGTTTGTGTCCTGGGGTGGTATTATTCGAGAAATGGTAGGGCTAGGCCAGCCTTGAATGAGTTGAGCACTATCTAGTGCTAAAAAGAACATTCTTTGTGGCCTGGTCTGCGAGTAATAATGAATCGACGAAATGTTCGACAATCGACAATTGAAATATTCCTCATGGCAATGAAGATCCCCTTCGTCCTTCTGCCGAAGATAGGAGAATCAATATTAGTGCCAGAAAACCTGCAACTTAGATGGATATCAAGTGAATCCTTTCATGGAGAGAGCTCTTAGTCGCTCAGATGCCCGATCCCGATCGACATCAACCGGCCGACGTTATGATTACCTTCTCAACACCGTGCACATTTAACAGCCGGCATTCCCGTTGTCTCGGGCAGAACCCCTAATAATGGCCACATTCCCCAGATTCCACGGGTCACGCCAGCTTCCTGCTGCGAAAGTAGCTGATGCGGAAGCGGTGCGATGATGCTCTGTGAACTTTGCGCGCCAGCAGGCCATACTTGTATTACTTCGTAGATACCCAACTCTTCCGGCAGCCGTCCAGGAGATGATTGATCCTGTATCGTTTTTTTCTCCCTGTCCCCTCTCCCCTCGCGTCTTGCCCCAGAGTCTCCCGCCCACCTCCCCCGGTTTTCCGTATCAGCCTAGTAAGGGTTTTTATGATGGGCAGGCGTCAATTTGATTCGTGGTGTCCTCTCTAGATAATGCGACGCGTACATGTACCGCTGGGAAAGAGCTCGGCGCCCCTCGCGCCACGACGTGTTAGCTTCCAGGAAATTGCGCAGCTGGGCTACAAGCTCATCCTTCACCTAATAATAGGACAAGCTACTTGTTGGTCGCTTATTGAGATAGCCCTGTCGGCTCCTTCGCACCCATTGCCCCCCTGTTCAATCTCTTTCTATGCAATTGATCCTGGCATAATACCTCGGTATCTAACTCTCTTATCCTCGTGGCCCCAGGCAACGGGACCACTGGCCTTCGCCCAGCTATAATCCGCCGTCTCCCACTTGCTCCCCATCTTCCCCTTCCTATATATCACCTCCCGCATACTTGTACGGACGTGGGGTAATAGACTCAGTCCACCACATGAGATGATCACCATCTGCGAGTTGGCGCGTTCGTCCTTGATCTCCTCTCTATCAATCGTTCTGGTGAGCCTGACGCCTGGCTTTCCGGCCGTGAAAGCCCGCCATCCGGCGTGCACTCCACTATGCTCAACGTCACACCATTTGCCCTCCACGGTTTGACTTCTAGACCGCAAAACTCTCTCGGAAAATTCATGGACATTATATGGGAAGCGAGAGGCTATTCCTGCACTATTCATCGAAAGTGGCACTGGTACGATAGGCCGGGCGCCTGCCGTGTTCACCATCCCCACCCTTCGAGATGTTCCGACAACGTAGCAGCACCGACTTCAACGCAATAACGCCGACTACTTCCTGGGTTAAGCCCAGGGACTCTTCGGGAAGCTTAGACTTGCGTGCCTCAACGCATGCCTCCACGCTTGACCACCCAACCAACGCTACGAGGACGCAGCCTTTCTGATCTTTGTCCCCATCGAGGACTGGAAAGTCGTCCTCTAAGCCCCAGCCAAAGCCCGTGCCCTCAACGCCGGGAGTCTCCCTAAGGCCCTTGACCACGAACCCTTCAACCAACGCTGTGGCCGCGCTCTTCTGCTCCAGCGGCAGATCTGACCGGAAATACGCAAGGATGAGCTCCGTCACAGGAGACTTGTAAACCAACTTTCCGGACCCCTCGAGGTCAAAGTGCTTTGTGAACTCTCCGTGGCTAAGGACTGATGGTAGGTCCTTCACTGCCTCCGGTGCTAGCCTGAAATTATTCCCCATTCTCCGTTAGCATTCCCCTCGATCGATTAAAAACAAGTGAAACCCTAAAAACACCCACGTTTTGGCAAACTTCTCGTGATCCTCGACGCAGTCCCAGCCCATGAACGCCCATAATTTCTCCGGGGCGCCAATCTCTACTCCCCAGAAAACCCAGTGCGGGCCCCGGGAAGTGTAATCACCTTTTCCCATGCCTCAAGTAAGATTCGCCCAGCACGTGTGGTGTCATCCGTCACATCGAGCCCGGGTTTGACGCCCATGCGTCCCACTTCAGTAACCACCATGAAGACCTCGAAAGTTTTAGGGTAAATGGTGGAGGAAGGCTGAAAAAGAAGGCCATGAGCAGAAGAAGAGAGGTAGTGACGCAAAATCACGGTGTCACGTTGAGCTTAGGAACAAGCAAGTCTTATTATCGCCAGTAATCCTGCTGCCTAGCTGACTGGCGTCAATAGGTGGGTTTATCAGCAGACTCAGCCGGGCCAGTGCAACTTAAAACATCTATCCATCCATCTACCTTCGTCGTCCATGGACGCACTAGACGATGACAAGATGCAGGCAACATCAACGTCGAGGCGATGGTGGAGTATGGCAAACCCCGCCAAGAGGCAGGTAGCCAGAGGTAGGAGAGGGCAGCGGCCCTCGTTTGCAGAATAAACATGAGCTTAAGTACCCGGCGCCAGACGCCGCCGGGAAGAAGATGTGGAACTGAAATTTCTAACACAATATGAGGGCCCCGGCAGCTGATCGGAACCCTGATCATATTCCTATTGGGCTCCTGGGTGATGACGAGCTGGTAGCAGACGGACGCACCAGTTGACACAGAATAACGGCTCAGTTAACACTGCAGAGCTTGTTTGCTTATATATGGATCTATGTTGTCCTGGTAAGTTTATTTGCGAGGTTCCAAGTATTCCTCGCGCTTCCCGAGAATATTGAGGTTACGTATATATGTAGAAAAGGCATCCACACATGTACAACTGTAGTGTAGAGTTAATAAAGAACTGCACATGGACTGTACAGAATTGGATTTCCCCAGATCAACAGAAATCAGGAACCATTGAACGTCAAGAAGAGACCAGATGCGGAGAAAGGCAGAGATCCAGGAGAAATCCACATAGGAATCTGGGCTTGTGATACACTTGCTTAGACGAGGCTCCCTCCATACTAAACCCCACACGAGCCAGACACGCCCTCTTCTGCCTGTCGGTAGTATTAAGCAACATCCGAAGGGGGGACCCGAGATCTCATGGAAAACTAGTATGGCAATGTCAAGCCGTACGCAACATTAACGCATAAGTTTGAGTAAGTGAAGGAAGAATCAGTGGGAGTGAGACGAGGGTGCATGAAGACAAAATCAATGGTCCGCCCAGCCTGGAATTCCATTTGCTCCGGACATAACAATGTTAGTGAAATCGAAACGCTCTAAATGACCACCCAGTACCCAAATTCAAAAATAAAAATAAAAAACATTGCATGTTAGAAGTTGACAAGAGATAACCCAAGAAAGGAAAACGAAATGGATTGGACCGGATCCAGACAGCAAGGTGACGAAGCAAGCAATCATCGATCGCCCTAACTCCTGTGACGATCCTCCAGATGTTAATATCGAAGCCCTCCACGATGTCTCTCCAATTACAGTGTCATATCTCTTCCCCAGGCCATCCAAGACGTATGTACCGAGCAGCATGCAAATTCATTTGCGCGCGATGCGGAATAGATGATTATGACGGCCAGTAATATCCCCAATCCCTGGCTTTATTCCAAAAATAGATGAGATATAGGTAGCTGGTAAGAATGATGAAGTATTTCAAATTCTCCGAGAATGGATGGGAAGGGGACCAAAGTAGGGAAGGGGTGAAGCGATGGCTCGAGGTAACGGGCGCGACAGTGCGGGGAAAATAAAGAGACAGAGAAGCGGCGGTTCTGCCGCAGTCGAGAACGCGGTATAAGCCCGAGTCGGTCCGTTTTAGTGGCAAGGTCTAGGGATGGCTTCCGTTCACCGGGCCCTTAGACCAGAGCGCAAACTTGCAGCTCGTTATGCGGTTTCAAGTTCCAGTGGATGGCCAAATTGAAACACGGGCGGTCTCCGGGGAATGAGACATTCAAGAGCAAAAATTAAGTAAATAAGAACGTTGAAATCCTGGCAAATCCTTGGGAGAAAGGCGGTCCGATGAGAGTTCCAGCAACCTTGGTATATTACTCGAGAGTCAAACGCCAAGCGGGGATTACGTGTGCCGGGACTCACACAAAACTCACAATCCTAGGCATATCAATGCTAGTGGGTAAATGGGTGGAGCGGAGGGAGTGTGCAATGAGACTGTGACGAAATGGAGGGGATGAGGAGGATTCTTGAGGCAACAGTGATCCGCTAACGGCATTATGAAAACAACGCCCAGTTACCGGGTCTTGTAGGGTTGATGCTTGGGAGCTTCCTGGCGCCGGGGAGGGCCGGATCCTTGGTTCTTGTGGTTCCTGTTGGGATCGTCATACTGCTGTCCTTGCATCTGGCCTTGCATTGGTCCTTGCGTCCCATACACTTCTGGTGTGGGTTGGGTCGGTGCCACAGAGCCAAACCGCTCAGTCGGTTTGGTCAGGGGAGCTGAAGGAGCCCGCTCCTGATACGCGCCACCACCGCGACCATAATGTGGATCCTGGGCCATTGTCTGGTAAGAGCCACCTGAGGGAGGGTTGTAGAAATCTTGGCCTCCGTAACCAGCTTGGGGATGCGGTGGTGGTGGGTAGTTTCCTTGCTGCGGGGAGTAGTCATCATGTGATCCCGGGTACCGATGCCAGGATTATACGGGGTTCCTATATCCGGGATTGACTGGGCGGGCAGCGGCATGTACCCACGTGTCCTGGTTTTGCGCGTAGGCCAAATTGGATTGTCCTGAGGGCCCGTAGCTAGGGTCCTGCTGGGGATACTGGTTAGGACCGGTAGGGTAACCAGTGGGATAGGCATTTCCTTGGTTCCCGCTAGAGTAGCCGGCTTGTGGGGGTTGTTGTATGAACTGGCCACTACCACCTTGTTGAGGATATCCAGGGTATCCGGGGCCGTCATGCGGAGGGGCGTCAAATTCACGGCCTGTACCAAAGGGGAGAGATTCAGAAGGTCCGCCACGTTGCCTCCTGGCGTACGTATCCGAATGGTGGTATTGGACTGTGGTTGGTGAGTTAGATTTTCTAGAGTATATGGGATTCGACGAGTCTCTCGGAGCGTTGATACCTCCGGAGGCGTTTCGGGACGACTTCGCCCGCCTCTCCTGTTCCCACCGAGCCGAATCGGCTTTGAGATCCTCAATCATGGCCTAATGATACTATATGTTTAGTGCATGTGTCGATAGCGGAAGGACTAAGTGGGTCGGAGAACTTGAAATCAAGTCCTCCGAGGAAAGTAGATGCTCACGGTTGTCAGGTTGCGGTAGGCGGTGATGTAGTAGCCACTTATCGAGTGGTGCGTCTCGGGGTCCTGGGAGGGTTAGTATTTAGGGTGGACAGGGCATGAGGAGGCTGGAATCTTGCAACGAGGCAGCAGCACGTCGCCATTTCAAGACCAACCCATCGCGCGAAGGGAAAAGGAAGAGTTTTAGTTGTGTACCTCATAGGTGCCCGGTCGAACAAGGGCGTCATTTCCCAGGTAGCGACATATATCCGCAGTGATCACTTCACGATCAATGCCATCGCGGGGAATGAAATACTCGTTCTGTCGAGAATTCGTCGGGGCCTGGGGAGGAGGCATCTGTTGCGGAGGGGGTCGTCGAGCCATGGCGAAGGAGTGAGTGAAGGGGTACGGGATGGAGGTAAAGAGGAAGAGGGAAAGGTCAGAACAGAGAAAAAGAGGGGAAGGAAAGAAAAGACTCGATGGGTGAGGAAAGGTTTGAGGTGATGGCTGGCTGCGCCAGTGCAATGGGGAAAAGGATGATATGAACAGGGAAAAGGGAGCCTGGGGGGCGGGTTGGCTGGTTTAGAAGGTGGCGGAGGATTGGTGGGGTCAGGCCAGGGCTGGGAGGGGAATGACTGGCCCTGTGACACTCGAGAGCGCAGCAAGAAGTGGAGGCGAAACCCCCTTTGGCAAAGAGGTTGCTGTGACAAGAGTACTTCAAGGACGGTACCAACAGAACCGGCGCCACAGGTACCGGGTAGAAGGACAAAAATTGGGTTTCTGCCACAGAGGTTTCCCCACCTGATATATATTTCGGTCTTGGTATTCGCGTTTAGGTGGCCACGAATGATTTCCTCAGATCAACGTAAAGATGAAGAGAGATGATGAGGCCAAGCCAATATGAAGGCACAAAATTTCAGATCTGCGGGTGGACGAGCGAGGCAATATGAGACGAGACGAAACCGAGTGGCGGACTTCTAAACAGTGGGTGGCCTCAAAGGCGTGTTGCCGCCAACAAAACGAAGCAGCAGGGTTCCGCAAACGGTGAGGGCTCTCTGGTGGGCGCTGGCAATGAAGTAAATTTTTCAGTTACCAAGGCCTTGATGCAGAGAGCAGACCTGGTCAATATTTTCGGTGACCGTTTGTAGCTCCGTTGGCCTTCGATCACATTCGTAGATACGGTGCTGGACAATGCTGGACGGTGATAGATGGTACTTCGCTTGGTTGCCAAGTGGCACAGCCAGACGGTGGCTACGAGGGAGGGCTTCCCGGCTAGGCAGTGGTGAGGCAGGGACAATTGAGCCCAACCAAACGGTGTCAAGTCACAGCTTGTCCTGAGTTGCTGCGCAATCGTTCAGGCCGGCAAGGTCCGCACCAATTTCCGGAAGGAGCCCCGTGATACAAAGAATAAATAAGGAAGAATAAGATAACCTCGATAATAGAACAGGAGCTGAAAATGAAAGCAGGAAAATAAGGGGAAAATGCAGGTTCTGTAAGATGGAAAGATTATCAGGGTGAGGGTTCTTGGGTCGTCTAAATTTCTAGCTCCTTGTCTTCGGCCTAATAGCTAGACGCTTTCACGCAGAGAAAAGCTTGAAGGGTGTTCCTGAAAAGTCCGAGGAGATGAGTTTACATCACAGATAGATGTATCCCAGGGTGCCGTGCCTGTTGCGAAGGTACATCAAACTCTCCGCGGTGGTGCTCACCAAGACGTAGCGGTGTCTCCTATCCGAAGCTAGAGCCCGGCGAATAACACTCACGTTTGGTAAGCTATTGAAGGCCGAGGGCCTGATAGGAAACTCAATAGTACCCAATCAGATGTAATAATTTGCGTTCAGATGAATAGGAGGGACAGAAAGGGACCATGTCCAGATCTAGGTGTTGACCCTGCGTACCTCGATATGAAGATGTGCTGGAACAGGGAAAAGGGCAAACTAGAGTGTAGAGCAACACACAAGATGTACCACCTTGTAAACATCCACGAGCCATCCCTCCCTTTAATACACCCAGAGCCTCTATCTCCCCTCCCACAATCCTTGCAGGACCCAAAATTTCTCAACAGAAGAGAATGATGGGTTCCAAATGGCTTGTTAATAACCCCATCATTTTCCCTTGACCGGCCTCGGATTGACTCACAAAGAGGATAAGGCAAATAACGGAATCTGCAGTCCCCGCTCTAGCAGGAAGTCACCCAGATCAACAGTAAACAACGTGTCTGTCCTTGAGTGGAATTGCTCCGTCCACCTACTTCTATCTACCAATTAGCCAGACACCTAGAAGAACGAGCGCTGTTACCTGTCACAATCGACGCTGCCACGTAATGTACAGGGAAAGCTGGCACGTTCTGATTGAGGGCATCTGTCCATTGCATCACCGTTCATAGCCGTCGTCATTCGTTGGGTACCAATGCCTTGCAGCGACGAAGGCAGTCACTAAGTTACCAACCTCGCCCCCGCAAAAAGAAAAAAAGGAAAAAAGCCGCCAATTCGGTCGGCGGCTTCCCGTCATGAGAGAAAATCGCCCCCAATCGATGCCCGACACATCCACTGTTAACCGCATCCGTGCCTAACTAATGCTCTCAAACCAATCAACGCCGACGTTGTCACAGAAGCGGGCTGCCGGCCTGACCTTCAGATTGCGATCCCGCCAGTTGACTGGCTAGGTTAGAGGGACCTCACAATGTAAAGTCATCAAATCAAGTCCAAACAGCCAATAGACGCGCCAGATTAAGGCTCAAGCGAACCCTCGCCAGTGATGTTATTCGAAGTCTTTTATTTAATCGTGTGCCCCAACATTGACTCTAGCGGGAAGCCAATGACAGAAGTTGAAGATACATTGATGCTTAGGTACATGCTTGGGCAGGCAGGTTACGCATAGGCCGCTTCCGTAAAGGTAGAGAGGCAAAGCGGATCAAGCCCACTGGTCAAGCAAGCCGACATCAAGACCCAAGTTTCGCCCTTAGTCTTATTCAGATAGTGTAGCGGTATCTCAGCCGACAGGAGGAAACGACAGTATAAATACCAACTCTGACTGCTTTCACTCTGGCCCATTTTAGTATTACCACAAGCGGCATCCAGAGATTAAGGAATCAGATGGTGCCAATCGCGCCACTTTATAGGGAGGACGACATAATCATTCATTATCTTCACCTCATCCCACAAGGAGAACAGATTACGTGCCGGGTATACTGAGGTACTACTCTATGAACACCTTCGATAACCCCCATTTCGGTTCAATGTTCTCTTTGCAGATAGTTGGGAGTTTTTACTTGCTTGAACGGTATAAAGTGCTTGTTCTAGAACTCTATGCGTACTTCGGTACAGCACAGTCTTTTCCCTCCTTCGCCTTCTGCTGCACCCTGTGATCCCCCTGATGGGCTTTGGTCAAAATCATCCTCGAATCACAGTTGTCCCCGAGACGTGAGGCCTCTTATCCAACATGCAAACATCCATGGATGCTTCGATCAAGGTGGTTGATAGTCGCAAAATAAGGCATCGATGACTCCAGGGCGTATCTATGAACATCTAAACGTGGTCTTGGAGCGCGCTTATCTTGGTGCTTACCTACCGCTCCGTCCCCCAACTAGAAGGAATATTATACCCATTATCCAAAGTTTAGACGTCTCTGCCCAGGTTCTAAATCCGATTTCCCTCCACGACCACCGCCACGTCTCGATGTAGAGGACGAGGACGATCCGCCCGATCCGCCCGTGGATATTCGTCCACTAGGCTTACCGGTCTTGGCGCTCGTCTGTGGCCCACACCTGCTAGATTCCCTACCAGCAAATGCCAAACGAACACGTTCTTCAACTCGTGCCTCCCTTTCCTGAAGGTCAACAGCAACATGCCAGTCGTTATGACTCTGTAGGTCTGTAGGGTTGCCGAAGGATATCTTGCACCTACTACATGCATATGAGCCAGCGAGCTGCTGGTCGTCGGCTGCGGTCTGGCTGAAATGGCTTGGGCATCGATGATCCGCCTCCGAGGTCCGCTCATATTCCGGTTGGCACCGGTTTCTCGATCCTCCGACGTCTCCAGGCACTTCACATCTGACCTTCGGATGGACTGTTCCTCCTTTAGTAGATCCTGGCCCTAGGATCACGGGGTAACTGGGGTAGGTCTCAAGCTCGCTTCCATCAGTAACTATACTCCCAACATCTGAGCGCCGCCGCTTCCTTGCTAAATCATTCGTTATCGCAACTACATTTCGTGGAGGCTCCAGTCCTTCCGAGGGCTGGGCAGCATCATGGGGTTTTCGGCTATCCTTAAGGATGGGTATTCTATCTCCTCTCGTGAAGAACATCCCAATGGGCATGTTTCCCTTGATGCCGTCTTCAAGTCCGCTTACGCTCATATTCATATGTAGGCAAGGCCAGACTTCGCCCTCCGACATGATTTGAGTCAGGAGGCTGCTGCCCATATTCACGAGGGCGAACTCGTCCAATGGCCGAGCTGGGGGAATCTGGATTTGGCGAGAACGAGTGAGGTTATTATGCCGCACGTGAAGGCTCACCGTCTTTGGCCTTCTTCGGTTTTCTAGGATGCCCTCTTCTACCAGGCGGGAGAATATATCGGCTGCAAAGATTTTTATCCACTGTTCGGCCTGCGCGCGAGTATGGATAGGCGGGCGAAAAGACTTGGCCGAGAGCATAGACTTGATGCTTGTGCGGGGATTAACCTCACTGCTATCTATTCCCTGATCGTATTGTAAACCCACAGACCCGTTTCCTGCCCCAGCCTGGATTTTAGACTGCTTAAAGGTACGGTAAGAAGCTGGTTGATATCTTCTGTGTCGAACTCGAGAGCGACTTGATCACCAAGCTTGCCGCCTAAGTTGCGCATTTTTGTGAATTTTATCGGTGCGAGAAAGCGGGCAACGGCCCGGCCACGGATCACGGTCTGCTTGTTCGGCTTGTTTTGCGCGGAGCCTAGTTTGCTGAGAAGTTTGTTGTGAGATATGCCACCCGAGCAGGTGTAGTTCAACTTTTCTCGCACCCTCGCCCGTACCTCTCGGATTATGTCCGCGCCTATGCTGAGTGCAATATCATCCCAGTCGGGGTCCTTGATCTCCTCCGCTTCGTCTAGATCCACAAGATGGTCTGATTTCCAGTCGAGGGCCGTGATGGGCGGTGGCGGTAGCCGCGCGGATGGGTCAGCCCCTGGCGCCATGGCAGCCGACAACACCGGAAAGCTCACCAACATGATGCTGTGAACTTGAGCAGAAAGATCGAGGAAAACCTCGTCGATCCCAGCCTTCTCTACTCTTTGCAGGGGTGGTGGCGGGAGCACCTCTTTCATGGCGGCCAGAATCTTGCGGGACTCGAAGCGGTAAGGGTCTAAGGACACTTTGTCTCTAGCAATGTTGGCGGCAGCATCCGCACGGTATGCCCACGAGTTCTCCCCTCACGCCAGGTGGCGACGTGCTGAGCGACGAGCTGTGGGCAAAGCTTGCGGGCCTCGGTGATATTTATTTGCCTCGTGACGCCAAATTTTCGAGCCGCATAGTTCACAGCAATGAGGCTTTGCCTAAGCACAACTTCAGTTAAGCTCGGAGAAGTTTTTACCCCTCTCTACGGCGAGTAGCTTGGAGGCAGAGATATATCTAAATCCAATCAAAGCGAACATCTCCACCTCCTCTCCTCGTCCAGAGAGTGCATTTACCTACCACTGTTGAACAGCCAGAGGAACGTCTTCAGGTACGCCCAGGCGCACCATTTCACACTGTGCGTAGAAAGCGTCAAGGTCGACGTGGGCGATAACGCGCAGAGGAGTGCCACTTGAGAAGGCCGCCATCTGGGTGAAGTGGCGATGCGTAAAGGCCGAGGTTTCCATCTGCTGTGAACTAGTGGCCATGCTGGACTCGAATGGCAAGACGATCAAGAGGCGACGAGCTGGGAGTGTAATGAATCATAAAAATAGGGCTAAAGCGAGATGTTCAAGACTCTAGCCAGGGACCCGTTTATTTGATCTCTTCTCAAACCCTCAATTGCCCAAAGGGTCTCACCATGGTGAGCGTTGTCAACTACGCTCGATATATGACACACGAGGTGCTGTATAAAGTCTGGTGGTTTCACGTGACAATGCGATAGGACTATGTGCTAGCACACAGCCTGGTTTGTTCCTAAGTAGATAGATGATCTATCCATCTTGCGTGTCCATCCTGCCCGGCGCTCCTTAGATTCCCAGCACGAAGTCTAATCAAGGATTGATCAACCTTCCAGAGATCCCTAGATGCTAGTTAACCTAGAACGGATCCTATGCTTGTGATAGTATCGTGGGGTACTTACCACTATCCAACAATAAGTAGATAGGACATGGCAACCCAAGAGGCAGTCACTTACCACCGAAAGTTCTCAAATCTAATTGATCCTTTTGTATATTTTGGAAAGTAAAAGACACTATCGTGCCTATTAGCCCCTGCCTTCTCAACTGCCTATAATACTACCTCAATAGATGCCAGAAGAGCTAGGGTCCATGGATCAAGGGATGGATGCTTTAAAACATCTGATGTACGCTTCTTATTAATTATATTATTAAGATATGTCCATCATACGCCCCGCGCCAGGAGCCATCCCTATGTAGAAGCAAACTCGCTAAGAACCCGGCCCCAAACCGAAAGAGAAGAATAAAGGTGGAAAATATATATAGAGAGAGCCATGAAGGCTCTTAATTTGTCCTTAAAGAAACTCCTTCTCAAAACGCCGGCTTATAGGGGGATGCATGATGACAGGAAAGGAAGAACCGGGGTATCAGCGTGGCAAGTCGAAGAGCAAACAAGAAGAAAACTTAAGCAAGAGCCACGGAGGCATGGGGCAAAAAGCGAAATCGCATAACAAGATAAGCGGCTTGCAATCGTCAATCTGATAGAGGTGAGAAATGGCGTGCCGTCAATTTCTATCACCATTGGCACATCAGCGCCGTAGTTGCTCTTGCAATTCAATCCCTTCGTCCTTATCTGTCCACGGCTTTGGGTCAAGACCATACCGAACTTTGAGCTCTGCCAAAGCTGGACCAAATGGGTATTCACTCTCCAAATGGCCATGGGTTGCGCAAGGGGACTTCTTGATGGGAAGTAACCAGCCGATAGGTGAACTACCCATGACTTCGACCCAGTTCCTCTTGTATCCGAGATCCCAAGGGTTCTCTCCTGGTTCTGTGCGGAGGATAGCAAAGGTACGGTAAGCAAGGCGGTCTCGTGCGTTCGAGGTAACCTCTTGCGTTCTGCCAGGTTGGTGATTTTCAGTGTCGCTAGTCCCTTGGTTCGAGCCGATCTCACTAGGGCCAGGCGGCGGCGGGTGAGCCTGAAGTGACTGCAGCTGCTGCCCATGTCCAAGCCGAGCTAGTGGGTAGGTAACCGTCATGAACTTTTCTGTGGGTGGGCTTCCTAGTGGCACCCGAACAGCAAGCTGGTAGCTCATCTGCCTCTTCAAAAGATCCACATTTGTCATGTTCTTTAGGATGAAGTGAATGGCCGTTCCTGACATAGCACAGCTGAAGAAGCCAAGAAACCCAGATAGTACCAAGATAGCAAAGGTATGGCCATCAGGGACCTCGCCCTCTTCAACCTGCTTTGCAATAGTGTAGGCTGTGGCGGAGACCACCACAGCGCAAAACAGCCATGCATGGAAAGTGAACTGAGCAAAGAACTTGAAGGCTATTTGTGGCGCGATATTAGCGGGCAAGCATTAGGGCTTGGAGCAGACATGAAAATGACGACAATCGGGAAACCTACAAGTTTCGGCAACCATCCCGCCCACCCAAGGACAGTAGTGGTCCATCTTCCTGACGCACCGGCCAATCTCCCGCGAGTGGCTAGCACGATCCGGTTTCCACTGGCCGCAATCGTGGCACCACTTCGGCCGCCCATCACTCTCACAGACAAAAACATCTTTACTGTAGAAGCGTTCCAACCCCGGACTATCGGGATTTGCATCGGGCGGACTATAGCCTATTGCTGCCTCTTCATCATTATAAGGTCGACCCAATATGGCCTCGAGCCCCTTGCGGCGGTGCCCCTTGCTCTTCAGGACTTGGGCACCTCGCGAATTGGGATCCAAAGGGACGACGCTAGGATCCTTCTTGATGGCCCAGATGGTGCGAAGATAGCAAGTAATTCCGAGGAAGAAGAAAATGAAGTATAGGGCGATAAATGTGATAGCAAGGCCAGTCTGATGTCGTTCGCGCAGGAGAAAATCAACTAGAGTTAAAAACAAACCCATGAGTAAATAGATTTCAATATGCAAACAGTAGGTAACTACGAGTGCTGGTATCCGGAAAATACAAGGCTCGACTGGAGCTAAAAACAAGACGCCAAACCCCAGCTCTACCCAAAGTGCACTGAAACATACCGCATATTCTAGCGACGACAACGTAGGTTGCATATATGACGATCGCAAGGAGGAAGCAAGGTACGAGGCGTGTTATCCATCGCACACCGCAAGATGTGCTCGTTGAAGATGGCATTCTTGTTATACTGGCATTGTTACAATGCCTTCGTATAAACTCCTCAAGGAGATGTGCGTAGAGGCACACGCGAGCAAGTATATCAATCGGGGAAGAGGTGTGACGAGGAGGAGAGGGGAATACTTGTGAGGGTGAGCAATTGAAGACAAGAACAGGCTCAAGCGCCAAGGAGATGAAGTCATCTTTTTGGTCTTGGTCTATATGATGACTAATCATTGGTTTGGCTGAACACGTAGGCTGTGGCACAATGATACCAAGGGATTGGAACAAGGCTTGAAAAGCGGGCCAGAATTGATCAATTGGCGGCTCAATTGAGTCCATCCATGAACTGGAGGGTTTTGCGCTTGTCCTGATGAACGGTCCTCGGTGGATACACACTTTGAACTTGCTTGGCTTTGGCCGAAAGGTTTTGTATAGCCCTGGAGACCAAGTCAATGGGCGACGAAATGGATTCAAGAATCCAAAAGCCTCCTCTAGCGAAACTTGTCTGCTCAGCGAAGTCCACCCGTGAGTGGGCACGAGCAGGGCTTAGCCTGCACTTACCGAAGCAGAGCTCATCCCATGATATATTTACCAGAGCACATTCATTTTAGCCACGTTCTGCACGCTTCACATCTAAGCTAGCTGCTGCTAAGATGGGGCTATCATAATTGTTAAGGGGAGCGTACGGTCGAACATGACGAAGGCCCAACCCGCCTTGTACCTCAGCTTGGCATATTGCCCCCATTCGGTGGACTATCATTTATCCTCTCCCAGACCGCGCCTCACCAAGGGGATGACGCGAATGACAGGTATAACAAGCCAAAGTGTCACCCGGAAGACCATCTGGGCTTGCATGGTGATTCGGCTGCCCCATCAAGAATCGGCTTGCCCTTGATCTTTATAATAATTATCATGATTTAATGTTCTTCTTTTTGGTAACCACTACTCCATTCTGGCTTTCCAGATGGTCTCTTAGCGATGCTTACAAGTTTGAGCTCTTGCCCTTTACATCACATCCTCCGCCTAATATCCTTATATTTGGAGAGCCGCATCGCCACTTCTTCGGCTAGAAGACGATAGGTTTGTGCGTGGGCACTTCCGTTGCTAGGAATCCGAAGCGCTCAACGATGTGGCTGTGAACTACGCAAAACCTACAGGTTGGAACTGTTCTCAACACACAGGATCGTGACAATAATGACGGTCTCCACATATTGCGCTAGTGATATGGCCTCCGAGCTTGGTGCCCTGAGGTTCAACGGCATATCTTGCTTACACGTCAGGCCCATTGAAGACCGAAGACGTTGTCTGCACAGGGAAATGGTTTACGTGTTGCACTCAGCAACCAAATCTCATTGCATTTGGTCACCGCGGCCCTTCTAGAATTGCTTTACTATGTTGATACTACGCGGCTCAGAGACCGAGACTCACTCTAGGCCCACAGAACCGCTCACGCGAGAGGGAGGGATAAAAAGGAATGGTGAGGTTGTCAGCCGCTAAGTAGATGGGCAGCGCACTATCCTGCCGAGAAACCATGGTGAATTTTATTCCATCACCCTCGATACGCACGATACTGAACGAGCAAAGCGTCTGCTGACTTACATGAGTGTTTACAATGCTGCCGAACGCGCCTTTCCAGGTCTCCCGACTTTCTTTATCAGAAATATTCGGCGCGTGCTTTGTGGGAAATCTCTCGCTCCATATTTCGGTCGTTTAGCATGTCCTTAAGCTGAGCATTGCTCTCAGGAGATTGTGCATTAAAAGCAGAGCATCCTCCGCCATATATTTTTCACGATTGTTATCGAGAAAGACCTGGAACCCACAACTCATACCCCAGAAGTGTCCATAGCCACATTTCTTATATAACAGTATCCAAAGCTCTTAAGAATCGTATCTTCCACGTACTATCTTCATTAAAAACTTGGCGCCAGCGCACGAGCAGACCACGAACAGAACACGGACAGAACGCTGGAGATATGCCTTCCTCAGCCCCAGACACAACGATACGTTGGGCATGTTGTCGTTGCGGACTACCGCTACTTAACTGGACCCTCGATCTGTTCTGTCCTGACTGCTCTAGACCGCGCTGTATCCAGTGCCCGGTCACGCTGATTCCTCGCAAGTAATGGTTTCAACCATGCCCCCTTTATATATCCATCCATAAGGAGGCTAGGGTTGGCACCCGCGGCCAAGATCGGTCGACTCACACAACCTCAGACAATTGACACCTCTCTCTCTCGCTGCTAGTCGATTCTCACTGATCCCCTGCCGCCATCAGCTCTACTCACCTGTTGCCTCTTAAGTTCTACAAGAAAACAGCTCTATCGGAACCTGGCCTTCTCTCTCTCTCGTCGCATGGCGGGCATCAAACCCTAGCTTAGCCCCGAACTCTTTTTCTACGGGCAGGAGGTTTCCCCGGTCTGGGATCCACCAATGCTTACCTTCGTTACCTTCGTTTCCTTCTTTTCCTTCTTTTCCTTCTTTTCCTTCTTTTCCTTCTTTTCCTTCTTTTCCTTCTTTTCCTCCCCTTCTTCGTCCATGAAACCTTTATCCTTAACCTTTCTTCTATTTCTGCTTTATCACTGGTCATTTAACCATAGGGCTACCGGTATCATTCTCATGTCATAGACTACCTCAGATATCTAGCGTTGTTTGCATTGGTTCTTTTGCCCCTTAACTACATTTATAGACTACATTTATAAAGTCGTTGTACCAGAGATATATAGTTTCACAACTACCTAGATATCCACATCTCCATAATAAATGCGGTTGTCTAAAGATTTGTTCGCTTGACTTATTTTTGAGTGTGGAAACTGTTGGATACATGTAGACAACAATTACCGAGTTGCATGTAGGACTAAGAATCAATCTTGGTGATAGTAGGCGTGCTGGCAGGACGTCGTTCTAGACGGGAGCATCGCGAATCGGGGAATGATGGCTGAAATAGCCCGCGTGCATCCGAGCGTTGAGCAAAAGTTGATAGCTAGTGGGAAGAAGGGCTCCTGTATAAAACGCACCTATTTACCATAACAACATCGATGGCCCGCCCACCTCGAAGTATTCAAGGCCCTTAAAAGAGTGCAAGCGACGTGTGACTGCAGATGGAACATTGGGCGCCGAAAGAAGAGGTACCATTCAAGCCTGGATGTCAAGGCACAGATGGAGGAAGAAAAAGCGGGAAAACAAAAGTCTGACTTGAACTGAGATAACGGACCAAAGCAAGAAAACATATTGGCACCTTTCCCCAAAACCAAATGCAACAAACAAAAAAGGATAATTTCCAAAGGATAAGCATTGGAGACACCACCTGAGAGCGTAATTTAGTATACCCGGCTTCTGTTTCCCTCAGAATGCCTTGCAAGCGCCCTCCAATACTTCCAGCAATTCCCAAACGCCAGCTCTTACCGCGACCGAGCTTATTCATCAGGTTGTACAAGACGGACCTTGGCCGCCCTTGACAACTCCATGGCCACGCGTGGAGAGGATGCCTTCTCAGTCAATTTCCGAACTCGGCCACTCTTTGACATAGGAGTGCTTCGGAACCCTGGTGAAGCGTAGCCTTGGGACGTGGCTGCTACAATCGTCGAGTCTGACTTCTGGGACACGCCCGACTTCGTCAGCTTCTGAGATGGCGAAACTGATTGTTGTCCTTTGACGTAAGCCTTCACTACCCTCCCAGAGTGGGTCTTTTTCAATATGTCCGCGGTGATACTCTTTCGAGGAGGTTGCTTGACAAGGGTATTGCGCTTCTTGCTCGCGCTGAGAGGTGTTCCTGTGCCCTTTCCTGACGCTTGTGCCCTGTGCTGAGGTGTCTTTGCGGTTACGGGCGGGGCTTTGCTCAGTGATTTGAAGGCTGGGGATTTCGCCTTGCTGTTGAGGTTGGTCAAACTGCTCTTCGCCTTAAGAGACACCGCGGACATGCTACGTTTGACGACAGTCGCCGCACCTTTGGCTGCTTTCAATCCTGCGGTTGATAGAGATCGCTTGAGGCCTGTACCGTTGCTCAACTTGCGCTTTTTCACGCTGACACCGCCTGCGCCATCTCCGATAATCTCCTTGAGCTTCCGTTTTCCTGCATTGACTGAATCCTTGAGCATCTTTGCCGCGCCCTTGTCCTTTGCGTCTGGTTTTGCCTCCTTAGCCTTCTCTTTGGGTTTAGGGCCAAGAACGCCACGGCAATTGTGTTCGCCGCACAGACAAGATTGTACATTTTTCGCTGAAAAGGGATCAAACTTGTAGTCATAGGTGAGCTCTTCTCCCGTCATGATGGGGCGGTCGCCAGCAAAGAGGGCCATTCTAGGGTTGCCACCAACAATCCACTTAATCATCCGGCAGTTCGGATTGCAGGAATGGTTGACGAATCGAGCGATAGATCCGGTCGTTGCGTCGATAATCATATTCTGGTCGAACGACATCAAGTAGTAGCACTGTTACTTCGAGTAAGCAAAAGAAAATGCACATCAAAGGGTAGGAAGGAATCCGAGTTAGGGCTAGAGGAGGTTATTACCGCGTTATTTTTGTAAACTTCATTCATGCGCCGTTCGCACTCCTCCTCCGTGATTATTTCACCTGTATATTCCATGATGATCTGATTTGGTTCGAAGCATCGGTTGCTGCGTACACCATACCCTCGATCGGAAGTCTTGATGACTTCGACGCCAATTCTGTATTTACCACCAGCTGCGCGGCGTTCTGCGAGATGAGTGAAGGCACGGTTGGTGCAGTGCTCCTTTCCTACATTACAATTCGTTTGGTCGCACTCGTAAAGCATGATGCGGTTCTGGCAGCTCTCGCCACACCCATCCTCGGGTTTACAAACACATTTAGACTGGAAGTCGTTGATGTGGGGTGTTTTTCGCCAATACTCTTTCGAATCACCAATGAATCGATCTAGAGATACAAGTTAGGACAACGAAGGGACAAAAGTGCTTTGCCGGTACACGGTGTGCCATTTTTCTCTGAAGGGTTCGAAGAAAGATATATGTATACATAAAGGGGGGTCGGGCGGAAGAGGGAGACTATACTTTTGGTCATTTTTCTCCATTCGTCGGGCTTCGGCTGACCCGGCGGAAGAGGATTGCAGACATCGAAGGGTAGTTTGAAGTCCCGGCCCTTGATGAGGAGTCGCAGTCCGTTGTAAACAGGTAAGGGCAAGATTTTGTTGGGCTTAGGCAGGGACTGCAATTCGAAGATCTGCGCCATGCGCTTCTTCTCGGCGGTAGTGAGACCAACGGCATAGTCACCAGGCGTGTGCTGGCCCGCATAAAGGCCATGCACCAGATATTTCTTTGCTCTCCGTTTCTTGACAGGCGGCGCAATTTCTCGTATAGGCTCAGGAGCTTCCTCAGCAGCGGTTGAAGCGGCGTCACTGGATCTAGCCTTCTGCTTCGCAGAATCCCTTCGGGACTTTTTCAGGTTCACTAGCTTTCCATTGCTCCAGACTGAGTGCACCACAGGTTGCTCGTCAATGTGGGAAAATTCTTTCGTGTCTTGAAGGCGCTTCAATTCACGGGACAACGCTGACTCTACTGTCGCTTGAGCTGGCTTGCTCAAGGCGCTGATCTGGGGGCAGCGCCAAGGATAGCATCTTCGCCGGCCAAGCGCGCTGAAGCACGACGGTTGGTGGAAAGGGACGCCTCAACCTTCTTTGAGAGCCGATGCGAGGGGGTGTATCAAGTTGGCTGATGGACCATTGGAGGTCCAACGCGTCGATCCCCGCGCGCAACAAGCCTTTGGCATCCTTTTCTGCGACCAAGTGGTCTTTGAGCTCCCTCTTCTGACCACCGATCAAAGTGTCAGCCGAGATGGTCCTCCTTCTCTTGTCAGCAACGACGTCGCCATTAGCGCGACGTTTTCCGTGAACAGACGTGCCACTCAGTTCGTTCAGGTTGTATGTTGCCACAGCGCGAGCGCGTCGGGGACGCGAGGAAAAAGCGGGTGTGGATTGGGGGATCGCATCCTCGGGAGCGTCAGAGGGATGCACTTCTGGGGGTGGGGTATCAATGGCTACATTGATGTTTTCAAGCTTGGGAGCATCCGAGGACTGGCTGCAGATGTCGGAGATCGAGGTCGGAGGCGTCGAGCTTGTTGATTCAATGGCAGATGACGCGCAAGACGAAGTCAATGATGAGCACCCAGGGTCGGTAGGGACGTCGAGAGCAACAGCAAGCAGAGGAGCCGTGGGGAGCGTCGAGTGAGGGACCGAGTTAGAGTTCTCCAAGGCCAGAGACATGGCGATTCCTCGTTTAGGTCACAGCGTCAGAGCAAGAGGTGACTCAAGGCGCGTATGGAAAGTGTTTATCTTGTGCGGATGGGGTAGAAGACTCAGAGCGCGCGGGTAGTGGAACGTGACGACACGCTCTTTCGACGCGACGGACGGCGAGAAAGCGCCCCCTCCTCCGAGGAAAAAAAAACGACGCGGTACACGACGGGCGGTTCCGACTTGGCCGCTAAAGTGGGTTGGATGGATTCAAACGGGCATTCGGAAAGATGGAAGTGGAATTGAGGAAGAAAATGAGAAAAGTCGGGGAAGGCGGGCAGGGGAAGAGGGAGGGGGTTGTGAAGGAACAGATCAATTGATGTGAACGGTTGAGGTCTTGGGCACGCGGTCAGAAAATGGAGGGAGATGATTGCTTTCTTAGTGCGTGCATATAAGAGCGCAAGCCAGGGTCCGAACACGCTCGCGACATAATCCAACCCAGGCCTCATTTAGTCCGGGTAGACTAATAATAAACATCACAGATTCTAAAGAGCGATTTTGATCAGAAAAATAGAGATTGCATGCATGGCTAAATATGTTCGAAGAGCTCCCTGAAATTCCAACTCGCCCTACTCCCGAGTCCCGTTTGTTTCTCTTTTAACATTGACTGTTATGTTACCAATACTAAAGGTGTCTCTTTCATTCATTGATCAAACCAGCCGCCTCATTGACAGCCATCAAGAAGGAGCGCAACTGTGGGAGGAGGCTAACGGAGTCGACTGTCTCCCTGTCAAAGGTCCAGAGCGAGGGGGCGGTAAAAGGGGGTACGATGTACCATGGCCGGCACAGCATTGATCTCTTAGTGAAATGAATTCTCCCCAACAACGGGATCTCTCTGTGTTTCTGGGGCGGTGGGAATTCGCGTCCCAAAATCAGGCACTTGTTTCAATGATTGTACCTTGTTCTGTTGACCACGTCCTTAGCACTCGAGATCCATGTATAGATAGATCTTCCATCTCGCGAAGTCTGTCCTTGAGCATGATATGGTCAGGTAGCCTTGACATTATTATCTCCATCAGTACAACACTCGGCAAATTGCTTAGGGCTTTGTTCAGTGCACTGACTGGCCCCTTTGACGGTAGTTACATCAATCTAACGATGGATGGATCTACCCGACGAGATCTCCGCGATGCTTCGTAAAGTTTTGCGCCTACACCATGGGGGCCAGGATGCCCCATATTGTCGCCGTCATTCCCGTTCGTGTCCACCCTTTTGCCATGTCCCCTCCCTCATAAACGCGAAAGAATAGCGAATCTACAGTCCATCTCCAGCTTGATGCTTTCGTAAGTTCCTAAATTAAGTTAATGCGTCGAACTTATATACAAAGAGTTGTGATGTGCTAGTACTCCCACGTCAACCTTGCTCGCGAAGCCCCTGGTGCGTATGTGTCTTCTCTAATTCTGCGGCACGTTCCTCCATCTCCCCTTTCCATCTTGAGCTGCGGCTAGCAATCGCGAAGATCTAGCACCAGCGAAGGAAGGTTGAGCTAGTAGGTCTTGATGTTCCCGAAGCAAGCTACATCAGGCGCACTGAACCCGTCTTTACCTAGCTCTGTGTATCACCGAGCTAATGTCTAAGAGAGACGCAAGCTGGAAAGTCAAAGGTAATCAACCAAAGAGGAGGGTAATGTATCAAAAGAGAACGTCATACGAAACCAGCATAGGGTATTATTAGCGAACTGAACATCAAAGCTGAAAACGGACAACTGCAGCACCAGAAGCCACTTCAATGCACCTCATATCGCCTGAATGGTGCCTCTTTTGAAACCACGTCAGCTCTATCAGATTTGTTTCCCACCCACCAGCACCAATTACCTAGTGATAGAATACCTCGTTAAGATGCTTTAAGTCTTACTTGGTATTGAGTTGAGCTTCGCCCTGGGCTGTTTTTCCCAACTCCTCCGCAATCTCAGGCCCAACAGCCTCCTGGGTAACGTTTTCCACCTTTTGCGCCTCCGCAACCTGAACATCCGCTTTCGAGTCTTCCTCGAGAGCTTGATTGACCTGCGCGGCCTCAGGCTCGGCGGAAGCGGCCGCTGGTATCTCAGACACGGCCTCCGGGGTCTCCTCAGTGGGGGGAGCTGGGTCTCTCAACTTCACGGTAAGGCCCTCCTTAACGCTCGGGCCGGAGCCGCCATATTCCTTGGGAAGTGTCGCGGCAAAGGGTTTGATTTCGTTCGCCAGCGAGGCGCCGGAACTCATGGGATGAAACTTGCGGAGCGTAGCCGGCGATAGGAACAGCTTCATAGCACCGAACACCCAGCCCATGATGGCGGGAACGTTGACAAAATACTTGTGGGAAAGGAGCTCTGGGTAAGCCATCGAAAGTGTCTGGATGGTTTCTTTGCTTGAGGCCTTGACATGCGGATCCATGCGGAAGAATGAGACACCCATGTAGTCATGGACCTGAATCATCTGGTAGGGGTCCTCGGCTCCCTCCGGGATCGGAGTTTTAGCATCGTTCAATTTTAGTTTTCGAACACCGAATTCCATGAGTGCCGCTCGCCATTCAACAAACCTAGTGGCAGGCCACCTCTTAGTATGCGAAGCGAAAAAGTTAGGGGATGCCACTGTAAAGCAGCTACTTACTCCTTGACGTTTCCAAACGTCGCCTTGTTGTCCTTGACACTACCGTAAATGTTCCAAGTGATGACGCGCTCCTCCGCATCTTCAGCCCTGTGCACCGTGACAAAGCCAAGATCACCAAACCGGGCACGGTCATATGCCTTATCATCAAGAAGCTTGGAAGGATTAACCTCCTTACGCCACCTCAGAGCATCAGTCAGCTGCTTCTCCGCCAAGGCCTCATCCCCGTTGTTTGCTCGCAAGAACTTCTGCAGCACGATGGCGGTAGGAGGATGTGACAGGCCGCTCAGAACCACCCCCACATCTCATCGTGGCCCGCTGCCTCCTTAATATTCGTAAGGCGGCTAGCAAACCTAGCCAACGGCGTCTCCTTAGATAGTTCCTTGGGCGTCGCTGTTGTCTCTACCTCTGACTTCGCCTCTGCCTCTGCCCCATTCACACCTTTCTCGGTAGCAGGCTTGACCTCCTCCAGGGCGGTAGGGACGGCGGCAATTCCGGCCGCTGTATTAATATCGGGGGCACCGCCATCGTGAGCAAGGGCATCAACGGGTGCAGGACCCTCACCCGAAGCTTGGGTTTCGGCAGACTTAGGGTCGGCAGACATCTTGGTAAGCGGTCAGCTTTTTGCGGCAATATCTATACAGCTCTAGAGGTCGCGCTATTGAAGTCGAAATATCAGTGTCTAGCGAGCTTCGCTCCGAAAATTGATAGCTAAAGATTAATTCTTTGGAAGGAAAGGCCCTTGCTGGAGGCAGGGTGGAAAGTAGGGGCTCCAGGAGTTCCCACTCACTGTTCAGGTAAACGATTTGATCTCACAAAAAAGAAAAGAAGAAAAAAGAGAGAAAAACGAGGAAAGTGTACAACGAAAGAACAAACAGTAGTGTTCATCAATGTTGTCCGAGGAGAAGACGCTGCCGAAAGTGCGTTGAGGTTGGTGAGAAATTGATAGGGACGAACTATATGGTCTCTGGCCATTTGTTTGGTTTAGACAGGCTGCGAAGTATTTATGGGATGACCAGGGTCGTCGTTGCCAGGAGCAAACCGGAACAAATATCACTGATTATCCAATCAATGATCAATGATTCATGCCAGATCTACGAAGTATATGTAATGAATTATGTTGCCCCAATGTTCTTTAACTCTTGGAACTTCGACCAAACACACCGGCCTTCTGTTCCTCGTACTGAACACGCCTTCGGCCTGGTGACCAATCGAACATTGTGCTTCTTCCTGCCTGAACGAAGAGTCTAATATTGAATCTGTCAATTTCCACATATATTCTATCAAGGTAGAGAGCCCTAGATTTTTTGAGGCCTGTCGAGGTTCCTGCGAGGGAGCGCTATCCGACTGCATCAGCAAGGTTATCATTCCATTAAACCCAGGATCAAGCTAGATAGACCAACCCGCTGTTTCGGCCCTATCTAGACGACTAACCGCCAAACTATGCTCTCAACCTATATCTATCTATAGATGGTTCCACCCTTTAGAGTCCTACATGTATCCCGGGGAAGAGCGCAGAGTCACAAGAGCACAGGGGCATCTTTGCTCGAAGCCCAATGTTACGTATATGGTATATCCCCGACCGTCGACGCGTCATTCGCGCGCTCATACGCCTGGAGAGAACTTGAAATCTGTGAAGAGCATTCGATTCGGCTCGAATTGCTTGCTGCATGGACATATCAGCCACATGTTCCTGACTCGCCCAGGCATTCCCCCACAAGCGCCCTACTCTTTGAAAACATGAGAACGCCCTCCAGTGTCTCTTCGTCGTGCCGGGCATTCACAACCGACATGTGTAGCGCTTACAAGTCCCACCTTGAAACCCTCCTTTACGTCTCACTTGAATAACATTGAATCTAGATGTCGTGGAAATGGCTAGTTCACTGTATACCGTACAGTTAAGTAGCCTAATGACAAGTCAACGTGGTCTGCACGACTTTCGCCTATCGAGATGAATGGCGTGGCGTTTGGAGCAATTAGCCCTCGCTCGCAAGGAAGAGAGGGTATCACAGCTACGCATCATATGAGCCCAGCTATGGGGAGTGCCTCCAACAATTCCAAAGGCGGATTAAGCATATGTTTCTTTTTTATAAAAAAAAGGCTATCCCACCTAATGCCCTAGCGCTGTGCAATCTATCCTTCTCGACATTTCCGCCTCAGTTATCTTATTCCTCGACTTGTGATCCTCTAACTTCATCTTCTTCGTATGATGAGCGACATCACCAAAGGGAGGTTTCAAACGGGAGTAAAATCAGTGCGAAACGTGGGAGCCCATAATCATTTCCTGTTGCCCCTTCCCCGCAGCCTTCAACGATGAAGTTGATACCGACCGTGCTTGGGTTAGCCCTCTTGCTACTTCTGGACCGTATAGCTCAGCTTGCCAGCTGCACGGCGAAGTATCTTCTCAATAGCCTGGAATTCCCTCTCGGCAAGTTGAAACAATGTCAACTTCTCGAGTTCTTCTGGTGGGATGACTCCAACTTCAAGCCAGAAGTATCCCCAGTAGTCATCCGTCTGCTGGCCAATGTCCTCAGCCCGTTGGCGCTCGCGGAGGGGAGTTCAATGAGATGATTTCGAGTTTCCTCAGCAATAACGTTGACATACCACTTGCAAAGAAAAAAGGAAAAGGAAAATTAGGCTTATTCAACGAAGATGTTGGAGCAAGCCCCCAAAAGAAGGCTGCTTGGAAACGGAACGTTCGAAGATTGAGGAGAATTTGGCAAGGAGGTTGGCTTGACTCACTTCGATTAAATCATAAGGAAGCCCGAGCTTCACTGACACAGCATATTGATGCCGCCATCGGTGAGCAAATCGAGGCTGTCCGAATACGCAAAGCTCGCTGTGACCCAAATAAGATAGACGGGCGATATCATCCTTCTGTAGTACGGTAAAGCCACGGCATGTCATAGAAGTCACCACAAGGCGCCTAAGCAGGCGGGAAGTTAAGCGAGCGTCGTGAGTACGCCTCTGGATCTTCGTTTGTAAGAGCTCGATTAGTTTGAAGGTGGTACGAAATATCTTGTACCGCTCACCATTGCGGATATGGTGAGTCTGCCCCCAGGGAAATTTCTGTAACATGCTTATAATAGACTCAAATGGTCTCTCGGGACAGTCCCGGGAAAATGGGCACTAAAAAAACAGGGGGTATCAGATTCGCATCTCACAACGTGATATGACGGCACCCTTCGAGTCAACTTACTCTATGTGGGTTTTCGACATGTTTGACAAGCATGGTAAGCTCTTCCTCTGTGACAAAGCCTCGGAATGACAGCATCCCTTCCTTGCTGATTATGGGTTCGTCATCTGTCCACTCAACACCATTGGCCTTGGGGAATAGTGCTTTCATGAGTTCCTTTTGATTAGACATGGAAATATCAACCAGTCTATCGCCGAGTCTGCTAGGACGTCCGCTAGCGCAACACCGCATATGACGTTCAACGACACGCACAGCATCATTCGTCGACCGGAGCTCGACAAACGCATCCAAAGTCTTGCCAGTGACACGGCACATGACAATATGGATAGATTCCATCAAATGTGACAGATACCGCGAGTTTTGGCCAAGAAACGCATCGATTTCGTTATGGGCCGTTTCAAAGGGGATCTGATGGTATGATTAACGAGCGGAAAACGCATGGGGATGCGCTGGCCTCCTACATTTGTGATTTTTACTACACCAGACTCATGAGGTCCATCGCCAATATTTTGTGCTGCAGTTTCGGTAAAGGGGAAATATTGGGCGTCCAAAACCATGCTCAAGCTCGAGTCTCTGTTGAGGTTGTTCAGAAGAGCCCTCAACTCCTTAGATGCGCCGGTCTGAGTGGATTGGCTTTGGTGATCTTGCACGCCTTGGTAGGCGAGACTTCCGGTTCCTCGAGAAAATTGTGTCTGCAATGCTGCAACAGAGCTGTGAGTTGGTCCACTGTAAAACGGGCTTACCGTAGCAAGCTGGCCTACGCTCTTAAGGGGAGTAGAGGGGGTCTCTGCAGTGGTTTGGTCTGCCTCATTCTGGGCACCGCGTCTCTGTTGATCCTCTAACTCGCCGTCTCGTGAAGGCACACCTCGTTGTCCAACGAGCCCCTGCGAATACCCAACTGTTGGTATTTGGCTTTGTAGAAGCTTGGGAAGGCCACAGCCACCCTCAATTGACGGCTTACTTAGTTGCCAGGCAAAAGATCCGATGCGGGCAGCACTTTTTCGAGGAGGTGGTGTTGGAGACCTAACCTCAAAGCCAACAAGGCGGACCTGCATCATGGGGGCTGTTTCAATACACTCATCGGCACCACCTTGCTTTATCGGCGTATAATACGCACGCCCGTCTGATTCATCCCCAGTATGGGGGCAAGCATCCTGAGAGCGGTAACGCGCAAAGGAATAGCCTCTAAGCTCATTCTCGGCTGCCTGAGCTGCCGAGAATCGAGCATCAAAGATTTCATATTCCTCTGGCATGTTTTTGCGTCCCTGCTGGTTAGAGGAGGGCCGGCCGCTGTCCTCAGATATATTGTTTATATCAAGGCCATCAGGCCGGTAAATTTCCAATGGTACTGAACCGACGGAAAGGCTAGTATTGAAGCGGGCGGATGGCGCTCTTTTGTAGACAAAGGCATGTCCTCCAACCTATTTTCCTCGTTAGTCAACCCCGACGTAGTTTGCTTTCTATGCTCGAGTAGTAGCCTTACATCCGGATGGGCTTTCTCGTGAGGGATGCGGTCTATGAAAGAGGGGCTATGCCCATACGAATTCTTAGGAGCCGGAAATACTTGCTGAGGCGAGAGGCCAGCCAGGCGAGCCAGATTTAATAGCTGGAACTCGCGGTCCGTTTGCACGGAGGCCCTAGTTGGGCTCTCAAGCGGTTTCGAGGGGCCGTCCCTGGGCTGGGGCCCGTTGCTAGACATATTCGAGAAAGACTAAGATCTGGGATTCTGTTAGGGTGTAGGGAACCACTTATTGTAAGGACTAAATGGCCTATTAAAAGTCTTCTCACACGGCTGGGAAGGGAACCCGAGTTGAAGCAACAAAAGGTTCGAGTCTTGACAGAATTTGAGGTGGGCTTCGATTTGGTTTGGGTAGGGTCAAAATCCTTGAATTTGGCGGATATGGTATGGTGTTGTTCATCCCATAGGAAGAAGGCGGATATTGGCCTCGCTATTGAGTTATTGGCCTGGCAAGAGAATGGCAACGGTGTAGCCTAGGGGGTATAAGATACTCAATGGCGGTCGTGGTTTCCGTTTCGAGAGTCGAGGAAGCCCTCTCAATGATTCATCTTCATCTAGCTGCGCCTGCTTTTGGAAAATAAATAAGGGCAATTCATTTCACCCCCAAAGGCGGGGAGGGCTACAAGGAATTGTGACTTGATGACTCGAAAGTCAAGGGTAGAACACCATCAGTAGATAGAGTAGTTGCAACCCGGTCTCAGGAAGTGTCGGCGGATACGAGTGCAATGAAGCGCTTCCCTTCACGCACATACTTACCATCGAATAGGCCAAGAGACTGCACGGGTGGTAAGGCGATATGACAAATACTGATGTAGCCGATTCTTGGGTGATATAGGTACCCATTAGCTACCGACTACTTTACAAATCACAGTAAATAGAAATAGGCCCCGTCTGTTAGATTCGGTGGAGGCAGAGGCGCGGGTGGGAGAAAGCTTCGCCTTTACTAGGTAAGAGTGTCGTGCTTTCCAGCCATAATTGGAAGCTTACGAGCCACTTTTCCTCGAAGGGAAGCCCGCCAAAACAATAAATGAGGAGCCGCCATTTTGATTTCGCATGGCGATACAAAGCTCACGATGATCTGATATTTAAAATCCGTTTCCTGCACCCCGTTCTCTCATGTCCATACATGGATGTTCTTGAACTAAACGTTGTTGTTAGAGCCTCGTCGCATGAAATTGAATGCTGGGTCTGGCCCTTCTTTGCATGCCTTACCACGACGATAAACCGATCCAAGCCGTCTCTTTTCTTATTTTTTTATAAAAGATAGTCTATTGGTATCGTGGAAGAATCTTGGGCTCGGGAGGGCCTCTAAGGCCTAATCAAACTACGTTGCGCGTGGTTAGCCAAACAGCTTCTACAAGCGATGTGGTGTGGCCAAGTAGACCTACAGGTGTCAAGAAGGATTCAGCAACGAATCGCGCTCTCGCATTCAACTTTTGATACCGGCGTGTTAGTATTTTTCTCTTGTATAAGAAGGGGGTTGCTGCGTACAAATAATTTCATCTCCGAGATCTCTTTATCAACTTCCTCCATAAACTGGATAATGAAGTCGACCAGCTTGTGTTTCAGCATTTCCTCGGTATGGAAGTTTGTGATAAGAAATGAGATGTCATATCCCTTTGAAAGTAAGCGTGTTAGCATCTCAGTCAAATCTAGTTAAGCCTCATGCTTCCCACAGGAAGACAACTCTCACCTTGATAGGCTTTCGTCGGAGGATAAAAAGCTCTCCGCTCGCTGTGTTAAAAACCTTGTGAACTTATGGACTAGTATATTCTCAATTTCGTCGGCCTGCTTGATGCGAATGCTGACCCGCACAGAATTTACGCTGGGCTCAATGAGAACACGCTCATTCTCGTTTCGGGCGACCGTCATTGGCGTCAGCACGACCTCAGGAGATGTGCGCGCCTCGACCTCGGGAACATTGTGTCGCTCAGAAGTTTGAGATGCGAAATCACTAAGGCAGAGTGCGGCAGTAAGAGTACTGCGAACGCATTGGAGGTATGGTCGAAGAGATTGAGACTATCTCAAGGCAAATTTGTTAGCTTTGGCTACCTCGACGTTGGTCTTGAGACAAAGGTAAAGATATAAAAGGAAAAAAAGCCTACCATGACTAGGCCAAGTGGAGGCTAGATAGACTGGAAAGGTGAGAGGAGCCAACAGGCGTAGAGCCTTGAAACCGGGATTCCTTTTTCTCCTTCAGGTTCTGGAATTGTAGCAAGGGCCTGGTGTGCCTCGGAAGCTCTCAGCGTGAGAGGGTGACGTTGATGAGCGAGGGGTGCGGGTGTGGGGTTGGAACTGGAGGGGAAGGACATTGCCGGCGCTGCTTAGTCATCGCCGAGCTCAATCAAGTTCCTTCCATTTATGGATGGTTGATGGGTTAATATTAGAAGCTTTAGCTTTGCGGGCCCCCTCATGATTTCTTGCAGCTCCAATGGCTGAGGCGGAGCAGAATTCAAAGCTCAAGCGACCTTTCCAACTCCACATTTAAACCACCCGCACGCTAATATCGATGCCATAAAATGGATGTTTGGATTAACCATTATCTCACAAACTGCCCAGCCCACGCTGTTTAGCTCCGGTAGGAATACGAAAGTGAGCAGTGAGCAGACTATCATGCGTTATAGCGCCCTCTGTCTGTATGGCTAGTAAATAAGGACGCCATATATCTCAGTACATCGATTATCATTATGACCAAAATCTAGAACAACTCTAACGCCAAACGTGATGCGGGAGTGACTACAAACCGTGGCCGAAGCTTGAAGACTTTCGACCTCAAACCGACTGTGGGGGCAACCAGAACTCCTAGACCCGTGCCGAGTAGTGTGACTTCCGTCCCCGTGTATTCATACAGTTTCTGATCTAACCATGTAACTAGTTCGGAGGCTGAAGTAAAGGGCGAAACTAAACCGCTTTTGTTACCCGGCTGCGTAAGCCCAGAACAAGTAGAAAAGGGGATCAAGAGGCCCGGTAGGGGAGCAAGTAGGAGTAAAAGAAAAGGAAAGGAAAGAAACCTTGAGTGTCCAAATACGCAATATGGTAATGTGACGGGCATAACAGCTTATCGAGATGGTCTCAATGGCAGTGGGATGCTTGGGAGTTAGGGGTTTGCGATAGGGAAACTGGCATATTAGGGCTCCCAGGATGGAGTTTGCGAGCCAAGGCCTCCATCTTTTCGATCAACTCAGACATGCGATATGGTTTGACGAGGACATCGTCACAACCTGCTTTGAGAGCCGCTCCAACCTGGGTCTCTTTTGCATGGGCGCTCACGGCAATGATTGGAATGCGGTCAGTGTGGGCTGAGAAAACCATGCCTTCATCCTCAAGCTCTCGAATTTTACGAGCACACGTAAGGCCATCTTGCACCGGCATCTCAATGTCCATGAGAATAAGATTGAAAGGTGGCGAATGAGGGGGCTTCGTGGGGTTCCCTAGGTCGTTCGACGTCTCGCCCCGTGGCCTAGAGCCTGTCAGCTTTTCCAAGGCTTCAAGACCATGATTCGCGACATCGACTCGAAACCCCTTTTGAGTAAGACCACGTTTCGTGATTTGCTGATTGATGTTATTGTCCTCTACGACCAAGATCCCGTCAAGGCTTGCACTAGGTCCGAGCCTTTGACTCGAGTCCATGGAAACCGCTCGGCGGTCTATACAAGGGCCGTTACTGAGGGAAGAGCAACACATCGGATCCGGCTCTATTGACTTGGCAATTGCGACTGCAGCTGTCGACAATGCCACGGCCGATGCAGAAGTGGATAGTGCTGTCTCTTCCACGGCGGGTATACTCGGGAGATAAGCCTCAATGAAGAAAACAAAAGTTGAGCCAGAATTGGGGGCGCTTGAAACCCCAATGGCGCCGTTTTGAAGCTCAGTAAGCCGCCGAGAAATAAAAAGCCCCAAGCCGGAGCCCCCATGGTTGACATGTGTGAATGAGCTCGCCTGCTGGAATCTGTTGAAGAGGTGGCGCATTTCATCCTCCGAGAGACCACGCCCGGTGTCCTTGACCTCAAAGATTAGAAATACGGGGTCAGTCCTCCCAATAAGGTCGGGTTGCTCATATTCAGGCTCATCATAAGACCGGGGCATGAAGCGAACTCCCGATATATCGTTGGTAGGTCGATCTCGAGAAGCTTTCACAAGAACAGACACATTACGCACGGGGCGATTCTTCGTAAATTTAAGAGCATTCGTAAGTAGGTTTATCAGAACCTGCTTGGCCCGGGAAGGATCAAAATCAAAATGGTCGTGACCCATAGCCGCAAACGTATGGTCTACCGTCATCGTTAGGTCGACGTCAACACGTCTGGCTTCCACTTCAAACATTTTCAGCGCATTGCGGACCATGACCAATGGGTCGACAGTGCACGGGGTGACAGCGATAAGCTTAGAATCAAGTTTGGATACTGTTAGGAGGTCGTCAATAATGCGTTTTTGGTGTTGAGCGCACGCAATTATTGTCTCCGCATTATCAATGCTTTCCTCGACAATCCGGGCTCTCTCGGAAGAGAGCTGGTCAATGTTTGAGCCTTGGCCAGCAGGATGCGTTCGCGCCAACGGAACACTCGCGGGGATACCAGTATCATGGAGCTGGGATAAAGATGCAACAATTGCGTCGGCACAATGAATGATCGCCCCTAGTGGATTTCGCATTTCGTGAGAGGTCATGTCCATAAAATTTTCCTGCTGCCGCTTTGATTCAAGAGCCTCTTCTTTTCTGCGCCGTTCGCTTTCCAACTGCCATTTCTGCGCTGAGACATCGCTAAAGCAACCGTGAATGGCGTGAATAGTGCCATCCATTGAATGTATGGGCATAAACGTGGCGAGCACCCATCGAGGGGCTTGGATTTCTTTCCCAGCGCTGTCCTGTGCAGACCAAGACGTGTTCAGACGAACCTCTGTCGTTTGAGGCATACCATCTTTGACAAGACGGCCGAGGACGTCAATGAGTGGTGTTTTCTGCTCCTCTGGCACACAGATTTCCCACGGCCGGACATCTGCGGTTGCCAAATCATCAACTTTTGGGATCCCACAAAGGTCAAAGAAAAACTTGTTGGCCTCGATCAACCTCCCATTTAGATCGGTTTCACATATCCCAACAGCGGCTAGTTCAGCCATTCTCTGTAGCTTCTCGATTTCTTGCTCCTTCGTCGTTGTGTTGTTAATGGAAATTTGTGGAGGGATTTTCGCTATCTCGGGGTTGGTGAAATCAGGCTTCATACCACCGATAGAAAGTGAATGCATTGGCTCGTCTGTTTTTGGTTCAACTTGTGTAGCGTCTGTGCCAGCCATCTTATCCGAGCTAATATCCTCGCCCGCGACCAAAATTTCCATCGAGATTCTCTTCGAGTCCGCAATACCGTTCACACCCGGGTGCCATTGCGGCAAATCAGCAACTTCAAGAGTCGTGGCTGACGCCAAGTAAGCGGAAATTGTCTGATCGAGAAGTGAGATGTAGTGCTTGTAGTCACTGTCATATGGTCGATGTGGATTGAGCCCGAGTAGGAGGAGAGCACGTGGTTCCGTCCTGTTGTCTGGACGGATTGGACAGATGACAACAGCTTGGCACTCGCCAATAGAGCTTCGGAGAGGCAGGGTGCTGAAGAGATCAGGAGACAAAGTAGAGTCGGAGGTTTGGAGTAGGAGCTTTTGCCGGGTGACGAAGGCCTTTTGAAACCCCCGGGCAAGCTCAGTGCTAGGCTGCCCGAAATCAAGGATATCGGGTATGAGAGGATGACTTCGGGGAATGCCTAACGAACCCTCAAGTCGACAGAGGCAAGAAGTCTTGGGGAGGTGTTTGGCTCTACTACTAGAGCATCGGGGCCCGAAGGAGTGCTGCAGGAATAGAGAATAGCAAGAGGGACGTCAAAGGCCGAACTATGCTGCTCCAGCCCCTCGATAAGTTTCTGCCAGTACGATTTCACATCCTGCGCAGACAATAAAGTGTCATTCAAACTGCAAAGCATCTCCGCGCGCCTCTCCCATATCCGAGAGCGTGTGACATCTCGGACCGATTGTAGGAAGCCAACACATTCTCCTGCGTCGATTATGGGTGTTGTGGACGAGTTGATATGCGCCTCCTGCCGAGCACCGCCACCACTAGGAATGACCAGTAAGGCCTCGCTTTGTACCGTCATCCATTCGTTTCGTTGGTCCAATAGCACCATGAGAGACTGGGGAATAGTTTCGGCCTCCGACCAAACACTCGGCATGGGCCTCCCTAAAAGACGAAGGTGTTGTGTACCACACAACCTGCTGAACGCATGATTATATATCACTATCTTGCTGTCTCCCCAGTAGATAGCGGCGGGATGTGGATCAGTGATAATTTGACAAAAGGTTTGGAGGAGACAGGCAGGCCATTGGTCCAATGAGCCAAGAGGTGACTCTATCCAGCTCCGACTGCAAAGGAGGTTAAGGAACGATAGCTGCTCACGATCGAGGTAGCTGGTTAGTACAGCAAAAGCCTTAGGCACAGCTTTCGATTCAGTGATAGGGGCTTCAGATCCCCCAAACTCCGTTCAAGGGATGGCGCAGACGATGGCGCTTCTGGCTCGCGAGTTGGGATAGGGGTTTGCTGGAGCATCTTATGGGGGCGCTCAGAAGATGGAGGCTCTTCATTCGCGCCGACGACAACCCACAGGCCACGAACAACAGATTTGGTCCAAAGGATATTTAGATACCAAAACGACGAGCCATCAAGGCCGTCAATACCACCACCAGGGGATAATTCGTTTGGAGGGGCGATGGCGTGACCACCCAGCTCCAGAAAAGGTCTCGATCTTTCTGCCGATAAGAAACGAGAAGATTTAGGAGCTGAGAGTAAGCGATCAGTGAAGGATTTGCGTACGCGATTGACCGGCGATAAGGCTCGTCCGTCTGGGGCGAGGCTGAGATAAGAGTCGTCGTGGAAGCCCTGAGGTCGACGACAAAAGTTGGCCGAGGGTCAGATTCAAGAAGATCGACGAGCCCCACCTGCCGCAGTTGCAGTGGCATAGAGCGATATTGAGGGAGGCGCCCGAGGAGACGTCAGGTATTCTCTCACGAGAAGGTCAAGTGAATAGCTGGGTGCCCCTAATAAACCTATTGTTTTGGTTGCGGGGCTCAGCAAGCTTTGACGGAAATCGCAGATTTCGGGTTACGAAAGCGTGATAGCAGCCAGAGGGTCGCAGGTTATACCCAAGAGAGAGAGTTCATCATGCATGTATGGGCGACACAAACCAGAGACCTAATCAAAGGCAGGGTGATCTCCAATACAGCGATGCCGAATAAGTCCGAGTTTAAGGGTGCGCAGCGAAGAATATTAATTTTTCTCTGGACCAGTGCAAAGGAACGGGGATCGGGGTTACGCTTTAAGAGAAAGTGTGTGCTAAAGTGTGTACCGAAGAAGCCAAGCCAAGATAAGGCCTCCGAGACGCTGACATGGAAGTGCTCGTTGGAGACAAGGGATAAGTCCTGTCTACGGGGCGAGCGACGTCTGATGAGAAAAGGCGTTTTGTAAGAGAGTGGAAGGATGTTTAGCAATATCGTCGGACGCAGAGGACCAAGGTAGAGGCCGTGGGGAAGGGGAGGGGCGGGGAATTTTCGAGAGAGGAGCAATCGAAGCGACTCGGTGTGTCTGTGGGTGGAAAGAATTGGGAAGTGTGGGAAGAGGTGAACGAACACCCACCCACCTTTAGAACGTCGATCTGCTTGCTCCACTTGACCAACAAGACGGCGGGAGGGTCCACTTCCACGGGCCTGGTGAGTCCTTGTCTGGGCACGATACTAAAAGCTGCACTACTGACACCATGACACGACACAACTCTCTTTCTCCTGGTGACCACCCACTAACATGGAATCGTAGCAAGGCACAAGAAATCTAGTCCAAGATAATTTAGTAAAATCAATCACAGTAGAAGCCAGATGCTCGAGGCGAGGTGTTACTTCTCTGTGCTGTCGCTATTACGTCGTGCACTGAAGGGTGATACCAGTACTATCTACGAAAAAATGCAGGGCCGGATATGATGTAACTAGTAGCCATCGCGTTCTGTTTCATGCAAAGTGACCAGGGAAGACAGAGAACCGGTGTGGGCAATCGGTATCCAGTACAGTCATCCAGGCGGTAAAGGCGAGAAATCCCTGGATGGTCAAATTTGGGTGGTGAAGATTCATGATCAATGTTCCTGGCCGAAGACCAGGAGGCCCCTGTCCCCAGCGGGCTAGTTTTGCCTTTTGAGCGAGTGAAGACAGGTAGGTGCCTGAGCTACCCATCTGCGAAAATTGATTTGGAACCTGAATTCCGTTATTACTTGTATCTTCTGGATCTCAACAAAGTAAACATAGTCACATTAAGGCTCCCGCCGCAAAAACAGACGAAATGCCGATGTGGATTCATCAAGTTCTCACAAGGCCAGCATCAGCAGCAGATCTTTCTCGTGCAACTTCTCTTCCTCAATTTTTCTTCTTCTTTAGTTAGAGATCCCTCCGGTAAGACTCTTTCTGGCTTCATTGCATATCAAGGGAGGGGTCCTCCAGGTTAACTTCTTACTGCCATCAGACTTGTGCCATTGCTACCAGTGCTCCTTGGCCCGCTGAAAGAGAACATGGAATTTGACGTTGCTATTAAGGCTAACGAGGGTCAGCGCCCCTGGTCCTAAATTGATCATTTCCGCCGGGACCATAATTGACGTGGACACAGGGCCACGAGTTTGCATGCAAAGGGTAATATGAATAATAGTTGAAGGGTGTGTGAGTGTAATAGCTAATGTCGAGAGCGGGACTGGTCCCGGTTTAGCTATCAGGTAGAAGGAAGAAGGATCTGCGCGTCAGCCTCTTTCTGCTACCATGATACTCGAGGCTGAAGACCTGAGACCTAGTATTAAAAGAACGAAAGAACGAAAGTGTTTGAAGCCTCGTCGTACCCTTTAAGCGGTGCACAGAGAAGCCTGAGTTGACCCTTGGGGGTTTTTTTTTTTTTTTTTCGTTCTGGTGAGGGAAATCATAGAGACAGGATAGGCTTTAAGTTAGAAAACTGAAATGGTGGGACTTAACTTGGCAACTTGGGTTCAAGGGGCGAAGAAAAGGGGAGAAGATATAATTTGTGCAGAAGAACAGCCACTCCAGCTCTTCACAGAGGATCACAGATTAAGAAAATTATCTGTTAATAATACTACCTTGGCTCTTTCAGGAGCCTATGACGCTAACCTTCCTATCATTGGCTAATCTCACTGGGGTCTAAAGCACTATGACGTAATTGACATGAGGGTGGATGGTACTTGCAGCAGCATAGTGATCCAGGTACCTCGGTACTTTTTAACTCACGGCTCAGGCTAAAAGAAAGGAAAGATTTAGTCGTCTACTGAGGAAGCAAATATCTCCCTCTATTTGGTTATCTATTTACTTCAACCTATAAAATAATCTATTAATGAGGAGAGTATCAATATAGCAGATCTAATAAAGCTAAGAAAAGGGGATCATTATTGGTTGAGAGAATGAAGTGAGTCCTTCTATGTCAAATATATCTAGGCAACTAGGTGAAAGAAACAACCTTATGTAACAAGTCCATCCATTATTGATAGGCGGCCAATCATCAAATAGACCCAATTGATCCGCAATACAATAATATTTCGAGTCCACTAATTTGACTCTACTATACAAGGAGGGTCCTGCGAACGTTTATTGCGGCTCTAAGCGTCAAGCAAAACGATTTAATGGTGCAATAGATGGATGGATCCATTACTTCAGTATAGATCAAAGCAATGGAGACCTCAACCCCTCTAGACACAATTATCAATTGAGCCTGAGTAGGCGGGGATGGGGGTAGACCCCCAAATTGAACCACGAGCCCGATAGTAGTTAACCTCCTGAGCCCACTATCCGTCATTCTGACTTGAATGGCGCCCGATGTTGAAACCTATGGATCCATTCGAACAATCAAAATTTGATTCTAGATCTATCAATTAGATGGATGGATGTTGATACCTAGTCACCTCCACCTTGGCCCTTTGCTAGAGTTGAATAGACGCATTCCTGAGCACCCACTGGCCATTGACCCCACCAAATTCAAGACGTCACTACCTGAGCAATCAATTTGACCCTCTTTCGTGGGTGACCAATTGATCAACTTCGACTGTTGGCTCCACTTCAAGTGGTGTCAAAAACCAACTGGTTGGGTTCGTCAGTCCAAGCCCAGTGTGGCGGCCACTCCAACCGCTTTCGCAATAACGCACCTACCCAGGTAATAGATCTCTCCATAGATCATAGATCAATCGGATCAACGATTGTGTTATTGGGGCTTACATGTACCTGTCGGCGCCTTGATTAGTGGCATGAGCGAATGAGCCGACTGGGAGAGCAGGAGCAAACCCTCCGAGAATTGGCAAAAGAACTAGATTGCTTCAAACTATTGAGTATCACTTGAATATCCTGCATATCACGGGCGAGGAGCACCGATACACTAATCGACATGCAAAGCTTCGATGTCCAAGGTGCAAGCAAGGTCCACATCGCAATGCAGCCTCTCTTAGTCTACAAATGTACATCATATACTACTCAACAGATTAGAGTGAGTTCTTATTAGTTGCAGCCGAAAAATGTCCCAGAACCCGGGATTCGAATAGCCCCAATACTTCACATAACCTCCCCCTTCTCACGCACGCACATGCTCCCTCCCTCCCGGGCGGCACTGCCTCCTTTGCGTGCCCCTATCCCCTCAAGTCACTTAGCCTTCTATTTGAGAGCCTGAGGCCTTGTTAATCACCACCGACAATCGCTGTACGATGCCACCTTTCTTCTGACGCGGCCTGATACTTACTCAGGCTCTCATCCCGCCTCTCGATGGGACTAAAATCAAACAATCGGTATTACCGTAGACACTGGGCCATAAGTTACAGGCTTGGTCTAAAAATATGGAACTAGTGATCAGCGAGCACCTCTTCAAAGCTCATACCTGATATCTTTGAAGTTCGGAACAACAGCCGACCGCCCGGGAAAAGGGCTATCAACCACCTCCATCAATAATTTGCCTAGAGTGCCATCATTTTCACCGGCTAACTTCGCGCACCGCACCAACAAAGCTGCTCATCCCGCCGGGCGACGAATCGTTTGCGACTTCTCTAACCTCCCCAGTTTCTAGTCGATTCATCGCATGCTCACCTGTCCACAAACCCGCTCATATACATTCCCCATGCTACCCCAGCTAGCCCGCCTACTAAGTTCCTCTCTTTCACAGATTTCACGAATGCGAAGTTAAAAAGGCTAACAAATGGCCAGAAAGTCCATCCAGAGGCCATAATAGGCCAGAAGTCTTGGGCAGATTGCTTGAGTACGGCTCCGAAATTGACGCGTGAATAGTTGACGGCGCCACCGCTCAAGAGGAAGTCAAGGCTCCGACCGGCAAGGCGCAAGTTAAGGAGTTCCACCTCGCTTTGAAGGGGAGTCATCGCGGTAGCAAGACCATTCATGAAGATGGCAAAAAGAATGGTATTGACGGCGGAGCCAACGGTTTGGTCAAGTAGTGTCTTGATTACGGTGTTCCCAACGCTTAGGGGGTAGCATCCTTAGTTTGCGCGGGTTGGCGTTCCTTTTCGGCCTTTGGCTTGGACGGGGGAGCCGGATCATGAGCTGGGTAGGCAGACTCCAGAAACTCCTGCCTACGATGAAGTATCGGTTAGCAACGAACACGAGTCGGCACCTTCTCTCAAGACACAGTACCATAGATAATTTGGTGGGGTTGTTAGGAGCGCGAGGATCATGAACTGGACCACCGGTACCCAGTCTATGAAGATGCGGATCTAATGGGCGCAAGATGTCAGCTACTGGTCTAGCATCTGGCTCGATTGCTAGAGCGCCATTCCCCAAGGCTGCAATGGCAGAAATACACCTACATCTAGCCGGTAGGATCTGAAGAATTGGGCAAGGAAGTTCGCGATGGCAGCTAGTACTGTGGATTGTATCGTGGCGGTAATAATGGGGGACAACGCCATGGTCACCCTCGGGGACCTGCTAGTTTTGCAGGCTGATGACTAAAAATAAGAAGAACCTCGTGAAAGCGATACGCCGGCCGAGCTGTTGTGTGGGCGCCTGTCGGTCTTACGAAGGAGAACCCTGTTACCTGTTGAGATACTTGAAGCCTTGAGCAAGAAGAAAGGCGCCAGGGGGTAACAATGGTAGGGGCGATTTGAATGACGGATCAGTAACTGAGGTGAAATCTAACCTGGGATTATGTTCTATCATGTGGTGGCCGTAAGGAGAAGACCACTGGCACCATAGACGGTGCTTAGCAAAAGAGAAGGTCGAGGGTAGGAGGCTTTTTCATCCTTCATTAATAAATTTGGGCGCCCATAAATTTTTGCTGTCCTTGTTTACACGTATCCTGAGTAATGCAAGAGGTGGACGTCGTTTAATATCGAATGTACCCACGCCCCTTATTATAGTAATCTAGTGCATGCACTTCCAAATGGCTGGCTGGATCAACGGAGCTCAGCCAAGAAGTGGGTGTTTGAGGAGGAGCCCCGACTGATTATCTCCCGCCAATTTTGGAATAATAAATCCAATTGATACACTCTATATCCATATGGGTTTGCTCTGTGGATACCGTGGTACATACGATAGATTCGCGCCTAATTCCGCATAAATTGTTTGATCCATCCGATGACACCTAAGGCAGCACCTTTGATCTTCTCTCGGCTGAGATACATGGGGAGAACGAGAGGGCAGCACCGGAATAACAATCCAACCCACAGGGTGCTTCCCGCGCTGAGATCGGAAACTGATGCTATGAGGGACAGGCAGTCTTTGGCCCTACCCGTCCGGGGTTATCACATATTTCAAACTCATTGTGTGACATTGTTAATAGTATAAAAACGAGTCGCCCATAAACGACATGTCTTGATGCGTTGCATGTCACTATGCCCTTGTCAACATCCACATGAACACGAGTTGTACAAGATAAGAGTAGGCGAATAGGAACTGGGTCCGTTGGCTCCTCTTTGCCCTCGAATCCGTCTGCATCGGTCCCCCATTATTATTTGCGCTCTCCGGCAGTAGAACGTATTTGAGGGAGCGCATAAGAAAGAGAGAGTTGGCGAGGAAAGTGTAACTGAAGACTGCCCACCCAACCCATCCACCGGTACCCTGACCGCCGTTGGCCACTTCTGCTACCACGATGGTAACAATCATACCAACAAACTTGTAACCGGAGTAGGCGATGAGATCTAAAAGTTGAGATTGGTTCGAGATTCCTAGAAGGTAGCATCCTAGTTTGAGAACCAGCATCTCAATGATAACAACTATCAAGGCCGTTGAGGCAGTTTTTCCCAGAACCTCTGGCTGAAACTTGCCTCGTAGTCCGGCAATCAGAGTTGATAGGAGCACGTAGGTAACCACAGCCATGACTAGTAGAAACGCAAATATTAATGATCGAGAGACAACATCGTTTTAGAACTCAGGTCCGTCTGCAACAAGAGAACCATGCCTAAGTCACAGGGCAGCATTACTCACCTGGAATATACATATCGGGGCTATTGACATCCTCCCTTGGTGGTAGATACCACCCGTCTTGGCCATTCGGTCCTGGGGCTTGCTTTCTTGACCAGGGTTTATGTCTCCATGGGAACAATACGAGAAACAGTTTGTTGATAACGTAGGAGTTGGTCACTTGGAAATATGGTTTGAGCGTGGCGAAGTTGAACCAGCGATTGACCTAGCAATATGAGCCGTTAGCGTCGTGAGAAAAATGCCGAGTGACTTCGATAATAGACGACTCACGTTTTGTTCAAGATACTCCTGACCATGCTTGAACGCCGTTTGTCCAAACTGAGCCGCAACCTGCGCGGTAGGGTCATTCATGAATTGGCCATACTGCCCCCACGAGCTCCCTGTCGCCCCATGTTGGGGTTGATGCTGGTAAGGATTACCATAGCCGCCTTGTTGTGACTGTGACGAAACTGGAGGAGGCGATCGCAGCTGGGGGACGGATGATACGTGCTGTGGTACTGGGTGGTGAAGGGGGAGAGTGGCCATAGCTCGGAGCCTGCATCATGAATGTCGAGATGAAGAGCAGTATGGTGCCTCTTTGAAGCTTCCGAGGTGCGACTTGAAGCGCTAGTAGGTAACAAAGGTGGGATGGTGAGCTCAGGTGCCAGATAGGCAACTCAAGGACGAGCTTAAAATCTATGACACCTCCTGTTGATGAAAGCTTCTAAAATGGACAGTTGACCTGAACACACTTGACAGCCTTCTATACAGTGCGATTTCTGGACAAGTATTCTTGATGAAAGCTGACTGGACATCTCTTTCCTTGCACGTGGCGTGGCGCGCAGGGCGCCATAAGAGGCTGATATGCCAAGTACGTGTCGGTATAATATCGGGTAAATTATATCTGGGCATGTGACTTGTTTTGACCGTTTGCCCTTCTCATACATATGGCTAGGAAGTGGGGTGGGCATTCTTTTATCAGGCCAGTCATAATATTAGATGGATCGGTACATCTACAAGTATGCCCTTTCCTCGAGAAGCTCTACTATGTATGATGTTTAAGCTAAACTACCAGGATATATCAGGAGCATTGTGGAATCACACGAACATTCTACTTCTTCACACTATCACTACTTCACAGGCGTTAGGAGCACCTCCAAAGCCCCAAAATTTTCCTACTGATCTCACTTAGATCTTTTAGATTTAGAAGGCATCTCTACTAAGTCCACTAAGGTGCACCACTTAACATATCCACAGCTTTCTCACCCTACTAAGTCCACTAGGATACCCTACCTACTACCAATGTTAGATACATTCACGATATTGACCACTTCTGGAGTTGTCCTTTGGTCCCGATCCTACACGGCAATTAGCCCCTCAGTAATCAATAACTTCATTTCCGATGTTTTCATAGAAGAGAAAGCTACAGCTTTCGGTCTGAAAGATGCCTCTTCTGCCCAACTCAACCCACCCTATCAAAGCGAGCAGCACACCCTTAAATGGGCCCTAGTGAAGGAATTAGGTGTCATCTTTGTCGTGAGCTTTTATCCCCTTTTCATGTCTATTTTACTTAATGATAAGGATTACCTAGCTTACTCCGATTTAATAGGCTGTATATCGATCACTCCTTCACCTCTCGTGGGTCGACCAGTTTGTGGATAATATTAAGACTATCTTTGTTGGGCTCTATGGAGAGCAGCTTAAGAAGCCTAATACAACGCTCGTTCAGTGCACAAAATTCGACAACTACTATGATCAGCAGGTTCGCGCTTTGGAAAAAGCCGGTATACATATTGAGCAGGACGGCCTTTCGGAGACGAGTCTCGAAGGCCACCGGAGTAAGGATGATCCTAGCTCAGTCATATCACGCCTTGGACCTCACCGTATGGCTTCCCCAGGAGTTCCAAGTTGAAAAATAAATTGGCGCGCTAATATGAACCAGGCCAAACTACCACACACAACGCCACGGATGAGGATCCTATTGCTGAGAGCCCCAGTACGTCCCGACCCTCTACGCCAGCTTCAGGAAGTTTGATGGAGCCACAGGGACTGGCAGGCAAGATGTCAAGGCGCCAGCGTAAGATACAGCAGGCGTCCTCCACTGCGGCGTCCTCAGGGGACGAGTCGCCAAGACGCAAGGCCAAGACCACAAAAGTGCAAAAAGGGAGGAAATGGGATGCCGATGGGATGGCTACAGAGGATGATGATATACGGCTTGACTATTCTCTGAAGCGTGAGGCACAGGGTGATCAAGATGGTGACCAGGGAAAGCTCTTAGGCGTGGAGAGTGTTGCTCCGTCTACGTGGGGAGCCACGACCTCTAAAGGGCAGTTTTTACTAAAGGATCTTGACGATGAGGTCCAGGGCTTTCTAGATTCTGCTCAGGAGCGCTCTAGCGTTACCTCTGAAAAGTATAACACGTCCGGCGGCCTTGTTGGCTCTGGCCTGGTCGCAATCACCGGCATGTTGCGCAATGTTGTGGGCGGAAAAGTACTTACTAAAGAAGACTTGGATAAGGCAATGAGGGGGATGGAAGATCACCTATTGAAGAAGAACGTGGCAAGGGAAGCTGCGATCCGACTCTGCGAAGGAGTGGAAAAGGAGTTGTTAGGAGTGAAAACGAGCAATTTTGAGAGTAAGTTGGAAATACGGGTCATCAAGAGCATGCTCGCTTTCGACCATCTTCTAATACTGCTTTATTGATGGTAGGCATCAACGCAAAGATCAAGTCGGCTATGGAGGCATCTTTAACGAAGATGCTCACTCCTACATCCTCACTAGACCTGCTCCGTGAGATCGACGCCATCACAAACCCACCAAAAACGTCGGAACGTCAGCGTCGCCCTTACGTCATGTCAATTGTGGGTGTCAACGGCGTTGGGAAGTCTACTAATCTTTCTAAGATTTGCTTCTTTCTTCTACAAAACAAATACAAGGTCCTCATTGTTGCTGGCGATACGTTCCGGTCCGGCGCTGTGGAGCAACTAGCGGTCCATGTGCGGAATCTGAAGGAGCTCACATCACGTGAAGGCGGGCAGGTAGAGCTCTACCAAAAGGGATATGGGAAAGATGCAGCCGCCGTGGCGAAGGATGCTGTTTCCCATGCTGCTATGGAGGATTTTGATGTTGTCCTCATTGACACGGCGGGTCGTCGCCATAATGACCAGCGGCTCATGTCTTCTTTAGAAAAGTTTGCCAAGTTTGCCCAGCCGGACAAGATCCTCATGGTTGGAGAAGTGAGCAATCCCATTCCCTCATTCTTTTTTCCACCGAATACCTGATGGGACGCAAGCTAAATTTGTTCGATCTCGCTAGGCATTGGTAGGAACCGATTCCGTCGCACAAGCGCGAAACTTCAATACAGCTTTTGGATCAAGCAGGACACTAGATGGCTTTATCATCTCAAAGTGCGACACGGTGGGCGACATGGTTGGTACTCTTGTCAGCCTCATCCACGCTACTCATGTACCGGTGCTTTTTGTCGGTGTTGGCCAGCACTACTCAGATCTAAGGAACTTCTCGGTGAAGTGGGCGGTGGAGAAACTTCTTTCTAGCACATCTTAAGTAGGCGAGGCGAAAAAGGCAGAGCTAGGATACACCCCGGGCTGTTCAGGGAATGAAGCTTGTTATTAGAACATTGAAGCGATTTGTTGAGTAATGCTCACTCGCCGAGTGTATTCTTAGTGGCCTCATCATGCATAATTTACTCATGGCTTTTTATGTAATTTGTCAACTCTCTTGCTGTTCACTTATATATGATAGATAACTAAACTTTATGTTAAATCATAATACCATCATCATATAAATGTCATCATTAAAGATAAAAATTTTATCTTTAAGAACGTATCTTTACAAAAGACTTTTTAATCTAGACATACTCTCTGTTACGACTAAAGGTCATACCAACTAGCTTCTAGATAGCTGAGCTGTTAGCAAGCAATTAGAGAAATATAGTGATCTCTAGATCTGCAATGGGATACTTGAATGAACGGGGCAGCACCGACTCCAGGTGTCTCCCAGCTCGCACTCCGCACCGACTCCCCACTCCATGCGCACCCATTACGCGAGGATTACCCGATCCATTGGGTTGGGACCGACATCCCAGCGATAGCTCAGCTCGGGTGAAGGGCCGGAAAAGTCTCGAAGACGAGTCAGTCACCTACTAGATAGGAAGCAAAGGGCAGAATCGAATTATAAAAGAAGAGGCGTAATCGTAGAGCCCAGAAAGTAAGGAGGGCTCTGCAAGCTGAAGTTTACACTCGCGATTCTGCGAACTCACACCGAATACTGTTACAACTTTGCTGGCGTCGCCAGCTGTCGTCAGTGAACCGGAGTTCACTGTGGGTGGCAACACTCACAGTCTGTCTACAAGGCAACGTCGTCGACTGGTTACCGTTGGTTCCCAGTCGATGCGGCCGGTTACTGTTGGCTCCCGTGGCTGGCTGATCGGTTGACGTGCAGACTGTCGTGTTCACTTATTCCTAGTGATGATGGACGAGCGGTTGTGCTTGCTGATTGTAAGCAGTCGCAGGCTACCTGGAATCATGTATAGTATTTTCACTATAGTATGAAAAGTAAGGTAAGAAAGTTCATGTCTGTTCTAACTCCTGAGTCTATCTTATCTACTTGCCTTTTATACCTGTTCACTAGTACACATGCTAGCTGCTTAAGTCGCCAGTTAGTTATCTATATAGGAAATAGGATCACTAGAACAGATAAAGAAAAAGGGGTCCTAAAGTAGGAGAAAAAGTAATGATAATAAAAGGGGGAAATAGTTCCTAGAAGGGGAACCATTTCCTATCTAAATAGGTATATATAGGTCATACTGATCAGGGCACTACTAGCAGTAATACTCTAGTTAGCCCTCCTACTAATACCCCCTCTTAAACTAAGTATACCTCTCTATCTATAATACTAGAAAAGCTAATATTAGGAATAAAAGTAGAAAGCTCCTTTTAGCTTTATATCTCTAAATATATAATAAAAATATCTCTTATAAAGAGATAATAGCTATCTATAGATACTAAATAAAATTAGAATATTTAACCTTTTCTAATAGCTTTATTAGTCTATTAACTAGTATAATATCTATTTTTATATATCTTAAGTTAAATATCCTCCTTTCTATAGCTTAAATAATCTATTTATATCTAAGGTTAATATACTTTATCTATATTATCTTAAAAAGTTAAGAACTTATATTATTATATTTTAACTATCTATTATTAATATTAATAGTTTCTTAAATAGATATTTAAGATCTAACTATTATAGTAATTTCTATATCTATAGAAGTATTTACCTAGTTAGTAAAAGATTTATAAATTCTACCTCTATTATAGATAAGGCTATTAGCTATTATCTACTATTTTTCTATATAATTAATACCTTAATAGTAAAAATAATATATCTAACTATTAAGATCTAGTTAGTATTATTAGTAAAAGATATATTAAAAGTTATAAATAGCTCTCTTATAATCTTTATTATAACTTCTCTATTAAAAACTAATCTTAGTAACTATATATTAGTTAGATATTATAGTAAATATTTTATAATATTAAGATATTATCTATTTAGATTATAGTTTATTTTTATAGTTTTATAATAGTAAAATAGATATCTAAATAAATATCTATTATTAAATAGTTTAGATAGCTAATTATCTTCTAATATTAGTAGATTATATTTATATCTATATCTTTTCTAGTTATAAATAGAGGGTTTTAAATATTATTAGTAATAGTATTTTTATTAGATTATTATCTATTATTTTAAAATATTTAAAGATTTCCTTATATATTTTATTTAATATAAAAAATTAGCTTTCTTTTTATTATATTTAATCTAAAAGCTAAAGAACTCTTTAATAGGGTTTATATCTTTTAGCTTATAGAAAGAGGATAGACTTCTCTTAATATCTATAATAATTACTAGTAAAAAGCTATAATTAGGTAATTATTAATATATATAAAAATAATAATATTAGTACTATTATATCTTAAGAGATAAGGTTTATTATCTACTAGTTTAAAGCTTATCTTCTTTATCTATTTAGTAATATATTTAAACTATTATAATAATACCTATTATAAGCTATATAAAGCCTTTTAAATATAGTAAATATATTAATTATTAAGATCTTTTAGTTTTAATAGCTATTTAATATATATATCTATATTATCTAATATTAATATAATAAGGAAAGTAATATTAAAGTTATATATATTATAATCTTAATCCTTTTATATAACTATTATTAAGAAAGCTTTTAAAGTTATTATATTAGCTATAATAGAATAGAGCTTAGATAGATCCTATTACCTAAGCTAAAAGTTACTATAAGTAACCTATTAAACTTAATATCTTATAACCTCTCTTATAATATTTATCTTTATTATATATACCTATTTACTAGAAAGGACCTTTATATTCTTTAGTTATTTTATAAGTATCTATACCCTCTTTCTTTTTAAGGCCTCTTTCTACTCCTTTATAGTAGGAAGCTAGTATTCTTTAAAATCCTTATATTTTATAGCTTATTTATATATTTATAAAAGCCCCTTTTAATAGTAGCTAAGGTAATAGCTAATACTAAAGTTATTAGAGACTTTTATAGCCTTTTTCTATATTATTAGTAAGTTTATCTAAAAAAGAGGTCTTTTTATAAATATAAATAAAATAAATATATCTTTTATATAGTAAATTATCTAAGCTATAGCTATTAAATATATTATTAGTAACTATTAAACTAATATCTAGATCTTCTAATACCTTTTCTAAAATATTAATAATACTTAGATAAATTATAGTAGAGAAAGCTTTTAGTAATAAAGTAAAGGTAAGTAATTACTATAGTTTATCTTATAGGAATTCCTTCTTATAATATTTAGTAATATATCTATATTTATATTCTTAAGTAGATAATATAAAAGGATATATTTCCTTAGTTATTAGTTTATTAATAGTAGACTTACTATTAATACCTTTTATTTTTAGATAGATATTTATCTTAATATAGATTATATTATTAATAAACTTAATATTAGCTTTTACTAATTTTTTAATTTCCTCTTTAATATTAGTTAATAGTTATAAAGAGTATTTTTAGAACTTTATATCTTTTATTTAAAAGATCTTTTTAATATTTAATATATAGATATTATAAATATATTTATATAAGCTATTATACTTTATTAGATACCTTTTTATTATATATAACTTTATCTTTACTATTTTATTAAGCTTATAAACCCCTTTTTAAAGTATATAAGCTATATATCTAAAAGGTCTAAGATACTTTAGATATAGCTTTATAACTACTCTTTTAAAACTAATATATTTAGCTAGTTTCTTATATAAGCTAATAAAATCTTTAATAATAGATATTAGTAATAAGTTTAGAATTATAACTATAGTTTTTACTATATAGATCTATAATATATTAGGAAGTTTTATCTAATATAATAAGGTTTATATACTTTTAATAATAACCTTACTATTCCTTTCTATAATATTATTCTATATAAAGATATCTAGAGCTATAATATTAAAAATATATCTAATCTCTTTTAAAAATTATCTATTAATAGGTTATAGATCTCTCTACTATTATTAATATATAATATTAGTAGTTTTAAGCTAGTTTAGATCTCTTAAAAGTATAGAAGTTAAAAACTATCTTTATAATAGTTTAAGCTATTTTATCTTAAATAGTATATAGCTATTAATATCTAATTAAATATTCTATAAAGTAGATAATATAATAAAACTATAATAGTAATAGAGGTTTTACTTTAATAAAGTTAATATAAAATTCTCTAAGTAAAAGTAATATAGATATATACTTCTTACTAATAATAACTATTACTTTTAATATATAATATACTTTATAATAAAATTTCTTAATATCTTCTTTATTAAAAATAATATTTATCTTATAATTAACTTTAATTACTTTTAGTTTACTAATATAGCTAAGTTTCTAATACTATAGATAATAATTAGTTTTTATAATAAAATAGATTATCTCTAAAGGTTACTTATATAGTTCCTTAAATAGTTAAATAAATAGATCTTTTAAAAATATACTTATAAGATATATTATAATAATATCTCCCTTTTTAATAATAGATAAGAGAATAATTTAATCTTAGAATATTAATTAGTAATTAATATCTAAATAGAGTAAATATTACTTTTATATAAAAATAATAAATAACTTATTATCTTTAATATATAAAAGAGATTATCCCCTATTAATAATATTAAAACTATTACTATAGTAATACCTTATATTAATTAGATTTATAAGTATATTTAAAAGATATAGAGCTCTTTAAATCTCCTAAGGAATAAGATTACTATCTATATCTTTTACTTAAAACTTAACTATATTAATATTTAATAGGAAAGATAATCTAGAAATTCTAGATATCTTCTTATTAAAAATAGCCTTTTATTAAGTTTTATAAACTATTTCTAATTATTAAAAATTATTTCCTAATTATTAAAATTAAAAATAATATTATTAAAAGCTAATCTTTTACTAATAATACCTATTAAAATATTAGTTATAATAAAAGTTATAATTATTATAAAGTTTAAGCTTTTAGAAAATAATATTAATAAAATAAATATAACTATTATCTTCTTCTTATTTTACTTTATATCTTTCTAATATTATTATATTATAGCTTTACCCTTTTTAATTATTAACTATTAATAAGAGGTATTTTCTATATAAACCTTACTAAGATATTCTAACTTTATTTAGTTAAAGAATAATATAAAGTAGATAGTATTTATATAATACTTTTATAATATTTATAAATTAATATTTTATAAGCTTAAAAGGTATAAGAGCTTTTAAACTTATTAGATATTCCCTTTTTCTTAAAAGCTTAATCTTAATATAGAGGGGCTTTAAAATAGTTTTAGCTAACTTTAAGATAATAGTTAAAGTATTTATTACCTTTATCTTCTCTTATCCCTCTAATATCTAAATTTTTTAAAAGATATCTTTATAGTTAAAATTCTTCTTTATAACTAGCTAACTATATAGGTCTCTATTAAAATCCTAAATTAAGTTTAAAAAAATATAAATAGCTTATTTTTCTATAATATATCTATTAGTAAAAAGTTTATTATAAAGTATATAAAAATATATAAATATAGCTTCTATAAAAGTAAACTAGATATAGTAAATATTTAAAAACTTTTAAAAATATTAGCTATCTTTTTAATATTATCTCTACTAATTATATTCTTAATAGCTTTCTATAATAAGGTAAGATCTTTAATAGTAAGTTTAAAGTTAGAATTATAAATATAAGCTTTTACTAATAAAGAAAGTAATCTTTATATAATATTAAAAATATTAGTTTAAGTTATAACCTAGATAGAAAATACTAAGTTATTATTAGATAGAATAATATTATCTTCTATATATTTAATAAGGCTAGTATATTTTAAGTAAGTCTTAATTATTATTAGCTAATCTTTATAATTATTTTCCCTTTTAAAGAGAGATATCTAATAAAGTAGTCTTCTTTAAAAATATAGTTAGGTTATTAACTATTAAAGTAGATATTAAAGGTTAGGTTATAATCTTTTAAGGTATAAGTTAAGTAGAAAAAATAGTTTCCTTTATATTATTAATATTAGCTATAGATTTATAGTAGGTTTATAATAAAACTTAAATCTATATTAGACTTTAAACTTATATATTCTCTATAACTTTTAATCTAGATATTAAGCTTAATATAATAATAATATTATCTTTATTACCTTTTTCTATATTTTCTTTAAGTTCTACTAGAATATTAATTATATTTTTATTAGATACTTTAACTAGTTTTATAATAATCTTAACCCTCTTATCTATAATACTCTCTATTTCCTTTACTTTTAATTTAGTAACTTTAATCTTAAAACTCTCTAGGAAAAGGGAGTTATTATCTTCTCTAATTATTACCTAATTACTTATAATAATAGTATAGGTAATATTAAGCCTTCTAGCCTTAGAGCTTTTAGGTTCTAAATATCTATTAGATATTTATTATAAAAAAGTTTACTAATAAATAGTTTCTTAAAATAAGTAATTACCCTATTAATATAAATCTTTATAATTAAAGAAAGTTAGATAGCTATCTTATAAAAATAGGTTTTATAATATTATAATAAAGGGTTCCTTTATTAATAGTAGCTTAAAATATTATAATAAATAGATAGTAATATTCTTAAAATAGGTTATATAGTATCTTATTATAATAATAAGGGTAGAGTAAAATAGGGTTTATAACCTATAGGAAATAAGATTATTAGAATAGATAAAGAAAAAGGGGTCTTAAAGTAGGAGAAAAAGTGATAATAATAAAAGGGAAATAGTTCTTAGAAGGGGAACTATTTCTTATCTAAATAGGTATATATAGGTTATACTGATCAGGGGCACCACTAGTAGCGATGCTCTAGTCAGCCCTCCTACTAACAGTCTACGCTAGCTGGCCTCCTTGCTTACTTATATGCTGATGGTGTTGATAGGTGTTATGACTTTTCTATCTATCTAGTAACAAATACTCTCCATCTCCCCGCCGTAGTCAACCCCATCTCCTGCTTAAGTGTGCCTCTACATATAACCCTTTATAAGATCACTATAAAGGTTACTAATCCTCGAGGGTGGGTATCACTTATTACTTATAAGATATAATAGTCACGATAGAATAGCTCGCTATTAAGGTTAGCTCTTGCTTACTTATCAGCACTCGCTGACCAAGCTAGGATTACGAGCGAGGCGCCAGCCGGCTGTCAAAAACCTCGTTGTTGCAGGTTAGCTGAAAGTCAAGCTGTTCGGCAAGCATCAATTTGAGCAAGCTAGCCAACCATGCCAAACATGTACACTAGGGCTTGCTAGTGTACTTTTCTCAATGCTTGGTTGGTTACAGGCAGGTTGGTCAGCTTCGATTTGATTCATGGACAGATCAATGGATACCTCGGTAGACAATGGATCCATCGTCGAATCTACTTCCTAAGTACCGAGGGTAGAGCGTGGATATTGAAGTCTGAAAGCTCGTGCACCTTCCAAGTCCTACTCCAGCTGTTTCACGCATCCATCCATCAATTGTTCCTTTGTATCCCCTGGTTGATCACAGATAAGCCGCCTCCCGAAGCCAGCGCCAGGGGTTCGGGCCCGATTTATGATTCCCCTGTTCCAGTTCCAGTAGACTGGCTACATGTACCGAGGTATTCCATTGTCACTATTACGAATACCACCACCGAACCACTCAGATTTAGATCCTAGGTTGTTGTATTATGGATGGATCAGCCAGTGGTTGGTGGCATTTTCTCTTAGTTTCAGATCGCCGGCCCGCCCCCTAGAGAGGGAGTTGCATGCTGGTTTGACGCTTCACGCAGTTGACGGCTCTGCTTCGGATCCCTGAAGAATCGCCAGTTTTTGGTTTTAGCTTTGAGGAAATCGGCCCACCATCGACCCTTTGACCTCCTGCACGGAGAATGTGCTCAGGAGTAATCCGAGTCGCCCGCTAGACGAGCGCATGGATTAATAAGAGCCATGTTATCCTCGCACTATCTATACATGTGCAGATAAATATATATTGGATACCCTGGGAGTCCAAACCATCCAGAGCATCAGTTCCCGGCTCTGCTCCTCCTCTCTCTTCAAGTCCCCCCACCCCGCGTCCTCCCTCGGGGGCTCTTCACAACCCAACCCACACCCCTATCTCACGCATTGTCTTGCGTAAGGATAGGCGCAACAGGGCAAGTCGGCTTTGTTGCCAACTGCCCCAATAGATCACGCACCACAATTTGATCTATCTCGGCCAGCCCGCTCTCCGCGTGCAGGCCCTGCCAGAGGGGCTCTTCTCAATACACGGATGTACCTCTTTATAATCCCCCTTCAGACAACAACCGAGAGGGGGACGTGTCCACCTCTCCCACCTCTCGACATTGAAAAATCATAAAGTTTACAACCATGGCATTGGCCCTCTTGCCAATTCCTCTTATCAAGTTGAGTTATCCTTGATCCTTTTTGGCCCGTTGTCACGCCTCACAACCGGTCGGGAACGCGGTGTGCTCGCGGGCCCCTCACAGGTTCACGCCACACTCGGTGGTGAACTCGGCCTACCTTCCAGTGTCGTCGCGGGACCCGGGCGCTGGGAGACGATTTTGGAAAATCTGCCGCGCCAAGCACCTGGACTTGGTTCCTTCGTCCCATACAACCTTTGCCTCTCACCCAGTTTGTGGTAGTGAGTTGCATCTGGCGACTGCCCTTCGAGACCTTTCCTTTTGGAGAAAGAAAAGAGAACACGCCTCGTCCTTCCGTTCCAACCTCCAACAGACCGGGAGAAAGATTCAACAACCCTGCTAGAGCTCCCCTACGATCCCTAGAATGGAGACCTGTCGCACCGTTTGCTCCGCCCATAGATCAGGCTTGAAGCAGATCGGCTTGACGACTAGCGTTTCTTCTGGTCGAAGTAGCGCAAGCTCGCACCGCCTTTCCGTTTTCCTTCTGGACTGTTAGAGAGAGAAGATGATGCGCAAGATCTTGCTAGACGGCCCCCTCTCTACCCATAGCCCTTTTGGCCCTTGCAAGGGCATGTCCCGGAGCTTCTCCCCATTCTGTGTTCGTTAAGTTGGAGTGGGGCTCGGGGATCACATCGGGATGAACATTCGTATGAGCCCCGCTTCACCTACATGTAACGTCAACAGAATCAAATACTCGAGTCAGCGACCCGACGCGTTGGTTGCGGAATAGCGCCGCATGGTATGAGGTCGTAGGCCACAGCCTCCAAGGTTGATATTATTCCCTTGTTGACGCCGTCGGCCCGCGAAACTTACTCTGCGATGAGAGTCTGAATCTCCTAACCGCCTCTCCATATGAGGCGCCCAGGATAGATTCCTCTTGGCCGCTTTGACTCCTTGAGGGTGACCCTAGCATTTTCGGGGGCTTCTTACATATCCTTTTCTCCCTCGTCCCTTTCATCTCGTTTTAGGGGACAGTCAACACCTGTTCACCTTGATTTTCTTTCGTGTGTCCGCCGACTTTCCGAGCCGACACTCACGCCCATCTCAACGCCGATTGTTGGGCAACCCCAATAAAGCATTGTGGATATTAGACGGTCGCTGAACCTAGCGACTTCTATAATATAGTGCCAGACAAACCCTTTGCGATTGTAATGAGACCTGTCGAAGGTTCTTGCTGGAACCTAGACCTCTATGTGTTCGGGGTCTCGTTGTCTCACCGTTAATAGCTAGTATCAGACGTAAAAACAAATACAAGCGGTTCCAAGTTTTAATATAGGCTTCGTATTCACAACAAAAATTTGCCAAAGAAATTATGGTGATTATCTCGGAATGGTGGCCATAACCTAGCCGTCTCTAATATGGCGTGTCTTTTTGACCCGAATCAGGGTCTCCTCAACTTGGCGCGCTACAGGAGTGCGAGGCTTGGATGTCAAGGGCACGCACGAATGAGAACTATTAAGAAAATCTGGTAGTTCTCTTGCTAGTCTTCGTGGGGGTTGTCCGTTCGATATTCCCCTGCCTCAGCAACGGGACCAGAGATACGAAGGAGGAAAATATCGGTCCGGTCTTGATTTGCATGAACGACACCCCTATCTTCTGCTTTACTACTACTCTCAGCTTTGCTAACGGAGCCAAAAGGTTCCTTTTGGCTGTGATCTTGGTGTCTCGCCTCCTCTTCCCATTGTTGGCTGACGATGAAGCGGAGGAGCCTTCCGCTCTCATCTAGTTCAACCTCTGCATCCTCGAAATCAAGACTCCCATCCTCGTTGTAAAGCATCATTTCTCGAATCTCTCCCCGAATTAGGCCTGTAATGAGAAGTGTCCCTATAAGGCTGGGAACTAAATAGAGTAGGGCCGGCTGGCCATGTTTGAACAAGATTAACATCGTCATTGTACAGAGTAGGCCGAAGGCGTATCCGATGATGGAGGCGTAGAAGTAGGGTTTCGGAAAATACGTGGGAAATATTTCGGTGGGTTCTCCGTTAGACCCAAGTTTTCTTCTCGATAGGGCCTGGGTCCAAAACCACTCACCCCAGTTGCCACTCACATTCACGTAGGCGGCCCTCTTCGCAACGTACCTCCGGACCCCGAGATCTCTCCCTTTGAGGACCATATCCGTTCCAGGTGCGTGACTCCCGTACGGTAAATAGAGAGGCTCATATCGAGTCTTCCTCTGGTAGTGCATCCATAGGTCGAACCGAAGGGCCAGGGCCACCATGATACCGGGAACAACAATATCTCCAAGACCGAGAAGGTTGGATTTGGAGCCCGTTTGGATGATTAACTTTACAGGTGCATCGACTTTCATGGCTACGGTGACCATGAAAGGTCTAGAACAACACGGTAAGTAAAGGCCGCGTATTAGGAAGGCATGGGAGATATGTTTGGGTTACATACGTGTAGAAAACCATGACAATATCATACACGAACAGGCCAATAAGGACTAGAGATCCAGTTGTAAATGTGGTCGGCGAGAGTAGTTGCTGTGTGGCATAACAAAATGCCAGGCCCATGACGTTGGACAGAAAGGCAGAGTTGGTCAGGTTGTAGGCAATGATGGTTACCATGGTCATCAGAGCGGCTAGGCCGTGGTGGAAGCACAGGGGCGTCTTTTCGTCAAATAGGCCGTGGAGCTTGAACTCCAGGAACCACCCCTGGGTGAGAAGGCCTCGAAAATCCCACAAACGGCTTTGAAGGACTATCGGCAAGCGAGCGACCGCCAATCGCAAAGGAAGCGGCCCAAAAGGCATCTCCTTGCCATTCTCGTCCTTAGCTACATATGACTCGTTCCAGATGTGGTGACACCGGGCACGTTGGTTGACCCAATAGATAATTCCATGACTATCTCTCCAGACACGAGGGAAAATAAACGAGGCTGCAAGTCGCAGGGCGTGACTGTAAAACACCAGTAGGCTCCCGATAGATGCGGTCGATGTATAAATTCGCATCATCATGTTAAGCATCTCGGGCCTGCGTAAAAACTGTATGATGCAATACATACCCACAAGTGCGGTAGATGCTATAAGGGGGAAAACAATGGCGTCAGAGGGTTGTAAACTCCCTATGCTTCTGCGGTTCTCGTATTCTCCTTCCTTCCCAATGTCATTTGAAGAAGCGCGCTTCTTACACGGCTTCGCGGATGCGGGTCGGTGAAGGGTAGCATGAGAGCTAACGTAGAGGATGAAGAGGGTGATGAGTAGGATCTTTAACTCGGCGACCAAAAAATCGCCATGCCTTCCCCACCACTGCCAAATCGCATCGGCGCCGCAAATTACGGATAGGCCAGGACACGAAGTCTCCAACACCTTTTCTGAGCCGAGCATGGCAAACTGGGACTGCGAGGCGCAGAAGGCGGATTGCAAACGAGGAGGTGGCGGCCTGTGGAAGGAAGCTTACCAGCGCAATGATTCTACAAGTATGAGAGAAGTCACGGTTGGTGTGGGGGCACGTGAGGAATTGGTGAGATCCATAAATAACTTTATATCGAGAGCGAATGGCCTATGTTGCGACGCCCCTAAAGCCTGAGAGAGTCCGCAATTGGGAAGCATCAAATGAACGACACTCCCCTCTCATATCCCCACAGCAAACACTCAACTCTTCCAACCCCACGCATGGAATTGAAGGTTAGGATGTACTGAGGTATAAGTAGGCATTCTCTCCAACAAACCGTCATCCATGATTTGGCTGGGCACCCATCCCAGGTTAATTTCACGCGGTTGAAGAACTGGATTGAGACTTCTACCCCATCTACAGAATGGCAACGCTCGTCTCAATAGAGACGTCGATGGTAAGTATTTCTCTCGCTGACTTACCGGCCAATTTCTCTCGCTAACTTGTGAAACCACCTCGGTAGGGAATCTTTGTCCTTGAGCTGTACACGGATCATGCCCCAAAGGCCTGCGAGAACTTTTCCACCCTCGCTCGTCGTGGTTACTACAACAACACTCTGATCCACCGCATCATCCCCTCCTTCATGCTCCAGGCTGGCGACCCAACCGGGACTGGGCGCGGCGGGAGCTCGGTCTGGGGTGGACCTTTTGAGGATGAGATCCACACTGAGCTACGACACACCGGTGCTGGGATCCTGTCAATGGCAAATTCAGGGAAGAACACTAACGGATCGCAGTTCTTCGTCACCCTGGCTCCAACCCCATGGTTGGATGGAAAACATACTATCTTTGGAAGGGTAAGAAGTGGTATGGGCGTGGTTAAGAGATTAGGTCTCGTCGAGACGGGGGCGGATGATAGACCAGTCGAAATCATCAAGATCATCAGAGCACGGGTCATGGAAGATGCAGAAGGCATAACAACCGAGAGATGAGATCTACCTGTACACCGCTCCAGACACAAGAAACGCAGCCCAACGCCAAGGCCCTCGTAGCGTAAAATTGCACCCCCGACCTTCCCTAGCCTGTCCAATGCCGTCTTTCCATCTCGTGTGCCAGTCTACAGTCACAGACCCAAAGTAGGGCGACCAAATATCACAAATGTCTATTGCCATGCAGAGCCAATATTTCACGCCCGCATATGTTTTACATGTAAAGGTATAGTACACATGAGGCCCCTTCGCCATTTTGATGATGTAAATACAAATGCCTAACCAATGTGGATGCAAGGCAGGGTTTCAAAATATAGATGTGTGTAAAGAATGGAGGGGAAGTGCGAGACGAGGTTCCAAGCGTGACAGCGGCACAAGCCTGGCGATTGTCGAGTTAATATCTCGGGGATAGCTACAAACCGAGCCAGTTGTGGACCGTTCAAGTGAATCAGCAGCTCAACAGGAGCCCCTGGAGACATTTGCGATCCCATAGGGTGCACATCCATTCGCGACCTTGAACGACTCTTGGGACACTTCGGTACCTAAGTTTAACGGGGGAGACGACATCGTGCCTGACGATTCAGAGGCTACATCGGGATCTCGTCCATTCTTGGCTGGCGATGACAGGAGCGCTTTGTTGACAAGCTTGCCCCCTTTTGAGGGGCGAGGTTCCTTTCGCGTTCCCTTCTTGACTGATACGGCATCTAGGCTCTTTTTGGTGAGGCGTCAGGCCTATGTTCGACACTCAAGTGCGAGCCAGGCTTGAGTTTATCCTTTTAGTGGCAAGAGACCCTTTCGGTGGCTTGATCTTTATCTTCACAGCTGGCGTTGATGGTTTAAGCTTCTTCTTCCTGTGACTTGTCTCCGAGTCTTCGTCATCTTCGATTTGATCCACATCCTCTTTTTCGGGCTCGAAGCCCGGGAGCCTGGTTTGGGTGTGCCTTTCTGGCTTGACGGTGGGGTGGCATCTTGACTATTTGCGTTGCTGCCATTGCTGATTTTTGGGCTGCTGCCCTGCTCGCATTCCGTCCGCTATTTCCGATACATGCGCCCATGTGATTATTGAGCCTTGTGACGAGGATGCATCGTTTGCACTTGCTACAAGTGGCTGAAGGGAAAGACAATACATTGGCCGGACGCTGTTCAGGAGCTCCGCCCTCGTCGAGTTTTTTTCCATATCCTTCTTCTTCTTCCCCGACCAGGGCCCTGCGGAACCCACGTCTGACCGTAGATATCGTAGCCTTGTTTGTCAATGTATGGATGCTTTTACAATATATTCCACTCGGATCAGGCTTTCGAGAGCCCTTTCCATCTGTCGGGTATAGAAGTCGAGGAAGGTGACATCTTGGGCAAAGAATGTCTTTCGTGGTTTTGAGCGGGTTTCCTTTTAGTGTTACTTTGCCATCCTCGTAAATAGCAGCGTCAGTTTCGATTCTAACGTCTGGTTTTGAATCCGCGCCACCATCTGCCGCGTCGGATGCAAGCTTCTCAACACGGATCGAGGCAGTAGCCGCTCTGGCAAGCTTTTCTTCCATGTGTGTCTTGCTAAGAAGGTCCTGGACAACGTTGTACAGGATATCATCGAGAACTACCCGGGCCTAGGAAGAGGTAAACACAAGTTAATACAATAGAAGGGCTAAGGTTGAAAGAAAGAGAGGGAAGGAATGATGAAAAGGGGACAAAATCTATCCTACAGGCTGGTTGGCGGCAGCAGGAAAGGTAGGCAAATGATTGGGCAAACATGGGATATCTGGTGGGCGTAGGCAATCGCATACAACCTGGTCGAGAGTATCGCCATCCTCAGTAGGAGGGATGACTCCTGCTTTGCCGGCCGGTGACGCCATGGCTGCGCGTGGGGCTGGTATAACGAGAGAAGGGAAAATATGGCGAAAGACTTCGAGATTAGTTGCTGCGACTCGTTTTGGTGTTCAGAATCGGCTCGCTAGGTTAGGCGGGAGCAGCTCCTTGGGAGGGCCGTTATCCCAAAGGGAATTAAGGTGAATCGAACCCCAGTGTAGACTCAATCTTTGAAGGAGAGACAAGAGGGTAAGTAGAGAAGGGGGTTCGGAGAATGATAAGGTCACGAGGATAAGGGAAGAATTGGTTGATGAAGAAGTGTGAGGTGAATGAATAATCAAATCAGTGAAGAGAAGGGGGAAAGTTGTCGGTTGAGCCTTGCCGGATTAATCGGGGTTGAATGAGTATGTGGGATTCAAGCTCACCATCGCTCCAGTTGCTTAAGTCACTAGAATTTGATGGTTTACGCTGGAAGATGAGCGCCAATGGGGCTCCTGTCTAGGTACATGCAGGGTAAGGGGAAATATTTCAATGTTAGTCGCAGGTTTGAAAGGAAGAGTATTGTTTGTCCTTGAGGTCCGTTTATCCTCGATGGGGGATGCAGGGCAGCCTCAAGGAGCAGGAAACAGAAGTCACCAAGGTTTTGTTTCTTCCGCTACGACTACTGTAACCAGCCCTGCGCTTGGAATGTCTAAGGCGGGTACTAGGTAATAAATGTGCTGGACCGATTATTCCAGCGAATGTTCGTGCTGCTCATAGCAGATCCAAGCCACTCTTGCCATCTCAATGCTGGCTGGCTGGCGAGTTACCAATAATATTGAATTACTTACTTATAGTAACACCCATTGATGATTTTACGTGTCCTTCGTCCAGTTGAGACACGCAGAATCAGCAGCCATCCCCGATTATCAGTGCCCGCTTCTTATTAGATCGAAGAGCCTGGTACGTAGGCTTCGGAGGATAAAGTTGATTTTAATCACTTCACCCGACAGAGATGGAAGATAAAATGAGCGCCAGTTGATGTATATTCAGGTCATTTGCAACTGTTGCTGTCCTCTGAAACATCTCTCCTCGACTGGCTAGTTGGTCACGATAACATCAGGAAAGAACCTGGAGAGCGAAGGGTCCACGGCCACTGACCCTCGTCAAACAAACACTCGAGGTCGATCATCCTCTCTGTCCGAGCCCCGAGGCTGGAGAAATTCCTTCTCCTGTTGTCACTCGGTATACTGCTTATCGATTAATATCGTGTCAGACCTCGGGAGGTGTTTTCAATTTGACTAATCGCGTGGCGCCCATCCAAACAATTCGTTGATCGATTGGCATTGACTGTTTGTGTCGCCCCATCCGCCTGATATTTGTGAGTAAAAGCCACATTTCCGGACTATCGCAGCTTTGTCCTGGGTGGCTCTTCCACCCAAGTCTATCCTATAGCCACCTCTGTATTGAGGAAACAAGCCAACACAACAAAGGCGCTGGCTGTATTATCCCGATTATCACCGCTCGCCCTCAACCACACGGGGTCTTTTCGCCTTTTTCCCACACGCTCATTCCCGCCATCGATATTCCCATCCCTGCGCAAGGCTGTTGGACCCATCCCATCGTTTGAGCGACCATGTCCACTCCGAATCTTGGGGCCAAGTCGAATCAGTCATCGATACTATCGTTCCTACATCAAAAGGGGCCCAGATACACAGCACCTCCTTTGGCCGCGCTCAACAGCCAACACCGACCGGCTGCAGGCGGGGTGTCGCCATCCCCTATCCTGCCACCTACGGCCTTGTCAAGCAGCGCCACATCTGATTCAGCAGCCAAGGAGTTTGCTCAACCGTAAATCCCCATCCCCAAGCGACCATACGACCGATATCCGCCGATGATATAGCTCCCCTTCGCCGTATAAACTCGCTCCTCCTTCCTGTATCCTACCCTGAGAGCTTCTACCAGCGTATTCTGGACCCTTCTGCCTCTGCGTTATTCTCCCGCGTAATCGTCTGGTCTGACAGCGGCTCCACTTCGTATCCTACCAAAGTTATCGGGGGCATAGTTTGCCGCATTGACGAAACTGCTTCAATTTCCAGGGCCCACGAAGCAGCAACTACTGGCCCCGTTCTTTACATCGAATCACTATGTCTCCTCTCGGCCTACCGATCCCTCGGCCTCGCCTCAGCCGCCCTCGAAGAAGTCCTAGCTGCCGTTCGCCGGGATGAAACACTACGGATTCAAAGAGTTTACGCTCATGCTTGGACGGAGAATAAGGAAGGTCTAGAATGGTACAAATCTCGGGGGTTCTTATGCCACCCTGAGCCCATTAATGGTTACTATATCAAACTACGGCCAGACACCGCCTGGGTTGTCCACCGGGACATTTCCTTCTCTTCTCCAACGCTTTCGAGCCTAACATCCACATCCCAATCCCCAGTACATTTACTGCCGGCTACACATCTAAATCCGGCAGCGTCTATCGCCAGGTTGCCCTCAAAAACCAACCACCACCCCCGGAACAAATCCGGGCCAATCCTTCCAAAACCAGAGGCCCGAGACTGAATGGAACGATCTGCCTGCGGACATGGCACCTCCAGTTAGGTCTGTGGGCGGAAGAAGTGACGGGAGTTCGGCACAGAGCTCCAGAAGCAGTTCCCTAGCAAGAAAGAGAAGGGACAGGTTCTACCCCTCGAGGCATTTGGGTGTTAGCTTACCAGCAAAGCCTTTCGTGTCGCAAATATATAAAAGGAGGACATCTTGTTTGCGGATGGGCAACGGCAGGACCCGGATATGTCCCTCACACCATATTTTAAAGGCGTCAAAGGATAAAGCAGACACTAGACTCCTCAATATACAGTTGCAATGCCATGCTCAAACAGCCTCAGAAGGCTTTGGACGTATAAATTTAGGCGGGCACGCACCATGGTCTGAAAGCGCTCGATAAATCATGACCGATAAATAACAAGTTTGAAGAAGATACTTATAGACACGGTGTGTTTGATAGAACATTTAGAGCGGGAACAATATGAGCTCAAACATATGAGGAAAATGGAGATCAAGGATAGTGTTGTTTCGCTACGCCCTCCGTTGGCGTGCCCACCATAAAGCTGCAAGAGCAACAATTCCAACAACGCCGGCTACCGTGAATGTCGTGGTCGAACTCAAGTCCTCTCCTGTATCGACTAGGCAGTCAGCGTCCCAGTTATTATTCCCTACTCAAACCAGCCTAGGTGACGCGAGACCGCCCACCATAGCTGAGGTGCGCCTAGTGAAATGCTGTGTTTTACGTACTTGTCTCTGCCTTTGCTTTGTACTCAAAGTCAGTCTCGCTTTCCATCTTAGCTGCCACCAACGCGATGAGAGCTGCGCCAACTCCGCTACCGTCCTTAGCGATGCCTATTCTAATCCGTTCTGCGCCCTCAGGGCCGATACCATCAATAGCTTTCAAAGCTTCGTAAATCATGTCTCGGAAGAAGGGGTAATGCTCTACCAGACTCCCGTCCACACCAATATCGACAACTTCCTTGTCAGGGCCATCTAGCTTCCCAGATTGCAGTACGATAGCAGCAATTGCTACCGCAGATAATCTCGCAGCTCGTCGCCCTACTGCATTTGCAACTGCTTTGAAGGATTGAGCATCCTCGAGAGATGGCGCAAAGATGTCCAGAGCGCTTTCAAGTTCCTGTCGGAGCGTCGACAACTCAGGGGTATTGTCGGCAGCTGCCACTGACATTATGGAGCTATCAAGTCCCCATGGCTTGAGAAGGCCAGACTGCGGGCTGACATTGGTGGTTGATTTCCAGTCGTTGAAACTTGAGTTAGCATCTCGGAAAAGTGAGACGGATTCATCTTTCATCATGTCCAAAGTAGCCAGGCGCACGATTTCGCCTAGGAACATTCCAGAGACTCTCTTCTCAAATTTTTGCACGCCCCGATTGACTGTGGACTCATCAAGAGCAGCATCCCATCGCGTGGTAGGGAGGACATTCAACTGATTATCAAATGATCCCCATTCTGTGTTGATAACCATCTCGCCCGTGGATTTGTCATAGGTACCATCTAAGGGTTTTCTGATCTTAGAAAGCTTTTCTAAATACGCCCCGTTGGTTCCAGTGCCGAAAATTGCGCCGAGGATCGGTTGAGATCCTTCTGTTGAGGTGTAGGCACGCGCCATCAACGTCCCAACAGTGTCGTTGACAAGAGCTGCCACTTTTACGGGGAGTCCAAGCCGGTCTATTGCCTCTTGAAGAAGGCCACAAACGTCCTCACCGATAGCATCGGGGATGTCGAAGCCCTTTGTCCACCGTATAAGCTTACCCTTGTTAATCCCCACTTGGTTTACAGGAAAACTGAACGTGAAGCCCAGGCGAAATGGGTCTCTGGCGCTAGAGGGGCCGGTCATCTGTTTCTTCGTCTCTACGAAGTGTTCCTCGTGGTGGGCTCTGAGGAACTCTTCAATCTGATCGGCCAAGAAGGAGAATAGCTCACGAGCAGTCTTAGCGACCATCAACTCCTTAGGAATTGCCACCTTATTGAAGGTAAGATTAAATGTCGTATCGCCATTCAGCTGGACCGAGCAAACACGGAAGTTCGTGCCCCCGAGATCGACAGCGAGATAGAGGCCCTATTACAGCGAATGAGATATGTTAGAGGTACGGTTTAGGAGGCAATAACAAGAAGCGAGATTGAGACTAGGATCACACCTTCTCAGTCCCATCTGGCACGCGAGTGACATAAGTCGGGATTTGGCTTATGCTTGATCCATCCGTTTTGAGGCCCTCGTCTATCGAAGGTCAGCTTTAAGAAAACGACAAGTGCGTATGTTAAACAAAGGGGAAAGAGGCGACAGCGTTGGGAAGCCATTCTTTCATGTCAAGCCGGACTCACCCATCTGGCGGAGGAACTCATGTGTATAGTGAGTAAGGTCATGGTCAGTGACCTCAAATTGAGAGATAACCTTCCTAGTTTCGGCTTCCAGCGCCATTTCGAGTGGTCTTGACGTTGGTAGGATTGTTGGGAATGGCGCGGGATTTTCGCACACAAACTCTTGAAAAATAAGGTTGCGATTTTGACACAGCAACCGTCCGGTAGAAAGCTGTGAGGGGAGCAAGCTTGAGAGGAACCTGAGATGAGTCGGGTCTTGCTGAACTAACAGTGAGCTCTAGGGCCAGGCAGTCACTGCAAGTCAGTCGATATCGAATAAGGTGTAATGGGAAACTTGATGCGGTGCTCTTTTCGCTTTGGCAGGTTTTGGCGGTGTTGCTGGGAAGAAAGTTGGTGAAAGGGGAGGATTTGACCTCGGGTGATGTAAGGGGTTTTAAGGCAGACAGGGCGGGCTTTCAAAACATCTCTTGTGGTGGATAAAAGTGGGTAGGGAGGGGATCATGAATGCATAAGTGGATGAAATGGATGGGCATGGTGTGAAGAGCTCATGCGGGGGAATGCTTGGCTTTTGGATCAGAGGCGAAGGTCAGGTCGTCATCGATAGCGAGGTACACAGAACGGCATGTTCCTCTCAGTGCGTTTGCGACACGGACGTTGCATTCGCCGCATGCACTTGGTGCTAGCCAAGCAGGTCCTCAAGTGCGTTCGCTCTCACGCAACTCAACAACCTGATTCAACTTTGGGGGTTTTTTTGGATGTGTTTTTTCTCGCCAGGCACGCAAGGCAAAGGCATCTAGATGTGATACATTGATAGATACCACACAAGACTGCCAGGGGAAATGCTTCGAAAGTGTAGGGACGTGGTAATGAATGGTTGGTACAATTATTGCTGGAGGCTCACGACGCCGCTTGGTGTTCAGTCCAGAGTGAACGGAAATTGTTCCATCTGGATGGATGCCAAAGGTAGTATCAACAGGATAATTCGGTGCAAGTACTACTTGGCGAGAGAAAGACCAACCGCCCCACCCCCAAAAAAAAAATGAAGAAGATGCGGTCCGGATCGGCGGGGAGACGTTCCGGGAGTCTCGCAGACCAACAAACGTAAACGGACAAGAAACATACCAAGACAACGAGAACCAAAAAAGGCATGAAAGAAGACTAAAGGAGTGGCAGGCTAGGCCACGGTGCCAGTGACCCTTTGTACTATTAACTTCCCAAGTCTCCCCATCGCAACAGCTGTGATTCGAAGACGAGGAGACAACTGCACGCCATGAAGCGCCAGCGTCCGCGTCGCCAGCTAAGCAAGCCGTGGTGACTGTTTAGAACAAAGGCGGCTTTAAAAGCTGCGGCGCTCTTGCGCGAAAAAGGTGGTTGCGGTCCCAAGGTCCGTTTCAATTGGCAACGACGTTAAGAGTCTTCCACTCCGCCGCAAGACTCCACAAGTCCTCAACACCCATCAGACACTTTTTTTTTTGGATGGTTCCACGCCTCGCTTCCCGTCTTTTCTCAAAGTTTAGGATGCTCCGTTTTACTTCGCCTACTGACTCCTTTTGAATTTGGAGTCTAGGAAAGGAACGCCGAGGGTTGTGGCCAGAAGCTGGTCGGCTGCGATTTGTGACCCGTAAGGTTGTACCGTTGTGTCGAAGCTTAGTATTGGGTCGGTGTATTTCAAAAGGGCCGGATCCTTCGCAATTTTGCCGCCTCTCTAAGGGTGAAGCCTAACACCAGGCTACTTCAATATTGACATAGGAGGGACTGACGGGGGATATCACGATAGAACCAGAGGGCTTTCTTTTTCTTTCCTGAGATGTTCAAGAAGCAAAGAAGAACCACTGTAATTTTGGGCTTAGTGAGACAATGAACCAACACTAAGAAAGGGGACTAAAAATGTTTCCGAGGAGAAAGGGGAGCATGTCGTGGAGAAGACGCAAAAGAGAAGGGGAAAAATAAAGACGGGGAGGGGGGCATATAAACGACTTTTTCTTGTAATATTATAAATTATCAAATGGAATGGATCCATCCATTGTAACTAGATAAAACAATAAAGAGGAGGTGGAGCTCAGAGATGTGGGATTGACTTGTCTTGTTGGAGACAGCCAGACACATGGATCAATTGATCTTTATTTTTACTGGCCTCCATAATCTCACTCAAGGACACCAAAAGGAAACCAATCGATCATGATACTTATACTCCACATTTGCTCATTTATCACCTGTCCATCCTTCAGAGAGGGGAGTTTTCGATGTTGCTCTTCAACCAATAATACCTCGCGCGCCGGAAAACCCAACCCATCAGAACAGCATACTTTCTTTCGTGTACATCGAGGACCCTATCATCAATTCCTAAGCTGAGGACCAAGACACGCCTCGACCTCCTTCACCGGCTGGACCGACATCTCTTGATGTGACTTCGACCCAGGAACTGGCCCTCTTTATTGCCTGGCTTGCCGACGTCACTTCACACGCACGTAGCGTAGCCTAAGAGTCTTTCCAAGAACGAGCAAGAACAAAATCACGCGAGGAAAGATATCGGAAAAAGAAGGGTAGTGGGGTTTACCAGCCCCATCCACAACATCCATAGAATAGATCTATCCCAGCTTCAATTCCTTCAACTATAATCCTCTAGTTTCTTCCCTTCGGTGCTTAAGGCCCAGAAATAACACCTCAATCTACCTCGGTAGTATCCCTCCAGCCCAGTTGTGTGGGTGCCTCAGACTTCAGCGGACGGACACCAAAAAGACACAGGCGAGAGAGGGAAATGATTGGAAGAGACAGTTAATTAGAAGCAACGATCGAGGAGCTTCGCTCATCAAATTCGTGTCACTATCGGGACGGAACGAACTTTTCGGGTTGGATCGATATACGAATGGGGGATTGTCGAAGGGGAACCACAATCTCCATTTCAAGGCAGGTTGTACCAGGTGAAGAAAGTCCTAGGAAAGTCCTAGTCCTGGATTACTTAAATCACTAGTCAGAAATTCCAGGACGGAACGGTGAGCTGTCAAGCCAAAACGGTTGATGTCTAAGATTCGACCGTATTCAAGTTCTTCACCTTCGTATTATTAATATTATCGCGCAACCTTGCACAGCCTTAATCACCCCTGCTCACCAAAAATTGAAAATACACCACCCATCAGAGACGGTGTGGTTAATGTGGCTGTTGCTTAGAGAGCGGGGTAAAACTGCTTCAACAACTTCGAATCCGATCCAAGTGCTCCCAGGAATAAGTAAGTGGCAATAAAAAGGAATCCAAATACCTTAGGCCTTTCGCCATAAGTTCTCGGGGACAATGGTAAGACCAGAATCGTCAGCTTCAATTAGCAGTCGCTATCCTCAGCATCACACTCCACGAGCTTTCTTGGGGATCAGACGGAGGAACTCAGCCTCGTGGCTGCAAACCTGATCAATCCTGTATATGCTGCGGCGACAACGCAATCAATGCTTCTTGGTCTCTCTAGCTGCACAGCCACCCGTTTGACGGTCCCTTCCTCAGGGAACGGTCCCAAGCTTCAAGGAGGAACATTGAAAGCTCAAGGAAGTAGGCATGGTCGGGGTTAAGAATGTCAATCTTATTGTATACGGTGAAATATTTCGAGACTAGAGCGCTCTTGAATGTCAACAACACCAAAGTGTCATGAATTAGCCTTCTCAGCATGCTTCTCTGGCGAAAGGGGGCCATTCAGCCAAAAACGGACAATGACGGAGATGATACACGGCCACCTCCAACCCAATTAAGGTGGGCCCTCGTCCTAAACAATGGCCCACAGCACTTTTCCAGTCCTAGCAAAAGCCATCCGTTCCTTCCACTCTCACTCACCGTAAGCGGCTGATACGAAGCTTGACCTTGAGAAATCGAGGCAATCCCTGCACACCCCTCCTCACCCCGCCTCCCTCGCCTGGCGAGGAGTGCTGGGCTTCGACAACTCGCTTTCGCCCAGGTCAGGATTCCCCTTAAGACCAAGACCACCTTTTATTTTGGTCTGCCTACGAACTCTATGAACTCACGCCTGAAAGCTTTTGGCTTTGGTAAACGGAAATCAACAGCCAGCATCCAGGGTGTGCCTGGGTCTGATAACCCCGCGACTGAGTCAAGTCACCGACCCAGCCTGACCCTACCCTCTCAAATATCGCAAATATCCCCGTCCCACACACCCGTTTCCTTAATATCTTCTTCTACCGCATCTGCGTCGAACGCTCCCATGAATCATCCGCCTCCTGGAAATCGTCCGCCCAGTTATACGGGCAACTTTCACGGTCAGCCACCCATTGGGCGCACTAGCCCCTCACCCATCCCGGCCCTACACGAACTCCACCGAGCCAAATGGTCGGAGGTCCTCCCCCATCAACACGGGGCCCCCGTTTCTGGATATCCTCCCCATGCTCAAGTTCCTGGCGGGCCTCCTCCGATGGGCGGTCCCCCAGGTTATGGGGGCGCAACCGGCTATCCCCCAGGGCCGCCACCACAACAGCAGCAGCAGCAACAGCAACAGCAACAGCCAGGCGGCCCCATGGCTCAGTACCATCGGCCTGGAAATCCCGCGGAGGTTGAGGGCAATAGCCGGAGCAAGGCCCAGTTAATTGTTGGCATAGACTTTGTAAGGTGCCCTCCCAACCTCAGGAATATGCTTCAAGTAGGCATATCTTATATGTGCCCCAGCTGACTCAAGGCTGGGCAATACACTTTTCTAGGGAACAACCTTTTCTGGAGTCGCCTTCGCTTTTGCTACCAACAATGAAGCTAAGGAGGACATTATCACTGAATGGCCCGGAGCTGGCTCATACACAAAACAAAAGGTTTAGTATTCCGCCGAGTGTGAGGCTCTGGAACCTACTGAAGCTAATACGGCGGGGTGCCCTAGATTCCTACCGTTCTCTATTACGACCAATATCAAAAGGTTGTAGGATGGGGTCCTGATATCGCCGATGCTCTTGCTCCTACTGGATACCCCAAGCCTGGGGTGCAGAAGGTTGAATGGTTCAAGCTTCAGTTAATGTTGAGCGGCAATACCTATATTGACCCGATCAACCTTCCACCGCTTCCACCAGGTAAATCCGAAATTGATGTTGCCGCCGATTATCTTTTCAAGCTTCGCCAGGCGATGCGGTCGGCCCTACAGAAGACCCTTGGAGAGGTGTTCAACCGAGAGGAAAGGAACATTCGATACTACCTAACCGTTCCCGCCATTTGGAACGATGCCGGAAAAGCTGCCACTCGCTCGGCTGCTATCCAGGCGGGGTTCCTCCGTGATGAGAATGATAATCGTCTGACCTTAGTCTCCGAGCCCGAAGCTGCGGCCCTTTTCTGTTCCAAGACAGGGCTGTTGAATCTCAAGGTCCACGACGCCGTCCTCATTGTTGACTGTGGTGGTGGAACAGTCGATCTCATCGCCTATGAGGTCGAGGATGAGAATCCTTTCACTGTTGCCGAGTGCACCGCTGGCTCTGGAGATTCATGTGGTTCGACAGCACTTAACCGCAACTTTAGTAATATCCTCCGCACCAAAATTCGAAAGATGAAGCTTCCTGATGGCTCGAAGACCGCAGGTCGTGTTTATGCGAAGTGCATTATGGACTTCGAGAACCGAATCAAAGCCGACTTCCGTAACAACGGCCAGAAGTGGGCCGTTGATGTCGGTATTGAGGCTGAATTTCCTGAGGCCGGAATTGAGGAGGGCTACATGACATTTACCAATGAGGAAATTCTTCAGTGTTTTGAGCCAGTTGTCAATCGAATTCTAGAACTTGTGAGGAACCAAATTATCGCCATCCAAGCTCAAAATAGAACACTTCAGAACATCTTGGTCGTGGGGGTTTTGGAGCTTCGGAATATCTTTTCCAGCAAATCAAACTTCACGTCCCTCCTCAGTTTCAGTCGAAAGTAGTCCGACCTATGGACTCCGTCGCAGCCATCGTCAAAGGCGCTGTTACAGCTGGCATTACCGAGCGCGTAATCACACATCGCGTTGCCCGACGCCACTATCTCATGGCCACCCTACAACCTTTCAAAGAAGGTTACCATCCTGAGGCGTACCGAGTACCTTCGCTTGACGGTAAGGATCGGTGCAAGTTCACACGGCAAATATTTGTTCAGAAAGGGCAAAAGGTGAAAATTGGTGAACCCGTCAAGGTCTCCTTCTTCCGTCAAGTTGCTCCTGGAGCTACCCTCATGTATGAGGATATCCTCTATGCTTGTGACGATGATGTTTGCCCCGAATACACCAAAGATCCTCGTAAGTCACCCACTTGCCCACCTGACCTAGCACCCCAAACAGGAGAAAGCGCTAAGATTAATGTTTCTCAGGTATCAAAGAGGTCGTCACCCTCACATCAGATCTTTCCCGGAAGAATCTAGAAAAAGACTTCGAACGTATGGATACTCCGCAGGGCACATTCTACAGAGTCTACTTTGATATCTACCTAACTCTTGACGGCTCCGAATTCAGTGCAGAGTTGGTCTGCCAAGGCGAGGTTATGGGACGATGCAGAGCCCGCTTTAGATAGAATGGGTGCAAAACTTTTGGGATAGCCGTGCGTATTTGATCTCGTTTACTACCCAAGTCCAAGTTGCTTTTGCAGGCGGTGAGAACCATTGCTAGTATATTGTAGAGAGACAACCCGAGCTCGCAGCTTTCTTCTACTGCTAGCTTATTCGGCCTAGAACACAAAGCGTCTTGCAGACCAAGATAATCAAAGTATATATAATGAAGATCCAAATGTTTAGCAGCTACGTCGAAAAAAAGAAGCAGCTTCTTTCTGAATATATATATATATATATTTTATCATTAGAAAAGAACTGGTAAAGATGTCTAGGGTGGCTGTCATGTGACCTTCATCCTTTCGGCGTACGCGGTTTAGATATCCTTCCTGGGTGACGGAGATAGCTAAATGGGATCCGATGGTTTTAAGGGGAATTTCTAACCCGGCCGCTAGAACCCAATTTCTTGAGCAGCTTCGAAGGTGAGGTTTAGTTCAACATGAAGAGCTACCTCTTGTCAAATGTGTAACCATTGAAGAGAGCTCGGCTCCTCCGCTCGAGTAAACTCCCAAAAGCCTAGCCAATAACATGCTAAATAAGGTGTTTTGGTAGGCGTTTAGTTTCTCAGGGTCATCAAGGGCTCTAGCCCAAGATACGACTCAAATCACGTCACGATTACTGCAGCCATCGTTATTCATTTCTCAGTTTCTTCCCCTGCTTCATATTTTCCCACTCCGCCCTATCTTCTTCGTCGCTTCCGCTGAAGTCAGCATCCTCATCATTGCCGCTCGTGACGGGCTCTTCGGTAAAAGCGATTCTGCCATCTCCTATCTCGGCTTGTATAAAATCTCCTTGGTTCAAGGCCGAGTATTCGTTCTTTTGTATTACCTGCCTAAGGCCGATGTTAAGCGGATCGACCAGCTGGTATGGTGTAAGGCCTCCTTTATTCTTCAGACGGGAATTAGAGCCTGCTTCAAGCATCATCTCCACGAGGGCATTTCCGAAAGGTCGTTGCTCCGGTGGTTCAAGGTTTATCCAACGGATAGCAGAATGCAGTGGCGTGTCTCCTTCCCGCCGATTAATTGGGTCGCATTCAAAATCGGGCTGGTCAAGGAGCATATCAATCACCTCATCTAAATGGCCTGATTAGCGATGTGTGAAGGATAGCGCCTATACAGGGCTGAATGGAAATGGTCTAAAGATGACAGCAGGTAGAAAGAGTTTATGAAGAGCAACTAACAATTTCCCTGAAGGGCCGCCTCATGATAGAGATGGTTACCCAAAACAGTTGTTGTGTCGTTTAGAAGACGGGTAATCTCGCTCTCACTCGAACAGCTGTCGATGATCTCGGCTAAGAGATCAACGTTATTTCTGCGGCAAGCTTCGATAAGCTGCTCCTCTTTCGATGCACCCTACTTGAATTAGAGATGTGTATGGCAATAAGTCAAGCCCGAGCTCGCACGTGCGTGAGACGCTTGGCCTAGGACCTACCTCATGCTCCTCGTTCGCCATCCTCCGCTGAAATCCGGGATATTCTCTGCCTAATCTTAGGGATATACGCTGATTACTGCTTCAGAAATTAAAGTGCTTTTATTTCAATTACAGATGCAACCGGAGATAGGAAGATGTAGCTTGTCAATGTTGGGAGGGAGAGTTGATATCACCACCGTAAGGCTTCACGCCCAACTAGTCATGGCAAGCAAGCCAGAAAGGGAGCGCGGGGTACGGAACAAGTGAAATGCCGAGCTCCGGCGGGGCAGACATGCGATGCAATACATCTCCAGCAACGCCTATTTGTGTGTTTGCTGCAACAGCACACCATATTACATAAGCCACCCTCGACTGAGGTCCTCCAGATAATCGCGCTGCGCTTCATGCTTAGTACCGAGGTAGATCAAGGTGTTTCAAAGCAAATGCTGTATGTATAAATATCTATTCAGCAAGGGCATCAGGTCTTCGAGCATAAGGACTGACTTGGTGAAGTATAACGTGGACAACTTTGGTAGCCGTTCAACAACAGTAACCACTCATAAAAGGACGGTAATGAAAGATGAGCCAATGAGACCCCGCATCTACTTCCAAGGATCCCAGCCGAGCGGAATCAAGCCGAGAGGCTAATTAGAACCACTGAGATCAATTCAACCAGCTTTAAATGTGCTCAGGCTTTTGTACTTTGGGTCTGCGCAGTTGCTTCGGTGATGTGTATTCAGCCTCGAAATATCAGCCGGCTCTTTCTCCAATGTGAAAAATGAAACAAAGATCATGACACCGCATACAGACACCATGATCTTCATATTTGTTGCGAAAGCCACCGAGGAGGCAGCGTGGCTTCTCTCCGTCGTTTCCAGGAACCGGCCCGGTGACATATCGGGACCGTCGGTCGCGCGGTAGGTGCCTGGGCTCCGGCTTCCAAAGGTGGCTAAAACCATTGTCCAGATGGATATACCGAGGCAGCCTCCCAGTAACCGCGCCTGGGAGATAGCACCATGAGCCGTTGCTAAATCATCTGTGGGCACCTGTAGAGATGTCGCGATTGTGGCGGCCCCAAAACAGAGGCCAACGCCTAACCCAATGATGGATAGACACACGTGTAATACCTTGATTGAAGAGCTTGGCTCATCGATCCTTGCCATCAAACCTAGCCCTATTGTCTGGAGGAAGGAGGATGTAATCAATGTGTAGGACGTATTATTTCTCTTACTGGAAACAGCACCCGCAATAAAAGACCCTACTGCACATGCTCCGAGCAAAGGCAGCAATTTCAGGCCAGCAGTCAGCGATCCCTCACCGTTTATTTCCTGGAACCTCTCGGGGATGATTACCATGAGAGATAAATATGGAAACCCGGTGAGGAGTGTAACCCTTCGTTGTGTGTATTAGCTTTAACAAACAATATATGGTGAACCTGCACAAGGGGCCACCAAAGACCAGGTCTTACAAGAAACTCGCTGTAAATGCTCGATTAGTAAACAGGCTCCCGGGCACTATTGACTTAATGCTGTTGAATAGGCCACGGCGAAGGGCAAGCTCCCAAGCTACAAGCGCGATCCCGCTCGCTGTAGCAATTACTATGGCCACGATCGGGTAGGGTTCGTTTCGAGAGCCAACTGTTTCTGCCCCTTTCTGTATGGCCACGACTAGGAAACAGCAAGCACATAGTAGGGTAGAGCTTCCGAAGAAGTCAATCTGCTTGATCGATCCCCACGAGTATATCTTTTGGGGGCGCTGAGCAATGTCTTGTTCCGCTGGCCAAGCGAGTGCTATTAGGACAATAGCAAGCGCACTGCATGGCACGCTACCAACAGCATCAGCGTTGATCTACCACTGATTGAAAGGGAATAACCTACTTCATATGGAATATCCACCTCCAGGTTGAAAACTGCGAAATAACGCCGCCCAAAGTTGGCCCAAGGAGAAGGGAGCCTGCCAGCGTCAATCCAACTAAAGCGCTGACTAGGCTTGGTTTCTTAGTGGGGCCTAATTCGAGAAGTGAGACTTGCGACAGAGCATAGAGTCCGGAACCCCTACCCCTTGGAGAGCTCGGCAAACTATCCTGCTGAAAGTATTACGGCCCGCCTTCAAACAAGAGAATTTGACCACGATAGCGTCAAAGGACTAACACTTACAGTTCCGTCATCCGAGTTGAAGTAGCACATCCGTGAGAGAAGGTCAGAAACAACAGCCAGGACCCCAAGAGAACATCCTTGCGGCCGAAAATATCGCTGAGTCGGGAGATCACAACTGCAAAACCTGAAATGTGCGTTAGACCAACTGTTGCCTTCCCCTCAACGGGGCGGCTAGCTACTGGTACCCATGTAAGTCAAGAGATATGCCAGGATAATCCAGGTGATGTTGTCATAGCTTTTCATTTCATCGCCAATGGCAGTCATTGAGGTCGCCACAATACCAGCGTCGAGCGTTGAAAATAGGAGCCCCCGAGTATACTATCAATAAATTAAGCAATGTGACTTGTACGTATTATCATAAAATAGACTTTACCAGAAGTTCAAGATAACCCTGCGAGACTTGGAGATGCGTGTTGTTTGGCCACATCCCCTCGAAGCGCCGTCGAGGAATACTGCTTTGCACTCAAACCTTGGTGGGGTTATTATTCCTCGACGACCAATCGGACGCGTTTTCAAAACTGCGTCCGGATGCCGGATGCCCCAGGTGGTTTCTAAGCGTCCAAGAGTTCCGGACCGAGGATATGTCATGTCGTCTCCCATTGATCCCGGCTCTCCTGCTTCGGCCTGGAAGGTTCAATGTTAGATTCGCCTTCCCTATAAGGGACACTGATCATCTTCTACTACCTAACTTGATGGGGTTCTTCCAGGTAGAAGGTAGGATTGGCATAAGAATCGCTAACTCTCACATCCTACCACAGGGAGGTCTCTCTTATGTGAAGCCAAAGATTGAGGAGCCACGGAGAGTGAATGAAAGGGACTTGTATTTATCTATGCCCGTTTTGGGTTTTTGGTCCTCCTTTACTCCAAAATCAACATCGCACACAGTTCACACACCCACAATCCACAGTCTTCAAGATTGTCCACAGCGTGATCCTTCCCGCGGCCGGGTGTAACGCGGCTGGTGGAAGGCTTATCCGACACCTGATGAAGAACTCCCACCTATTATGATCAGAATCTGATTTTTTTACTATCGAACCCTAGAAGAAGAATATTGAAAAGATAGGTATTATACGTGTAGTATCTTTGGTATGATTAGGAGAGAGTCAGAGCCTGCGATCATATCAGAATACCAAGCCCGCCCCAGAAAAGCGTGTCTACATCTTGACACTTTCGCAGGGATAGATAAGGGGCACCGATTCACACATCCATTGTAATCAACCCCTTCCCCAATACAGTTTTCAAGACATAACCCTTCCCAGCATATCTCAGCCTATTTCCTGGCCTCTATATAGAGAGCCTCACTTTAATTGTTCATCTACCTACGCATTCTGTAGTGATAGCCAGATGGAGCAAACGTCAGCCATGCTACGGTGTAGCACAGTTAATAGCAGCTTCCGGGTGTGGATCTTTTGCCGAAACTGTACGCACGTGCAACAAGAGATGCGTGCTGCGGAAAGCCGCCAGACAGTCATACGATAAGCCTCTAGAGGCATCGATTCCATTACTAGCCAACTCGTGGTCGTCGCATCAGCCATGAAAACACCCCTCCACCTTCCTAGGTCTTATGTCAATCTAGCCTGACGTGATCAAAACGAGCCCAGTAGCAGATGGCCTAATCGCTGAGCGTCTTCGGCTATTTTCCTTGCGAGAGCTATTTTCCTTGCGAGAGCTATTTTCCTTGCGAGGTTGGAAGGGGTGGTTATGTCCAACGATCGAGATGACGCATCTACGTTTAACATGTCGTAAATACGCACTGCTCGCCATTGTTGAATCGCTGAGCAAGAAAGTTGCGACGATAAATTAACACAAATGTTAAACCTCACAAGCAGACATCCGCGTCATGTGGAACTCCCAGAAGGGACCAACCTCAGGCTTAATCTATAGGCAGAAGAAGACTGATATAGTGCCGCTTCCTCCTCAAAGCAACCGTGCGAGCTGTGTCAACGCGTTCAACGTTTGTGTAGTACAGTGAAGATCGCTGTCATGATGGCTCGGCCGGTTCAAGCAAATTATGATACCGCAAATGTCCTCGAGGATCTTGCACAATATCCACTCGAGCGTGACATCCGTGCGGTTTCTAATTGATCATTCTCGAGCGATTTAGGAACACTGTGGACTTTCTTCACGCCGGTGGCGGTTTTGAGATGTCTTAACAGCTTCAAGTTGATTTGCTGGCTGTTGTTGACAGGCCAGTATGGCGCTACAGCACGACCTTGATATCTTACACTACTGGTTAGTGTCCGAGGGCGGCCTATGTGGGCGGAATGGGTGTTGGGTAGCTTTCCAGCAATGGGCCTCATACAGCCCTGTGTTCTATTCTGAATCGCATGGATCTTCCTCAAAATTATCGTTTCGTAACAGTAGCCCCGGATTGTTTGAAGAGCAAAGATTGTTCGAGGAGGTAAGAAGTAAAAAGGCAGGGCCATTCTGCATGCCTCGGTGGGCCTCGTTTACTAGGATATAGGCATACCTTGGTAGCTCGAGGATGGTTTGACCCCTAACAGCCCTTCGCAATCGAGGTGATACCAGCTCCTTCATCACGGCGACGACTTAGATCTGGAATCAGAGACACCACGACATGGGTCGGTCTACTTATTTCAAAAATTACTTATCAGTTGATACTATCGTTGGCTTAGTCGACAAATGATAAACCACAGTTCGAGACTTGCCCTATGTAGACCTGGCCAACACCGCCTAGCGATCTACATGTAGGTCTTATACCGAGATGTGGTTACAAAATAAGTTTTTCTTTCTCATTTTCCTTCTTTTTTTAAAGAAAAGAAAGAAAATGGAGAAGCTCGGCCAAATTTAGAACGCATTGCCACACTAAAAGATTAATATAGAGGTAGAAGCTTAGGACTCGCAGCCTCCATATGCATCACTGAAGGGGCTCAGTGATGTTTTGAGGGTCGGGAGGTGACTGGGCCTCCGTCGCCTTCCTTATATAAGGGCCTTGGACATGTCCCCCTGGTCTAGTCATATTAAGCCTTTGTCGTCTCAAGCGGTGTTTCCTTGTGGGGGATTTCTTTTCGACTGCTCATATAAGAAGATTCGAGTGATTTGAATGGTACCAACGCAACCGAGGAAGAAATTTACCGCAGCTAGCCTATTGAATCCGTTATTGACGTTGTCTTCTTAAGGGTGGTAGCCGATGTGGGCTATCATGGAAGCCCATCAGCAGTAGGGAGCGTACAAGATGTTTCTTGGCTTGATGATTAGGCACCATCGCGTCCAGATGATCCCCGTCATCGTCAGCGCCAAATTTTGGGTGAGTGACAGCTTCTCGGCGGGACGGGCGAAATCAGAAATGCCCGCAATTACTATAGCCCACTAGAGAACAATGTTAGGTGCGATTCTTAGCTAAAGGAGATGCAAATGGTGCCATCGATGCGAAGTACCTTCATAACAGGAGCCCTAGAAAAGGTTGTCAGGATACGGGAAGAACATGAAATCAAGCCCAGGTCAGGCCGGTGATAGCCATGACCTAGTAGCAGAGGGACGTACCAGAAATGGACCGTTTTTAACCCAACCGGGCTGTTCCACATTCGCTTGAACCAAGACTCCCGTGCTTCGGCGCCAGCCGCGGTCCCTTGCCAACGCCGGGTGCTATTCCGTATGCTTCCGAAGTTGGTAGTTCCTGACGGAGCAGCACGCGTTCGCCACGCCGATGATAGTGGCTGGCGGAAGAGAGGCCGAGAGGCATTGAGGAAGCTTCGTGTGGCGGCCATGATGAGATCACCTGTCCTGTTCCCAATCTACAGTTAGGATTGTGTCAAGCAAAAGAGATAAATGAGGTTGGTGTGGGTTTGGGGGCTATAAAGAAGCAAGAGACTAAGAAAACAAGGCTGAAAGCCGAGAGGGTATGTGCTCGGCTTGTCCTAATGCCTTTGTGACGACCGTTGAGCTTCAGGATCCGATAATCAGGGATGATGATTTTGGTTGGGGTCGGGGATAAGGGTCCGGAGTTGGCCCGCCAGCTCGCCTTGCACCATCCGTGTCCCAATTATATAATCATATAATCACATTCACTCTGTGATAGAGTTTCGGAAATACTATTTTCCTTGACCAATGAGCTGACAGGTGATTTTCACGTATCATCAAAATAGCGTTCCTGTTTGCGAGCACCAACGAATCCTTATTATAACAACGGCCATCCAGACAGTCTTTTGGCTTAGTTTGACCTTTGAAAGGAGAAAATGTCAAGCCGCTATGCTTTCACCAAGACAGTGAAGGAACTACGGTTCCTTTTCTGTCAGACTTCAGATCACAGTAACACTGTTCGGCAAGTGTTTCCCAAGCACACTCCCGGAGGCTATCCATTCGTTAGAGGCAGCTTATGTTGCAATTTTTATGTGAGAAAAGAACTGCCTCGACTAATAACGTGTACTACTATAGATCCTTCCTTACGCGAGCGTACCCGATTATGAAGAAGAACAATCCTCATGTGCCGATCTTGATCCGTGAAGGGACGGGAGCGCTTCCACGCGTATATGCTCGATATGGTACAGTCCTTCCAGCTAGCTATCAGCATCTTACAGAGTGACTGAGAACTTCTAAGCAGCTAACACAGAAATCTTAGATCTTGGACAAGAACAAACGTGCTCCCTAGAAGGTGATATCTCTCTCTATATCTCAGAAACGCGCACCGTCCTAACCCTTCTCAGGTCTTTCCGACAAGCAAATCGAAGAAACCGTGACGAGCCTGGTAAAACCCACGAGTCTTTAAATATGCACGAGCGTACTTCAGGCGGAGTACCCTTGGGAAATAGAATTCCATTGTACATCATCGTAGACATAGTCGAATGAAGAATACTGGTCGAATTCACTCGCATTTTACCCCATTGCAGTCACTCAAATCCTTGAGCCAAATCCCGAGTAGGAAGTCTTGGGGGGGTACTACAACGGGCGAATCCTTGGCCCCTCGCCAATTCACCGTCTCCTTGCCATCTTGGTTTTTATCCATCATGGTTCTCAACGCTTAGCAGGGGTCACCCGTTCCAGTGCATATGTTCCTACGCTGATGTGCAGCCCTATTGTCGCCGAAAAATGGGGAAAGCTAGGATCACCGAACCTGAGAATTCTGCCATAGCCGGCATACATCCAACGCTGCCTTATTCGGAATCGTCGTCGCATTTCAGCAAGGCCATGCAGGGCTTACACAGTTATTTCCACCAGAGATGCTCAAGAGGCAGCCGGCGCAGTCTCTACCTCTATTATGACCACTAGGTCTCAAATAACAGTTGACTTGAGCCGCCCTTCGAAGCCTATATTTACTCTTCCGTGAGTCAATACTAAAATGGGAGAATGTCGATCAAGTCCTCATCATCAACCCATGCCTATAGCTCAGCCAAGACCATCCGATAAGCGTATCTCGATGCACACAGCTTATGGCATTCACCTGTTTAGAACCCCAAGAGTTTCTAGCATCTACCTCGAGCCTCAGATCTCTCTACCAATCCCTTAATGGCACATTCTAGATCATGTCCCTTACCTGCCAACCAGTGAACAAGGGGATGTCTAAGCAGCGCATGGTCCTACCCTCTCGATGATAGAGGAGACGGAAAGATGGCCCTGCTTCAGACATGCACTTAGAATAAGCTCGAGCAATATACTGGCTAACCTGTAAAGCAAGCATGTTAGCACAGACAAGGTGGTGTCTTATATGCCACCCTCTCCACATACACAACCTGAATTTGCCGAAACTTTAGATATTCTTGATAATCCAAAAACCCGCGCCCACTATCCTAATACTCTGCAGCGCTACGACAAATCCCATCCCGTTCCAGCTATGTCTCCGTCCACCAAAAGTCCCACAGTTCAGGTGCCTCTTTCGCGTATGCTTTCTCTGCCCAGTCTGCCGAAGAAGGCCGTTTCCATGAGTGAAGCGGCATCTTGATGGACAGCCAAATTAAAAACCTGGTCAAATGGGATCGCCGACTACAATTTGAGCCACCGATCTCAGCAACAAAGATTGAAACGCAGAGAGTGAGCACCTAGTTATTGCAGTGCTGCAATAACCTGATCTCAATCGCCCTTCGTTCTCTCATCATATTATAGTCGAGTTACATATACGAACTCTAATGTACTGGACCGCTGGTGGTAGACCGGACTGGTAGTGGACAAGTTCACGAAATTTCACTCTCGACACAATCTTGCGAAACACGCAAGGTTTTCAAATACACCCTACAGCTTTAGCTTTATGAGAGACGTGAAACTTTGAAAGGCTTGCCTTCACTGAGGGACCTTACTAATACTGACCGGGATATCTGCTCGTCTTGTGCATCATACGGATCGCGGCGCCGAGAGCATCCTCCTCGTATTATTTGTCCATCACCAGCAAGTCCGCCGCCAAATCCACTAGTTCTCCGGCAGACAAGCACCACGGCCCTAGATTCGTGATGAAGCGAGATATAGTGAAGGCGACACCCCAGCATTAGTTGAGCCTGTTGAATTAGTTTGCCCTGGCATGGTGTGCGATTGTGCCGAATTAATGTGGAAGGGTAACATAGACAGGATCCATAAAGGATCCATGCCTCCGCCAGATGCTTACTACATGGCACTGATGGCAAGGCCCTTTCAACTCTCAAAGAGGCACATTACGAAAATGTCGTGGGTGAGACCCTAGACAAATCTTACAATATATATTCAATGCAGCGTTCTTTACGAAGCCGTTCAAGTTGTAACCATCGGTCGTCATTCTAGCTATATATATATATATACCCAAAATGACGGCTATGTACATCCCAAAATACGTCATGAAAGACCTTCGTATTTGACATGTCCAGGACATCTAGAGAAGGAATCCAAAAGCCTTCATGATGGCCCTCGGCAACCTCTACTGCTCTGTCATCCAAGAAGCATCCGGGAATACCCCGATCTAGTCCGATTTCATTGTAATAATCTTGCCTTCGGCGTCAAACTTGATTTCCTTGACTTTGACGCTTCTCAGGTGGTCCACACCCTTGCTTAGTTCACAGTCGTGATAGAAAAGCCACCACTTCCCGTTGAACTCAACAATGGAGTGGTGAGTAGTCCAGCCGAGAACGGGCTCTAAAATCCTGCCTGCGTATGTAAAGGGCCCGACTGGGCTGGTCCCCGTGGCATAGGCTAAGTAATGGGTATCTCCTGTTGAGTACGAGAAGTGGTAAAGACCATCCTTCTTATATAGCCATGCAGCCTCGAAAATCGACGGTCATGATCGTCGGCGGGAATAGGTTTTCCAGTCTCGGGGCAAAGGATCTCAACCTCCTGTACCTCGCCTTGGAACTGGAGCATGTCGTCCGTGAGCTTAGCAACTCGAGGGGCGAGAGCAAACTTGTCGTCGCCGCTAGGTTCTTTCGGACCTTGCCAGTCTTGATCGTAGATGTTGTTGCCCTTTTGGTAGCACTGAAGCTGTCCTCCCCAGAGCCCACCGAAATAGATATATGCTTGGCCATCGTCGTCGACAAAAACAGCGGGGTCAATGCTAAAGCTCCCTTTATGGGCTCGGGTTCCGGCGTGAAGGGGCCCTCGGGCTTGTTGCCAACGGCAACACCGATCCTGAAGATCCCTTCCTTATCCCGAGCAGGGAAGTAAAGGTAAAACTTCCCATTTTTAGTGGCGGCATCTGGTGCCCAGAGTTGCTTCGACACCCAGGGAATGTCCTCAGCCTTCAAGACAACGCCATGGTCAATGACAGGCTCGAGCGGGTCGAGGGAAGATGTGCTGAAGACATGATAATCAGCCATGTCGTACTGGTCGCCATTATCATTGAATTGGATATCGGTCTCCCTATCATGGGAAGGATAGATATACACACGGCCATTAAAAGCATGAGCCGAGGGGTCGGCCGTGTATACATTGGTGATGAGAGGAGGCATTATGGTTAAAGCGTTTTGTGCACGGCTCGGTCTGACTAGGGACAAGTATTGTTTAAGGGTAACTCAGATGAAGAAAGAGTCAGTAGTCTTGGGAATCCTAATCAACTCATCGTGGGCCACTCCAAGATATATACCCGAGTCGATAGCCCCGCTCTAAAGGTCATGTCTAGGTCTAGGGTAGCTTCGACGCCGATATGTCCCTCGTCGTGACCTTGCGTCAGTTGATGGATGTTGGCCCGCCAAGATGGGTAACCTGAGCAGACTCTATTTAACCTGAGTAATTTAGCCGCTTTTACCCCCGGGAGACACCCTCGGGTTGCCCTTGGCGGCTGGATCGATTCGAGAACCCCTCTATCCTTGTTCGCGCTGAAGTGAAATAACGAATGGCTCTCGTTGCACCCCATCCGGCTGAATGGTTCAAGGCATCGGCCGGTTCGGGGTTTGGAGCGACCAACGCTAACCTCGGGACTTTCAATCATGGGATGTAAAATGTTAGTTTCTAGCTTACGATTCTTCCCATTTCTATCATGGCGTCGAGCCATGGCGACAAACGGCGGCAAGAACACCAATTCATCCATGGAGGGCTATGGGCAAGCTCATTACATCGAAGCTAGGGCCGCCTTAACCCTCCGCTATACTATGGGTGTCATATCACGGAACGTCGTTGGCACGAATATGGGCCGGATGTGGACCGGAGTGGGTCACTTAACGGCTCATGAGGAGGAATGTGTATCGACATTCTTTGGATGAAGCATTTCACATCTAGTGCTAGCCAGCCGCTCGAGGCAGCTTCGTCTCCCAGCTACACCCACCTCATAGCTCAACCCACATTTTCACATCCTTCGCTACTTAGAAATAGAAAGTTCCATTCTCAGGTGTATTAATAGGCTCCGTCCCTTTGGAACATGTGCTGCCACTAGTGGACGATTGAAGGATTCTAATAATCCTGAATTCCCGTCTCCCCTTCCAGTAACTTCCTTTTAGGGTGAGTCTCCCATACGAATTCGTCCCCTGTCTTGGTTACCCAAGTCGGCTCCTCATCATCAAACCAAGCATTTTCAGCATCCCGTCTTTCTAAGACATCGAGCTCCTCGTCTTTGTCAACTTCACAATAGTCAAACTCAGTATCTTCACCCTCGACAAATCGCTGGGCCAGAAAACTGTTCCAGAGGTAGTGTCCAGATTCTCTTGTAAGGGAATTCCAGTGCACTTCGGGCGATCCCCGACTACCACCAAGGAGGTTAAATGAAGGCTCGGAGGCGAGCCCATAAGCTAACGCACCGAAACATGGCCAGGCGACCGTGTCCTTGTCGAGACCCGAAGAGGTTGCGGAAGTGGACTTCGCCTCGCCTCTCCGCAGACCAGTCTCAAGAATGCGTGAGTAGCCCTTCGTCTGGGTGTCTAAGCACGCCTCTGCCGGTGTTTGGAATCTACGGATTAATTCCTCGTATAAGATAGGATCTAGAAAACCAGCACACAAGTTAAAAGAATGCAAAATGGAAGGGAAAAAGGGAAAAAAGAAAGAAAAAAGGGTTCAAGACCTAACCGTAAGGACTGGCGAAGGTAACAGCACCAATGGGATAATTTGAAATAGGAAAACTAGGCAGATCATGAGGAACTCTCGTCACGTCACTGAGTAGACTGTTAATGGGCGGAGAAGAGGCTAGTTGATGAAAACGGCCTTTTCTCCTCGAATAAAAAACCAAAAAACTATCCTTGAGACATACCAACAAATTCGTGCTCCAGGTCTTGGAAGTATTGTGGTGTTCGATTTAGATATTCTATTCTCCTGTTGCGCACTTTGACCCCTAAACCCCTAGGCAATGCACTTGATGATGGGCGATGTGAACGCTCACCAACGGGTGGATGTTGAGTCTTGAGGCTCTTAGGCCTCGCCCCGTCAGGCCTGTTCTGGGCTTGTGTTTCATGGTCCATTGGTAGTGGATGGTGTACGGAGGCGTTTATTCTTGCCTGCTGCTTTGAGACCAGCTCTCACGATTGTCGAATATTCTGATCCGACCGAAGGGTCCCAGTAAAATGAGGCAAAGGGTTGTAACTAACAAGAACCTCTTACCATTTTAGGAGAGCAGAATCCCGTAATGACGACCGCCAATACTCATCCAACATCCATTCCACCCGAAGTTCCACCGGCTCAGGCTTCTACGCCACCCGCACGCACAGGATCGCCGCGCCCTTTAAAGAAAAAAATCAAGAAAGTGATAGAGAAGCAAAAGCCACCAGTCCCGCCTATCAATGTTCTCCTTGTAGAGGACAACCCAATCAATCTTAAACTTCTTGAAGCTTTTGCTAAGGGCCTGAAGGTCCGTTGGCAAAGCGCAATGAACGGTCGTGATGCGGTTACAAAGTGGCGAGGGGGGTTCCATCTCGTTTTAATGGATATTCAACTTCCCGTCATGAATGGCCTCGAGGCCACACGTGAGATTCGCCGCTTGGAACGAGTCAACTCTATAGGAGTGTTCTCCTCGCCTGTTGGGAAAGAACTTGGCGAAGAAGGTGGTATCTTGGAGGATGATCGCCTGGCCAACATACATATGTTCAAAAGTCCCGTCATCATTGTTGCTCTCACCGCTAGCTCGTTACAGAGTGACAGACATGAGGCTCTCGCCGCAGGGTGTAACGACTTTATTACCAAGGTATTCCCTCTACTCACCCACCGAGATTAAACCGATCACCATCCTTCACGATAGTTTTCCCTTTTGTCATCTTTCTCATGTTCGCAAAAGAGTGCATCCTTCCTATGAACTAGCCCCGGCTAACTTTAGCATCAGCCTGTCAGCTTCCCATGGCTCGAAACTAAGGTACGTGAATGGGGCTGCATGCAAGCACTTATCGACTTCGACGGTTGGCGAAAATGGAAGGATTTCTCTCAAGAGAAGGAAAAGGACGACGCCGCTAGAAAGGCCGCGAGCACAAAGTCTAAAGCGAAGAAACATCGGACGCCCTACACAACATCCGCGAGTTAACGCTACACTCCTCGGGGCTATAGCGGAGATTGCGCGATTGCTTCGGGTCTAAGAACTCTACTCAATGGCAAGGCGAAAGAAAACTGTATCAGATATGGATTAAGCTAAGCGCCAAGCATCTACATCGAACTTCCGTTCTACTAAGCGTCTCTCTTCCCCCGGCAAAACCAAAAAAAAAAAAAACAAAGAAAACGCCTACCCCTGCCAACGTAACCTCCTAATCCTCGAAATATGGGCTAGATACCAAAACCACTGCCCCCTTCCCCGCTTGTCCTTCAAAAATAGAAACGAATATTTGGCCAATAAAATATTATGGAGAAAAAGTTTTGTAGTGGAGGGTACTCTCCACCCGTATGTAAATGCCCCTAATAGTTCTGTATCATGTCAGTGTTGAATATGTTGTTACTGGATCAAAGAAAGCATTGGCTAACTCGCCGGACCTTGCTAGTGAGACCTTATACAAAGTCGCTCACAGCTTGACTTCCATTACGATCAACAAGATGAATTCAAGAAAAAATATCAATTATACATAAGGTTTAATATATTATATCTATTCTATATAGTTTTAAACCCATGATAAATTGAAGGTTTTATCCCTCCTATGAATTTTAGTATCTTCAATTAGATCAAGGATAGACAGAGGCGAGGGAGTATTTGCTTGGTACTAAGAGGCGTTTGACTGATGTACATCTCCCCGGCAACAACGAAAGGTGGCTCGTCACGTGATTGATAATTTTGCACGACATGTGACCAAACTCGAAGGTCCACAAGTAACGCCAAATTTTCCATACCTATCTTTCTTCTCTTACCTCCCAAGGGTGCTATCGGTAGCCTCCCTATCGTTACGCTTCCTTCTGCCCTACATATAAGAGGAAAGTACACGGAGTTTCGATTCTATTGCCGGTTTCATGCGAGCAGTCGAAACTGTCTCTCAGCATCATGGCACCTACTCCGATTACCCCAACCATCACGCAGGCTTTTCACTCTCTGTCCAAGACCACCCGGGGCGCTCGACAGTTTACGACGAGTCGGTGCCACAGTGAAGTGAGTCGGCAGCGCAGAGAAATGTTCGAATGGCTGAAGACTCTAGAGAGAGACGTCTCCAAAAACCCCAAAGGCTCTCACTACCTCGGCGGATACGATCAGCCGTTCCCACAGAACCCCTTATTTCGCAGCCAGCCTGTGCTAGATGAAGGTGCAAGGGAGCTAATCTGGAGGAGGTCAAAGAAGAACGGAGAGCCATTAAAGGTAGTTTCCGCTGATTTAGGAGTGGATGTGAGGCGCGTTGCTGCAGTCGTTCGACTGAAGGAGGTGGAGAAGCGATGGATCTCTGAGGTAAGAGTTTTTCGATCGTCCTTGGCTCCGCCAGACACCATCTTGCTCAATGATGAATGCTTCTTTTTCGATTAGTCTTGAAGACAATCCACATGGTTACAAACAGTTGCGAGCCTCTCTGAGAGTATATGGCTGCTTTATGTTTCAAATACCTAGTCAAGGGTCCGCAATCAATCTTTGCTAACTTGCTATGTCCGCCGATGCAGGGAAACGTCTCGCGAAACCTTATGCGAAAGCGATCTTAAATATGCTACCAAAAACGTCATATCCCTTCGAAGGCCCAAAGCCGACTCATGAGCCAATCAACGATATACACGTCCACGGCTACACAATGCAACAAGTATTTCTCCCCACATCTGAATCACGGTGCTTCACGCGGCAAGATGCCGCGAAAGCCTTTCACCGAACCATGCTGCCCGCGGAGAAGCGATCGCAGCACCCCGAACTCATTGCAATGGTTAAAGACGTTCTAGCGGGTGCAAACAGGACTCGCAGTGCGGAAATGTTCATTGCTACGGCGAGGGAATCTGAGCAAGATCTTGTGAGGCAGGCTGAAGAAAATGCCAAACGCGATGCAGCTAGAACTATGAAAGTTCACTCAGATAGGTTTGAGTTCCGAATCCAAACATTCAACTCAGAGAGAGTGGGGCCTGCTGGCCGGTCGAGAGATGCTGTTGGCTGGAGGTATGGTGCCCCGTTGGATGATAGGAAGAGAGAGAAGATCAAAATTCCCACTCAAGTCCCATAAATACTTGATGGGGATTGCTCTGTGTAAATCCCAGGGGTCGTCCCCTGGACATGTAAGACTAGAGAAGCGCAAACCTAGCTGTATTATTAGAAAGTAAAGGCTTTCAGTTTTATAAAAGAAAGGACTGTAATAGTTCACTTGAGATCACATCCATATTCTGGCGCCTACAACTCTAGTAGAGGCATTCTTTCTGTCGCGAGACGCACTTTAAGACAATGGTGCTGTTTGAGTGCATCGATTGGATAAGCCCACGCTTTGCTGACTTGGCACCGGTCTATTCAAGTTTTCTTCGATCGACTCCTCTCATTTCAACCGTGGGTGGCGGCCAAACCCCATTTTTGTCCATGCATGTCCTTTCACCTCAGAACGGGTCTTTATCATTCAGCTTGTCCATACCGCCCACTCTCCCCGCAAATATAACAACGGCCGAGCTTAGGCACTGTCAACATGAATATTCGCAGCCTTAGTAGTAGCTATCTAGTGTTCTCCGCTTTACACATTGTCCTCTTCACAATGGCCATCGTTTCGGCAGCCTTGTATGGCATAGATCTCGCAAATCGCAGCCCACAGAATAATCCTAAAGGTAGTCGGTGGATTTTCGCGGAGGTAGTTGCTGGTCTTTCTGCTATAACATCGGTTTTATACCTGATACCGGACATCTTGCGCTCCATGTGTGTCTGGATATGGGACTTGGTCCTCTTTATTCTCTGGATATCGCTTTTCGGAGTCTTTGGAAAGGTTCGATTGTCCCCCACCTTTTTCTATCTTATAATATTTTACAATCAGGATACCCTGATCAGCCACCTCCCTGTGCACGAGGTCACTGGCAAGATTACCCGGCTTGTTTACCAAACTGTCCCTTGCGGAGTATTCGTTAATCGAGATCATTTCCAGATGTTTATCCATGAGCCGGTGGCCGACCATAACAGCTCTCTCCACCGTATGAAGGCCGCCGTGTGGGTTGATCTAGCCAACGCCATCCTTTGGCTAGTGGCCACGCTGGCCACCGCAACCTACTGGTGGGGGCACAAGGAACGAAGGAGTCGGTTCACTGGTAGGGCCAGCTTATACTAGCTCAAAAACAAACAGATGACCACGCCCTGCCGCCTCTCAGCTTAATGATAATTTTGGCAAGCGCTCTAAAGTAGTGCAAATATACCCGGGGTTCAAGTCTATGAGTCCCAAGCGTGTTTCCTTTCCAGGCTCAGGGTCCTTGCCCCAAAGGTCTATCATGCGGATGATGGAGAGATCCTGGAGGGCAACTCGCTCGCCGTGTTTGCCATCTATAAAGAGACCCTCCCCTTCAGCCCACTCCCATTATTGCTAATCTCTTTGCTCGGTCGTATCAAGATCTTTCGAGGAATACTCCAATCCGAAGCGGGATATATGTCACAGTTTAGGCGGACTCTCAACAATCCCGAGCGGTTTTAAGTTGGGGACAAGGTGGTCTTGAGAAAGTATGCATGCAATTCACACATGCACAGCTTGTGGTGTGGAGTAACAAAATCTGGTTTCTAAACTAAATGTCCTGACCCCTGATGTGTGGTGATAGACTTCTGAGACTCTCCCATCTTAAGCTAGCGGCTTCTCGAGGCACATACGAAGTAATAGCTGGATGTATGGCGCAAGTACGAAGGCTTCCATAGTAATTATTAATACCCCAACTTTGGATTTGTTTCGTTCAGCTTTCAATGCCAAGCATGGGAATCGTTCCGAACAAGCGCTTATTGCGCCAGGGCCCACTCACCTGCAGTCATGACGTATGTGGCTCGCGGCTCATCCTTGTTTGAAAGAAGTTGGCACTTGCCCTTCAGCAAGGACCTTAAGATATTGCAAAGAGAGTCGCATCAACTGTATTATATCAAATCCTAGTGAGTATTTTTTTAATTACATTTGTGATATTGTGCATTAAACTTTATGAGTCTAGTAACAAACATCAACAAACTTGTATTTAAAACCACTATTAGACTTATAAATTTTAAGAGGTTTAAGATAGGGAATCTATGATTCCTCACCAGGTTACCGAGGTAATACGGAGAGTAAAGATAAAGCACAAGCCATCCATTCCATTGAATTCGCTGGGACTATATCATTACAGGCGCCTGTCGACATCCATTGACGGATCCATTGCATTGGATCTATGCTTAGATCATAAAAGTTCCTCCCCACTGTATGAGGATGTTGGAAACTGGGCCCTGACTAAAAGATATGGCCTCGCCACATCATCCCCTTGCTAGTAAAGGGTCTAGAATCAAACTCTTGGCCACTTGTTTCTCATCCCGCTTTTCTTCCGGAAGTGACGCCTTGACTCCTCACTCCACCCCTTGGCCCTCCGCCCTCCCTTGATCGCTCCGTCCCCTTATTACACCTGATTACCTGCACATTGCACTCAATGTGGCTTGAGAACATATTATATGTACTCACTTTTCGCAGCTTCTCTCTCGCCTTTTTACAAACCCCTAACCTTTACCGTTCGGGCCTAGAATACTTCGGACCATATGGGAGCTTTCAGGTAATGGCTCTACCTCAAGGCTCGGATGTCATACTATCCCCTCTTGGTCGTCCTTCTCATCTAGAGCTGTCAAAGCCTCGCTGACGAACAGGAGCTAACCGATCCTTAGATATAACTCTGAATACACCACCTTTGGCTAAACTGCTGGCCCTAGAGCGGGAGGAGTTGGGAACCGAATAGGGCGAGTAAGTCATGCAACCCCCCAAACTCCTATTCCTCCCCGCAGTTCCTTGATGTGCACGAATTGCTTGAAAATTTCCGCTTCCTAGAGCCCCTGGAAAGGCCTCTGGTGAAGGTAGAAAACTTGTAGGGATCTTGGTATCCAAGTGCCGTATCGCCTCAATTTAATCGGAGGGCATTATACCTCCATGCGTTCATCTATTGCTTTAAACTCACTAGTCAACACAGAAGCTCTTTCCCTAGATCGATTCTATCTTTTGGTATGGGTCTAATTACGATAGCCTAATGCCGCTAGAACTCATCCCACCGGTAGGGGCAAGGATCCAACACGTATTGCGGGACAGTTTACTTTTAACAAGCCGGGAATCTCTTTAGAGATGTCGAGATGCCCGCGCTCCATTTTCATCCCAACGCCTCGGACACCTACAACGTGCGATCCCACGTTGAATCTAGCAGATGGTTTAGCTGCAGCCTTCGATCCTTCGAAGCAAGGGACCAGCAGCCTCGAATCGGGCCATTCTTCGCCCTTCTTCCTTTCTGGGAGTAATACTCCGACGCAGGAGGACGCGGAGGGTCTCGGGACTTTGTGTGACTTTAGCGCCTCTCGCAACCGACCTGAATGCCTTCCCGAAAGTCAAGCATCTTCACTAGCTTTTGCCCGTCAACCCAGAGATTGGCCGGGCGATGTCAGTATCCTACCAGCTGCTATTCTGAGTTCGGGGGCGGCGACCAAGTAAGTTATCCCCGCAGCGAACCGGAGGTGATTCCAAAGGGAATACTAATCGCCTACGTGAAGTGATGGCTATTTCCCGCTTCAGCAAGATTTTTCCAGCCACGCCCGACACCGGAAGTCTCTTTTTCAGATGAACTTCATACCACGTCACCACCCGAAGCAGATGGTAGGCAGCGAGAGTCTCCGATACACCAGCAGGATCCACCAGCGGTGCCGAGTAGCCACGCTGAGCAGGTAGCACCCCTGGCCAATACCTTGGTAACATCTTATCTACCAAGTGGCATCCATGGGAGCTCATTGCCTATGGGGAAATACTATCCCTCTAACTACGAGAAGAGGAAACGCCATCCCGGGGGCCATGCCATGTCCATCCCCCTCCAGCTTCTACTAGATCCGCCCCTCAGGTTCCTACCATCCATTCGACTGAACATTCACAGAGGCTAAAGGACAGCGGAGACGTGAAAAGAAAGCTACAGCAATATCAGCGCGATATGATTGCCCAAGCTACCCTCGCTGCTCGGAAGATTCTTGGGGACAATGCCGAGACCGGGTTGAGGCTCCCTAGTCCATTTTTACCGAATTTACCCGCCAATTCACCAGTCAGCGCCAAACCGACCTCCCCCGCCTCAGGCCTCTTGGCAGCCCTGGCCCAGTAACACCGATGGAACTTGAAACAATTGGAGGTTCGTACCTTGATAAAGGTAGAGGGCCTGATGGGTCGGGGAAGCCAGGTAAAGATGTAGATTGCTTTCGGGCACTAGCTTCGGAAGGGAAAATCCGATCTGGAGCACAGTCGCCGACCGTGGCCACATCCGCGTTTTAATGATCTGCTATGCCAGCGACTGAACCTTGAAAGACGTCCGTAGTGGATGTCCGTTGGAAGAGAGACTTGGCACGAATTGTAGTATCAGATTGTATATGAAATAGTTCAGCCATCCCAGAGGAAAATAAAGATAGATGTCCGTGAATTCCACACAGAAGAGTGATTGTCATTGGGGAATATTATGGTTTTTCTATTTCTTTCAGGGGCTTCTTGGTTGAGCAGATTACATATGTACATACTTCCAGCGTTTTAACACCCCTATCAATATTGCACACACTCAGCCTAGCGAACCCTCAAGGTAACTCAAAATTTTGGGCCATCCTGGCCATATCCCTGTGCCATGCTGATACAGGGTGTTCTTCTCGAAAATGGTTTGCAGCAGAGCAGCCTCGATAAAACTCGTTTGGTTCAACTAAGATTGTCTAAGTCTGCAATAGTTGGCGGGAAAATTACCGCGGGTACCTTCAAACTCTCCTACCCACCAGTCTTGATCCGTCTCTGTTTTCCTTATAACCCTAATCAAATCTCCCTGTTGGAAAGATAGATCGCCTATACCCTGTCCGACAAAGTCGTACATAGCAATAACAAACTCTTCTCCAAGGATTACTTTTTAGGTGGCGGCGGCGGTGGAGGCTTCTTTCTTATTGCGAGGTTAGCTAAGTCAGCCGTGCGGTTGGTTGCATAGCCAAAAGTGCCACCCGTAGCTCGTGAATCTGGAGCCTGAACGGCGTTTGAATTAGCTAGTCCCGTTGCAACGGTGAAATCGGTGGCTACGCCGGGGCCGATGGGGCCAGTCTCTAGAGAGCTCTTATGATGCTTAGTCTCGGGCTTCTCTGTCTGAGAGTGCGAAGGGTGCAGGTGATATGTGTCGTTTGGTTTGCTTGTTGGATTTGTTGTGAAAGGAGAGCGGTGAACCACATTTCTCGGTTCACGTGAAGGCACGAGTGTCATAGTACTCCCTGTCCTCTCATCGCCTGTCTTAAACGGAATAGACACTAATACGCGGCCACTTCTTACAACGGTGAGCACCTCAACCTCTTTCTGAACTGGAACAAAACTTGCCTCCCAATCGCTTATCACTAGGTTCATTGGTGGCGAAGGTGATTGGAAGCTGTTTTCCAGGCAGTAGTTATGAATTGCGGTATACGCGAGAGCAAGAAGACGATTCTGTATGGCTATTAATGTAGCAAGCAGCGGCGGCACGATTCGGAAGGTGGCGGCGATCAACGGAGGAAGACTGTCCCGGAGGTGGTTGTCAACAACGGTGAATTCCTAGGAGTAACATTTTCCCACTTGGGTTAACTAAATTGGCCAGGAAACACGGAATGGGGTTAGGTTTTCCTACTTCTTCAAGACGTTGAAGATCCTCTTCCGCCTTCTGCATCTGCAAGTCTTCCTTACCGATTTCCCGGGCTTTCTTTGTAATTTTTGAGTCTTTTCTTGCTGCTTCTCGTAGTCTAGCCGTTTATTTTCTCTCTTCTTGATGGTCCGGCGTAGGGGCTGTATAGCATCACGAGCGTCGTTACCGGGCTTGATGACATCTGAGTCAAACGCAGCCATTTCCGATACTAAATCGTCCTTGATATCGGAATATGCTTGTCTCAGGTTGAATGATCGTATTAGCAACGGCTCAGGGGTTGGTTCTGCACGACGCCCATGGCCATCGGATGCACCAACGATAGGATCGTAAAGCGTAACATATTCAGTCGCTGCACCCAACTGGGCCATAGTCATTCTATGCCAAGAATCACGAAGAGATCTTGCTTCTTCCACTAACTAGGTTCAATGATAACATAACGAGGTTAGTGTTGCTCTCATGGTCTCGTTCATGAGGCGGGTGGTACCTTCGCAAGGAGCCTGTCAATGTCGTCATAATCCTGAAGCAGGACTGAGATACGAGCATTCTCCCCAGGGCCACGATACATAAGCTTTCCCAGGGTTCTCGATACGGTATTCATTGTAAGAATATCTTCGTAGGGTGAGCAGGGAATAAAGAGAAGCCTGCCGACGTACTACGAACTCCTTTTGCAAATCACAAGTTCCGAGTCCTTTTGTTGGGATGAGTAATGCCTATTTCAACTAAGCCTGTTTGTAGGTTTGAACTTGATTGGTTGGTTGCCTCAATGCTGACAGTTTCACACCCCTCGCCCCTCTCTTGTAGATGATAATAGGTGTTATTGAAGTTGGGGTTTCGATCCTGGGCCACGCTCTCACGTGAATTCGCGCCTGCATTAACTGGCCTGGCGTTTTTCTTTGACACGCCCGTCACGCCCGTCACGCCCGCCGCAAGAAGACTCCACAGCGCTATGTGTCTTCCTTCCCGATTCCGTGTTGCCCTGTTCCAGACATATCTTCCCCTCAGGCAACTCGGGGCTACACGGCCCTCGGACATCTGCTTGCTGCGGATCGCAGGTCCCAGTTGCGGCGTTAACCTATCCTGTACTTCGCCATGCCTCACCCATTGACGGTGGTGGCTAACCCCTCTACCGCACTTGTCTTCAGCTTCGGATGCCTCTATACTCACGATATGAGGAGGAAACAAAAGCGTTGGCAAGACGGGAAACTAAGTTTTCACAGTTTTAATAACCGTGTCATGGTGTATGACCAGCGTGGAAACTTCATTGGCGACACCCACTGGCGTGGCACTGGCCCGCTTCAGGACGGCGATGAATTTGAATTGGATAGAGGGGGCCATCGTACAAGTCGCTGAACTCTTGGGTGAGAAGGAACAAGATCTCACCGAAATATTCGCGAAACGTAAATCACCCATAGATAACGGTACAGTCCCGCGCGAAGGGCAATGCTGGCACAGCCAAAGTCATTCTTCCCAATCGCAACATCAACCGATCCAAGATGCACAGATCATTCCTTCTACCTCTGTCCAACGACTAGGAAGGGCATCCATATCTAATGACCGGCCTTTTCAAGAACGACAGATCCAACCAACCGAGCTACGTCCCACTTCGAACTGCCGTGCTTTGAAGAAGCAAAGGGTCCATCGCAGAGAGCCTTTCAAAAGCTCTTTCACCACAGGCCTCTTCGGTGCCAACCTCGACTTGTCCTACAAAATTAAAAATATCTCCCCGGCCAGAAACCAAAAACTGTTAGATGCTTGTCACCGTCAGCCGGAAGGGGAGATCTCAACAAGGCAAATGACACTCCCTTTGACACCGCTGTTAAACCCTAGCGTGAGAAAACCGGGCTCAGCAACTGACAGGAATCTGCACCCACCTCGCACTCTAGTTATACCGGTCCTGTCACAATGGAACACACACAAACTGTGGCATAGACAGTTTCAATGGTACTACAGGTCCACATCATGTCAGCCAATCTCTCCTCCAAGGACAAGGATTGGGTGTCTCCAATTTTATCTCGATTTCAGCGGCATCAAAGACAGCGAATAGTCCCACATGCCAAGAAAATTTTCAAACAAAAAGTTATCCACGAGGGACTAGCAATAGCTTCGCACCGGGCCCCATGGATGATACCCGCAGCGAACCAGTCACATATACCGAGGCTGACGAAACGCCCTCGGGAGCGAAAGGCTGGGTTCAAACCACAAAACTACAATTAGGGTCGTTTCGTAGACGTGGGCTTCTGGTGGCTGGCCAGTTGAGTGAAAGGGCCATCCCGACGTGTGGCTTTAGGGCCCCGCCAGAACAACACTCGGCTCTCATGCTCCAATCCTCAGCGCCATTGCACCTCGATGACACCAGGACTCATAGTTGCCCCCACAAATAATGGATACCGAGGCCTCGGCCATTGCAGGAAATTGCAATGGCCACCAGCAGGATGGACACAGCGCTCTGCCCATATCATATATGAAAGTTAGCTGCAGCTCTTCTCTTTCAAGCGAAGGTGGCCCTGAGAAGCTCTCGGTTGGAAATCCCGAAGGGCCATGGAGTCGAGAGGCGTATGATCTTCTTGATCACGAGAGGCCGGTAGGAAGCTTCGATGCGAGGTTCTACTAGATGACCGACGCCTCAATTCAAACGTAACGCGTTCGAAAGAGCGACTTGAAAGGCACCCGTCTCCTCCGAACCCTAGACGGTATCACGTATCTAAGAAATTTCTAGGAAGCTTACTGAGGATCAAGCTTAGAGCTAATATTCCTTGCCCCCTCTTAATAGCATACCCACCTACCTCAGTAGTCTCCCCGCAATGCCAACCCGCTTATTTAGTTACAGGAAAATGAATATACGAATGAAGGTGGACGGTTCCCCCAAACACCGCCGATATAAATACACATCCATCTTTGAGGGAGAAATACCAATTGACGCATATAGTATTAGTACTAACCCACATGCCCACCCCGATATAATGATGGACAACGAGCCACACACTCATCCACTGGGACAGACAAGCCCTCCAAGGAAAACAACCGTCCTCCGGAACCTCGACCATGGATACCAAGCTGAAACGCCAGGAAGACGAGTATGCCCTGTATTAAGGAAATGCACATTGCATTATTTGGGCACCTAGCCCCACGTTTTCAACCATTGGGGCTGGCCGTCAGCCATGCTCCCATGTCAAGCTCGCGAAGTAATTGAGAGATGCGCATCCCGATTCTCAAGGAATTTACATGGAAAGCTTTGACATTCGCTCATCACCCTTATTAGTAATATACCTTAGCTAGGAGGGGCGAGGTCTCATCTGCCCCCTGCAGCAAAGAGTCACTCGGCGAAGCAGCCTTTTAGCCAGTTCAGTTAGGAAAAGTATGGTCATCGATGTATGTCGCCCAATCATGTTTGCAGGTTTTCGGCGAGACAAAAGTGGTTTAGCTCATTTTCTAAACACTGCCTCCGTCGTCGTGCTCAGCCATCTTCTTATACCTCTGCTCTAATATGTGAAGCGGGTGCCTTTAGGGGAAATGGAAAGACGAAGGAATAAGGCATCCAACAGTGAAATAGCAGCATCATCGGCGTGCCTGGAGCTATTTCTCTTCGTCCGGTCACCTTTCTTTCTCTTTGAAATTCTGAAGATCACCGGCTTCCAGTCGCTTTAACTCGGACAGAACAGCCGAGGCTACGCCTCCATCACACTTCCTTCCTATCTTTTTCGAATGTTTTCTACACGTTGATCAGTGCTAAAGAATAAGCTATTTCGTGGCTAATTCGATTTTGCTATTATCTCCAACGCACAACTTCTTGGTATCGAGCTCACATAGAGCCTTGCCTGCACCCAACCATTCAAACTAGCAAGGTAGCCAATTGCCTTTAAGCCTCGGCTTGACTTCATTTCTAATCTCTATCGATAGACCAACTAAGGAAGTATCGGGTCGTTTGGCAAGCGTTTATCCAATTATCGCAGCTAAAATGACCGGTTTCCCAGAGGCGAATAGCTTCGGCTTTTATGTATTTCAGTCCTCAATAGGAACCCCACTACAGTTCCATCCCAAACTTGGAACTCCGGAATTAGACAACCTCATAGATGCCTACCTTCCATATCCTGCTCCCATGCAAGAAAAGAGGGCTACCGTCTCGGTCGACTTCTTTGAACATTTCAGGTGTACTGGCCAACACGTCAAGTTCTACCCAGTCGTGGAAAATTTCATTCACTCATTAAGTAGCTCGCCAGGGAGCTTAGAAGATTCGGGGTACGGGTCGAGTTTCACCCCTTCACCCTTGGCACCCACCTGGTCATGGGGACTCTCTGGATGCTCACCGGGGATCACCACCCCTTCAGCCTCGTCCATCTTTTCAGCCTCCCAGCCCTCTGGTAGTTCTAGTACCCAACCACCCAGCAATCAACCAGCATCATCCCATTATTCCCCGACCGACTTATCACATCTGCCAGGGATGAGGATCTTAACTAAAGATGGTCAAGATGTCACAAACGCCGCTCCGCGTGGCTGCAAAACAAAGAGCAAAGAGACCATGCTCATCTGATGAGAATCATGAAAGCATGTGATTCCTGTAGGCGGAAGAAGGTTCGCTGTGATCCCAGCCATCGACACGGATTCAAGAATTCTGCCGCAGACCTTCATCTCGTGACGGCGCAAGCGAGGCAAGTAAAGAATGGGGGTAGAAACAGAAGGATTCGTCAACCGAGTCTTCTCGAGGCCCAGCAGGTACCAATCCCTTCTTTGCATTCACCCGCAACTCTTCTATGCCCCCAGCGCTAGGTGGAACCACCATCAATCACTCGTCCTCTTCCAGTGATGTCTACGACATCTGGGATGAATTTATTCAATTCAGCAATGAGCTTAATTTCCCCGGCACGGATATTCCTGGAGGCCTACAAGATTTAAGCATATTTGACTCTACGGTTTCGACCGAGCCAAATTTGGTGGAAGAAGTCAATCGACTTGTACCCCCATCTATAGATCCGGACAACCACTCGGCCCTCACCTCACCAAAGCTCCCTTATCTGTTCCACAGCAATACTCCCCACTCCTATGCCGATTTCGATCTTTATTCACCTCTATCCAATTCCTCGGATTATGAGCCCGTCTTTTCTGGGGATCCTGGCACATCAGACGTTGCTTCCGGCTCGACATCAGTTTCGCATCACTCGGAACTAACGAGCCATAGCTGCTCGACGTGCCGTTGCTCACCAGCAGTACATCCTCTTCTCCCCAATCAATCACCTATAGTCGCGCAACGGGCCACCAATTATCATACTCTCCAGCCGCCTCCTGGCTTGATTGATGGTGTTAGCACAGCAGCCGATGACCCCAGCCCTCATGTCTTCTCGCGGGCACTTCTCCAAACTAACAAAAAGGCACA